TGAAACAAAGAAAGACTAAAATGGATCATCGGCAACAAATGAAGTTTGATTTAAGGGTTTTATTTGCATCTGCTCGCAACATGTCCTCACTGGGTGCAGTGATGGCTCCAGTGTGCTCGTCGATAAGTTGTTCTGTGACAATATTCTGTTCCTTGTTCATGTCCTACATGATGTATAAGTTGAATGACTACTTTCGTGTACGTATGATCTTACCTTTAATGTGAACAACAATTCGAAAACTTGAAACCAATACTTTCTTTCCGACCAACGGTGCGGGATCAGGGTTGAGCGTTCCCAAACACACGCCCACCGATTGCCTGCCACAACAAAGATAGAAAGCAGCGTAAGTTTATAGTCCACAAATTGCAAACCAAAAAGCTTTTGTTTTGCAAACGTGTTGTACGAAGCTTGCTGATATCGAGATTTTTCTTCTTGGAGGCAAATAGAGGTATATTCAAGCAACTTTAGAGTGTCTTCTTCCATGTGGATACCATCCTCCAAGCTAAGTATAAACTAAATTAATTAATATATAACATCGTTATGATAAAAAGGGAATATTACCCGGATGATTCAATCAGAATCCGATGGATATGATCCAACGTTGTCGTGCCAATACCATCCAATAGTTTAGTGGCTGAGGTATTGGTTGTTGTTGTTGTTAGTACTCGGTAATGGTAGAATAAAAGCAAAGAAGTGATGAGTCTCTGTTTTATCCTTTTATTAGAAGTGAGAGAAAGAGCTCATAGCAAAAAGAAATTAAGTTGTTTTAAAAGAGGTCGGAGTACTAACTAAGGTACATGTAACTAAGTCAAATGTAATCTCACACGTAAAGATTAGTATTAGACATGGTCAAATGCGACACTCTTATCCACACATCGGAGGACATAGCAAAATACATAGAATCTTGTGACTATCACTGTGTTTACTTGCCTTCATATATCTCTGAGCTCAATCCAATTGAGCAATACTGGTCAGTAGTCAAAAGTAAAGTGAAACGCAACAAGTTTCTCGAGAAGTAAACGTTGATGATACCGATCAGTGAAGCTTCTAATAGTTTGAGGTTAAGCGATTTTAAAGGGGTTGTTAGCCATTCGCATAAATGCTTGGACAAGTGTCGTAATAGGCAAGCCCTCTGAAGGGCGTGACAAAAAAACCACTGTATTATTCCCAACATGGCTCAAGACGACATAAAAGCATCAAATGAATTGTACACGCATCAGATTATTCTTTATGAATAACGAACTTTTTTCAACACGCCTACCTTTCATGCTTTCCATACCTTCTAACTTTTCATGTCTTCTAGGTTTTCCAAGCCTAAATTTCCATGCCCTTTATGCTGGAAGGTAAAGAAGGCGTGAAAAATTAGATGCTGTGACGGTCTGGCGTACGGATGAGATAGTAGTGTCCATTGCTTCAGGCCTCCAATTGACGTGTTTGATGAGATAATCATTATAATAACTCGAGTATAATCTTACAGTAGAGCATACATTCTACTTTACATTCCTCTATCGCATCTGATAAGAATAACTTATAATAACAACTATAGTAGCTACTAGTATAACAATATTAATATAAGCATAAATAATGTCAGTGACGACTATAATATAAATAGCAGCCATAGATTCTCTATCCAGTAAACTTTCACACAAACTTAATATTTCAGCTCTTCTTAATAAAGAATCTAATTCGCAAGTCATCGACTTAATAGCCTTTTTCAATAATACTAAAGCTAAATACAACAGAGCTGCAATCAACCTACTATGGCGTGTTGTTATCTGAGATCATTGCTGATCAAGGTCGCAATGTTGCTTTACGATGGGCGATCAGGTCTGCTGTAGAAACTGATATCCGCCCTGATGCCGTTATCTCCACGCTTGTACAGCACGACACGAGGCAAGGCACCGCGCTATTGATTCCCAAATACATGACCATCTCCTTCTCAATACAGCGCTGTCTTAGGTATGAAGCTCTCCTTCCGTATATATATCCTCTCACTGGTAACTTGTTCCTTGTAAACTTCCCATATCCCCTTGAATAAAAAAACTTGATATATTTTCGCCCCTTTTTGTCGCGTAAGCAAGTATGCGTAACTCGTCACTAAAATGTTACATCAAGTAAACACTCAAGAGCTGGCTGCTCACTTCGCCTAGATACCGATTTGGCAAATAAAAATACATCATTTTTGCTCTTTTGATGATCCATGATTTGACCGGATGGTACAAAAGTATGATCAATTCAAAAGAATAAAAGGGCACCGATATAAATTAAAATCCTTCTTTATTAGAGAACTTAATTTATACCGAAAGAGGATCTGGTTTTTGGAAATCTTGAGAGTATTCCTATTTATACTATTTCAAAGTAGATGAGCGCTGATATAATAACTAGGTTTGGGGGAGCCGAAGGGCGTAAAGGAAGCATATTCAGAAGGAATGACAATGGATCTCGTATAGTTTCAGACATGAACAGGCGTCGATGCATATCAAGGCAACTAATAACGTGATTCTTAGATAGCTGTTGCGTTGGGCGCTTAGGACATGGTCGAGGTTTGCCACCAGGAAGCCAGCCTAATCTCCAGCGTATACAGCAACTGCGCTCTGACTTAGACATGAGTAACCAGAGTATAGGATCCAGAGAGGTTGATCAACGGCAGCTAGAAAGCAGTTTGAAGTTTTGGCATTGTTGGCGGGTCTCTAGATTCTGTTGCAAAAAGTGCCATTTAGCAGCCTTGAGTGAGCGAGTGTTGGGTTCTTCAGTAGTAGACAGCACCGTTTTCCAAAGCGATGTACAAGAGAGAGCGTACCACTGGCTTCCTCTGGTATTGCGGATATAGGGTAACGGACAAGCAAGCAGTGCATCTTCTGGCAAATATAAGGAACGAAAGAGGAACTGTGTCTGTAGTATACGTATTGAAATCCTTGATTCTTAGATGGTGGTCGTAGGAGACGTGCGACTGCTTCTTGCCGTTGCAATCGGCGTTGTTGTTCATTCTCTGCAAGATTGCGCTTGATTTAGGAAATACGCTGAGGGTTATGCCATGGAGGTGTTTGGGAGGGTAGTGCAGGAAAATCTTCAGAGCTGAGATGGTTGTCGTTTTCGTGATGGTTGGGTTGGTTCATATTCGTAGATTGCTGTGTCGTTTGTTCATGTATTTGGGTCATCTGTTGACGTAAGTTGGCTATCTTTGCACGGGCTGCTGCAAGTTCGGTTGAGAGGCGTTTAATCATGTCCAGTAAGGTCTGCATATCGTACGCCTGGTCGTTTGTGTTACTGTTTTGGGTAGGCTGTGTATTGTGGAAAACTCCAAAGTTTCATTGTTTAGTGAGCTTACAAGACTGTTAGGAGAAACTAAAGACTGAACAATGTACGTCATGGTTCGAGCCTTAAAGGTCTTTCCACATCTATGACAACGAAATATGGGCATGGGCGGATCGGTTTTAATGGATCCATTACGACGAAATTGGCCCATCTTCTCGCAATGAGGACATCTCAAAGATTTACGGCGACTCTCAAACTGCAAAAGCAAAGAAGCTACTGCTTCTTGAGTGAGAGTATCATACATATTTATTAAATTATTGTTATTTATGTCGCCAGGTGGCATAGTTGAAGCAATTGTTTTCGTCGTAGTTAGTGTAACGTATAAATATGCGAAAGAGCTCTTTCCCATGATTTCCAAGCAAGCAACTTAGTTTCTAAAGATACGACTTCTGTTTCTGAAAAAACGAAATTGATTTTTATTTGCCCGTGGTATTGATTTTAATTCGTTGTGATTTTGCTTGTACAAGAGCATCAGACTGTGCATACGCGTTCGTATTTCAGTTTAAACACCGCTGAGAAAGACACAGAAAGAAAAGGTATCTTGTTCTTTTATTCTAAATAAAAATGTCAACTATAGAGTTACCACTTATTTCTGTTCAACCTGATTGGGACCAAGTTATTCGAGAAGCCGTTTCAAACAAAGCCTCGGACTCATTCTTTTGGATCGCTTGTTATGTAACAGGTTTGACAGCTCAAGATCGATCTGAACAGATCTTTATCTTTTACATTGTGATTAGGTAAACCAAGTGTCCAAGGCCAAGTCGAAGTTATAAAGAAAGATAACGGAGAATACGAACTTGAAGGGAAAAACGGATTTACTGTTAGCTCACTTGGCTCTGTAAGTTTTTTTTTATGTTATCTTGCATAACACTGACGATACAAAAAAAAAAGAGATCATTTAAAGTAGAATGTTCAGAACTCGGTGCCAAAGATATCATTGTATATGGACCCAAGGACGAAATAATTTTAGCCGAGAAAGCCCGAGTAAGATGAAAAGAAGAATTTGGATTATTCTAAAAGAAAGGGACTGACATATAAACTTAGCCTACATGTGTTGATGTGTCTCCAAATGGCAGGTTATTTGCTACAGCTAGTGGATCAGAGATTTTCTTGGGCAATTTATCCGAGGCAAAAGTTCAGGTAAGAAAGATAGAAAAAGAACAAGTTCGGAATGGCTTATATATAACCTTCATAAAGACTACATTGAAGGGACATCTGAGCGATGTGACAGCGGTTCAGTTCTTTCCAAGCAATCTTGTCCTGTTGACTGGTGGTGCCGATTTTCAACTCAAGATATGGTCTGTAATAGATGGTAGTAATCCTGTCACTTTAAGGAGCCACACTTCAGGTATATTTATGCTTGTCTCTCTCTTTTCTTTCTGTCTCACACATTATAAACCATGTATAGCAATTACGAGCACAGCCATTGTTGAGAAAGGAAGAAATATAATATGTTAGTATAACGGTATATATAGCATAGACGTTGTATATTCACATTCACTATAGCATCCTCTCGTGACGGGACAATCAAGTTGTGGAACTGTGGTACAGCCTCAGTCATTGCTACATTAGGAAAATACCAATGTCCTGTCAATAAGATTATATTGGCCAAACTTCCATCATCTTACCAACCTGTAGCAAAAGAGAGCTTAGGTATTTGCATCTCTCTCTCTCTCTCACGTACATGTACTCTAAAACACTGAATTTGATTTATCATAGATCCAGTAGAAGTTGGCACTGAGGACAAGATGGTCATAGCTGCTCTAGGTGACGGTAGCATTCGCGGTTTCCATCTTGGTACAAAATCAGAGGTAAGAGATGGAAATAGTAGATCTATTCATTTGCTCATCATATAATATGCCAGATATTTGCTTCGCCTACTGGTCCATATGCCTTGACAACATTGGTGTATGATGAAACTTCGAATATCGTTTTTGCTGGTAGTGAGAACGGTCAAATCACTGCATACTCATTGGAAAAGGGTTTAGAGTAAGTATCATTTCAAATTCAATCAAGACGTAATTCATTTCGTATTATAGAGAGCCAGTAGCTCAATGGCAGAGAAACAAGTTTCCTGTTACCTCGCTTGCGATAAAACTGAGCAAAAATGGTGAACGTGTACTTTGTGTTGCTAGCGGTAAGCATGATGTTTATACACAAATAATTATAGCTTATGTGTTTGTTAGCGGATGGAGCGCTTTATGAAACTAGCGCGTTATCTTCTTTAAAGGCAGACTCTAGTGTCCGAGTAGAGATAGAATATACTGGCAACGAACTCGAATCAGTCAATGAAATCAAAGTGGTGCCAGGTGGAGAAAAGGAAGGATACCAATCTATTGTCTGTAGTGTTCGTGATGGGAAACTAAAGGTTTATTAAATCAATAAATGTAATGTTTATAATTAAGCGTTTAAAAACAACAACAATAACAATAAAAATATTCTTGAATAAATAGTATTGTTTAAGCAAATAATCATTGTAAATAATAGATGTAGCGTGTGCTTTGTCCTCCAAATCACTAAATCCAATATAATGTTTCTTGTTTTATTTATATAATCTGCTTGATTTCATAGCCCGAGTTTCCGATGATAATTGGTAAAGGCTCTATTTCCATTTCATAAACTTTACGAATTGACCGGCATCGACGAGCAGGTCCTCCGTTTTCTGACTGAGCCAAGTCTCCATAAGAGACGGTATCATCCTTTAACTTTTTTAATAACGCACCATCAATCTCTAGCTTTACGTTTATTTCATGTACCAAAGAAAAGATTTCCCGTGTTGACTTGGATGGTATAGAACACACACAACCAGGTGGAATAAGTATCAGTTTGGATAAATCAAAGGACAATTTTGGAGTGTCAAGAGTAGCCAAGGTGCCGTTAGATCCCAAAGCCGAGTGCTCATTGCTGTTGAATAAGATCTGCTTTTCCATAATCGTCTTATACTCAGCGGCCTCTCCAAAGCTACATGTCATAAGGATACGTTGAGTCAACTGAGCTTTAACCTTTAGAGCATATATCTTAAAATTAGGACACATGTTGATCAACTTTAGTTTTAGTGGAATAGCATCTGAGCGTTCAAAGGCTTGTACAGGTATCTCCAGACGACCGAGTAGCTGAGAGGAGTTGCTGAAAAAGGTAGTTTGATGTGAATTGGAAGCCGAAGAGGTGGGCTTTATCAATAATGAGTTTGATAAAAGACAGCTACAGATGCTTTTGAATATATTATTATTTCCTGAGAGGCAAAGTTTGGCTTGAGCTGACTGAAGAGGTGAACGAAACTCGGGCGCATGAATGTCTAGATACGGCTCCAGCCGAACCTTGGCTGTGGAATAACATGTCAAGTGTTGCTGGCTGTCGTCTGTAGTGCATTTCATGATGACGATAATACGGTATGTAATTGGATAATTTGGGTGATCAAATGTTCCTCCTAGTTTTTGTGACATGGGTATTCCTATGGAAAAGCGAACGTTGGACTTCTTGCCATCTAGGCTGTAAGTACGCTCATTGTTGTGATCATGTAAATGGCTATCGTCTACAAATGTTCCATGACTTGAGTCTTTATCAAAGTCATCATCAGCTATACGTCTAATCAGCCTTTCTATTTGCTTATCCTGCTCACTCTTCATTCGTTTCTTTTTGGGAGCTACACGGTGTCGTCGCTCATGTGAATGGTCTGATTCATCCTCATTAAATGTTGCATGATGCTCTTCAGCGACTACTTCTAAATGATGACTTTCTGAACCAATGGTATTGTCATGGCCTGATCGTTTCATTATTCGGATTCCTTTGTTGATCAATTGCACATTTTTATGGTAATCAAATAATCCATTGTATAGAGGCACTTCACGCTGACTACCGCAGACTTGAACATTACCATATAATGCAACGCGCAAGTAAGATACTTTCACAGGTGAGTTCAGCTGAATCTGAAGTTTGCCATTAATAGACTGTCCTGGCCAGTAAGTTGGTAAATAACCTTCATAGGCTGGTAAATCTAAAGAAATGCTTAATCTGGGAGAGGCAAAAGGTGAAGTTTGGTCACCATTGTTTAGTGATGTAACTGGAGAATCCAAACAGCAACTCATGTGTAAATTAAAGTGGTAAGAGAGAAAGGAAAGAAAAAAATTGCGTATATATAGTAAATATATGTGTGCAAAACAGGAGATCTACATTTGAAGTCGTCCTAAACGCCATTAGCCAATAAGGAGATGCATAAACGAAAGTATATGGTTTAAAAAGGGGAAGAGCTATTGTAGTCATTGTCAACAAAGCTTATTGGATAGATTAACGATTAAGTGTGATTTATTGATAAACATTGTACATAAACTTTATAATAAATAAATAAGTCTTTGTTTTGGAACACATTCAAAGGGAGTTCAAGAGGAGGGGTTTAAGGAGTAAAATAAAGGGTTCTCTATGAGGCGGCTCTTGATTTCGCTCGAATTTTCGCACCCCATCTATAAAAGGCAAATGGTATAGGTACAATAGCCAGCGAGATAAAGGCGAGCAAGGTGCTTGCCCATTGATCACCTAAACGATCATACATTTGCTCGATAAACAGAGGAAAGGCAGCACCTGAACTGGAACGAACGAGGACCTTGGCAGCTAATGCAGAGGTAACGTAACGAGAGAAGCAGTCGATAAGATAATTATTTGCAGAATAGTAAAGCAAGACCATACCAAAGCCAAAAGGTAGACCAGATATAACAGGACCAATCCAGTGAACCCAAGGGTAAGACGTCCAACTGAAGATAAATAGAGAGATAGGAACGAAAGGAGCCGCGAACATCATACCCATAAGACGATCTTCTGGGGTAGCCTTGCCATTCTTTTTGATAGTATTTCTATATATCTTTTCAAAATAAGGAGTAGCTATGAGAGCAAAACCAGCGCCAATGAGGATACCAATAAAGGTCAGACCAATGAAACCATCGTTCATGTGATAGATACGACCAAATATGATTGGATAAGCAAAGAAGAAGGCATACAGCAGAGCATAGATAATGGCGATATAAAGAGACATGAGAATCAGAATGGGTTCGGTAGCGAGCATAACAAAGGGTCGAATAAGATTTGCTTGGACAAGTTCAGAAATTGGAACAGGAAACTCTTCTTCGACTGTAACATAGGTTGGATCACCGGTTTCTTTTCTCAGCTTTTTGGCGCGTCTAGCGAGGAGGATAGGGTGATAAGTTTCTGGCAAGATGATAGATAGTATCCAAGTAACACCAGCAAAGATCATGTTGACCCAATAGATCCATCTCCAACTTTGCGTACCAATTGAGATCCAGCCACCGACAATTGGACCAAGGACAGGACCAGCATAAGGTGCAGCAGCAAAGTAGGCAACAGCATAACCTCGAGTTTCTGCTGGGAAGATATCTGATATGGAACCACCTGCGAGCGTTAGAGCAACAGAGGCAAAGAAACCACAAAAGAAGCGACAGACGAGCACGGTTTCTATATTCTTGGCAACAGCACATGGGATATTGAAAACGGTGTAGAGTCCAAGAGCGACAATATAAATTGGCTTACGTCCCATGATTTCTGAAGCAGGGGACCATAATAAGGGACCTATCATAAAGCCAATGACCATAAGGGATACTTGGAGAATAGCTACTTCATGGGAGCATCCAAATGATTCGACTACGCCATCCAGTCGACCAGTGATAACAGATGAACCAAAAGCAGCAGATACGACAAAGAGAGCGACCACCATTGTATGAATATACCTGTATGATTTACTCCAGTTATAGGGGCATTCAGGGTCATTTTCTTCCCAATTGACATAGTGCGTTAGAGGACGCTTTTCAGAATGATGACTTAAGACTCTAGAAGGAAGAGCCTCAAGGTCTGCGTCTTTTGATGGATAAGGTTGAATGGATAAAGTTCTTGTAGCAAGAACACCTGGTGGTAGTTGTTCTCGAATTTGTTCTACATAAGAAGTGGTCTCTTGTAAAGGGATAGGTTCTTGAACGACATAGGTGTCATTTATTGTACTAGTATCACTACACGTTGATCTTCGATTATTGGATTTGGGTAGTGTAGCGTCTGGCATGTTGAATTAAGACAGTAAAGATGATGAAGTTATAAAAACCAAGAATACATCGACCCTTTATATACCTTTCTTTTCTATATCATTTAGGCGAATTTTGTTCATGTCAACGGATCTGCTCACGGACGATGGTTTATCCAAACCAATACATGTAAATTATTTAAATTCCGCAATGAGACAGATCGGATTATGGTAACACATGTTCCGAATCTGTCATGCTGGTAATATTTTTAGCGATTAAAACAGAATAATGAACGATTATCATTACTATTTTTTCTTCTTCAAGTTCTATATGAGATAACACAGATAAGAGTTGTTGTATAATCAATAGTGATTCAACTATAGCTTACTGGGCTTTGTTTTAGTTATATAAAGCATTACTTGATTTAATTCATGCTTTGGAAATAAAAAGAGAAAAGAAATGGAATAAAAGTACACCGTTGCTTAAATGAACTGCTTTAAAAAAAAAAAGATGATTTATGGCGTGGATCGCCTATTTGTTTTGACGCTGGATAAATGATATCAATGACAGCGCTAATTGTTACACACGTATCATTATCAAATCAATAAATATTCATTGATTGCCTTTTTTTTAAAAAAAAAAGAGTCGAGTAAAAAGGTTATTTTATAGATGACAATTAATAGGTGAAAGTATTTTATATTATGTTGTCATAGTGATTTACATATGAATCCCATGTTGCTTTCAAGGATGATTAATTAGAAAAGATCAGTCTTTATGGAATATTTGATTTACTATTAAAAAGCGTACGGTAATTACCTGGGGTTCTCTAATATTTCGACTCTTATTATTCTACATCTCTTTGCTTTTATCAATCTCTTATTGTAGCATGGTTTTATAAAAGAGCTCATGTTTTTGGCTTTTTACCCTTTTCAAAATAGATATTCATTACTTGTTTATTCTCGTTGAATTCAAACATAGGCTGACAAGTGTATTCTTACTCTTAGAGCACAAGAGATAATCGCTGATACAAGGTAAATTAAAGAAAAAGCAAAGCTCACATTGTTTTAAATAATTTCACCTTAATTTTCTAAGGGCATCACATAATGTTCTTATGAGGTAACATGCTTTTATTTCTAACTTTAATAGTTGTATCTCTTACAGGAGCTTTTACTCAGAATATGCTTTTTAATGTCAGTAACTAAAAAACTCATGATTAAAAATAGCGTATTGTTCATTTTGTACTTACCGAGACATTAAGGAATACACTGCCGTTAAAACGGAGAGAGCATTAACCCAGGAGCATCGTCAGTCGTTTGGAGGCCCTTCATTGTCATGTTTTGATTTGTAATTAAAATGTGGTATATATTTAATGCACTGTTCACATCGTGATTCCACGCCGTGCCCCAAGATTTACACTTGAGGACAGCATGTACTCTTTGCTTTGATCCAAAAGTACTATTCAAATTACAAAGAGCTGAGGGTGCAGTATTTCCTAAGAGGCCCGAATGCAATTTAGCCTCTATCATGCTCTTTCATAGTCTAGTCAACAAACTGCATAGGAGCCATATATGATCTTGATTTACTTTTAACACAAATAAAATTGGATTAGACTTGCCTGATACGCTGGCGATGCTCATAATCTTATTGATGGGTTCGGTATTGAGCCAAAAGCGATACATTCTCGATAACGGAGCATCGCGGAAGCCTTTAAAGAGTCTGACAAATTTAAAAACGCTCTATAGATAGAATCTTGCTCCGATGTAGAGACATGCATAGGAATTCTCTTGTTGTATATATATAATAGATTAAAAAGAATAAAGCTTTTCGTGCTTGAAGAGACGTATGTCTTGGATTTATTGGCAACACGAAATACCCTTTAGAGAAGATATCAACCAATAGCAACTTTTTTTCAGTCGACAGATAAAAGTAAGTCACATCGTTATTCTGTAAACAAACGGCAGTAGCCTCATTTTTTTTCTAATTGCTTCTTCTTTCAAAAGGAAATATGTCAGAAGTTGCGGCTCCAGTAACTGCTGATGGTCCGATAAAGGATGACGCAGTTAAAAAAGCACAAAAACAAAGAAGAAGAAACAAGAAAAAGAGTAAAAAGCAACGCTTAGCGGAAGAAGCGCAGCGAAAAGTAAGTTAATTGCATTATATAAATTAAAGGCGTCTAAACAGTCATTAGGAATTGGAAAAGCAACATGAAAAAGATGATTCACTAAAAGACGTTGAAGTTGAATATGTTGTCCAACCTATTGACTTGTCCGCTTTAAAAAAAGCGGATGGTATGTCAAGGTTAGATGAAAACACACTTCAACAGTTTTCAGAAATTTTTAAGCATTTTCAAAATGGCAAACCTGAACAAGATGAAGAAGTAAGAGATTACAACATTCTTGTAAAATATGACTAATTGGAAATGATCTTAGGAATTCCCTGTTTATGATAAATCACAACTCCAAAACGGCGATATAAATGAAGCTGATGAGGACGAAGAAAATAAAGAATCAGATCAAGCTCTATCTAAAAAGAAGTTGAAGAAAATACAACGTTTGACAGTTGCTGAATTGAAACAGTTGGTAAAGAAACCAGAAGTTGTAGAGGTACGTAATGACAATGCAATTTTTTTATAATCACTCACTTGTTTAATAATTAGTGGTGGGATGTTACCGCTAGTGATCCCAAACTTCTCATTTGGTTAAAATCATATCGTAATACTGTCCCAGTGCCTGCACACTGGAGCCAGAAACGCAAATACTTACAGGGAAAACGTGGTATTGAAAAGCCACCATGGGAACTTCCTGGTAGGTAGAACAAAGAAAAGAAAGAGAACAGTGATTGACTTGCTTTATAGATTTCATAAAGGATACAGGTATTATGGAAATGCGTGAGGCAGTCAGAGAAAAGGAAAATGCAGCAGGCTTAAGAGGAAAGATGAAAGAAAAGGTCAACCCAAGAATGGGCAAATTAGACGTTGATTATCAAAAATTACACGATGCTTTCTTCAGATTCCAGACCAAACCAAAGTTTACTATACATGGTGAATTATATTATGAAGGCAAAGAATTCGAAACAAAATTGAAAGAACAAAAGCCTGGACAGCTATCTGCAGAATTGAAAGAAGCGCTGAATATGCCACCGTTGGCACCTCCACCTTGGTTGATCAATATGCAACGCTATGGCCCACCACCAAGCTACCCAAATCTAAAGATTCCTGGGTTAAATGCGCCAATACCAGAAGGCGCTCAATGGGGATACCATCCTGGTGGTTGGGGAAGGCCTCCTGTTGATGAATATAACCGTCCCTTGTATGGTGATGTCTTTGGTGTTGCTCAACCTGAAGCTGCGCCACCAGAAATTGTAGAGCCAGTAGACAAACAGCTTTGGGGTGAACTCGAACCAGAAGAGGAATATGAAGAGGAAGAAGAGGAAGAAGAAGAAGAGGAGGAGGAGGAGCAGACAGAAGAACAACCAGAGGAAGAAGCCGAGGCAGAAGCTGAAGCTACTCAGGACCTTGCAGATGGTTTGGAAACTCCATCTGGAATAGCTTCTATTGCTTCTGGACTGGAAACACCAGCCCATATTGAACTTCGAAAGGACCGTAAACGCGAAGAAGATGAAGGTCCTAAGCAATTATATCACGTTTTACCAGAAGTCAAGAAAAATATCACTGGCTTTATGGGATCACAGCATGGTTACGACATTTCTTCAATCAATCAAACCACGCCTTCTAAACGAAAAGGTGAAAATGTCGAAGTGGCTATTGATCCTAGCGAATTAGAACGAGGTTTAGACGAATCCACGCTCCGTGCAAAATATGATGCAGAGCGAAAAGCAAAGATGGGCATTACTGCCACTGATGAGGACTTGTCTGACATGTATGCTGAATATGCAAGCAGACAGGCAAAGAAACAAAAGACTCAAAAGCATTAACTATTTTTTTTTTTTGAAATAAAAAAACACCTTGTAAATTCATTCATGTATTGCTACTACAATCACACCGAATTAGTATTCGTATTATGCAAGAATTTAGTAAGAATCTAAGCTTTATTCGCACACTGGTTGAAAAATAAAGAAAAGATTGACGCAGTGTGCGCCAATACTTTCTTATTTGTGTATACAATAGGTGTTAGTGTTCTTGTGCTGATAATAAACATGGGATGATAAAGAAACTAAATACGAATGCAATGATGATAGCCTTAGAAAGTAAAGTGAGCAGAAAACTTATAATACTTTTGAATTATATACCATCGATTTCAATGAAAGTGGTTCTGCGAACGTATTAATTAATTCGCCAAATACTTTACTTGCAATTTTTGATTTGCTTATATATGCTGAAGAAGTTTGTCGACATATATCCCACTCATGACAGAACTGCTGCCATATCTCACCCTTTAAATATGGGCCACAGTTATTACTAGTGTATTTATAGTCGCATTCTTTTGCTCTTTCTTCCATCTCTAGTCTTTAATATTTTATTCTCTTTGCTCTAAGGGATCCTTTTTTTTTTTTCTCACTTACAATTGAATTCTATACTGTGATTCAACCTCGTTTCTGCAAAATATGATTAAGCTAACAATTAAGAACAATGCAGTAATGATTCCCATGACATGTAGAAACACATGCACATAACTAATATAAAAGTGGTAGATTAGGATATTGTTCACTGAAGGGAAAAAGAAGAGTCATCCAACGTAGAAACTATGAAAGCGGCATCAGGAGACAAGCTGAATTTTATTGAATTATCGACATGTTCTATTCTTCGTCTTTTGTTTGGTGGTTGCAGAGACATAAAAAGTATGCATTACATTGATCAAGCGGAGGATTTTTTTCAGCTGAATTTTTTTTTTTTGTCTGTCATGCTTCCCTTTGAACTGTTCATAATAATAAGCATTTTTCTCTCAAAGTGTATATAAGCAACAGAGGCATCAATAAAATGTTGCTTTAGATATTAGTTATGATATGATTGAACTGATTGGTAGCTTGTTTATGTATATAATAACTGGCAAATATGCACATTTAGACTATTCATATTCACACACATATACACATATGCACACAGAATTACTTCTGGATAACATGTATTAAAAAGTTTCCTTGCTATCTTAAGGGTAAATTAACCACTACAGAACATAAATTGCCACCGCAATTAAGAAACTACGGCCTATTCTATTGAAGAGTTTTAACAGACCTTCTCTTGGGGAAACACTGCATGCACCAGAAAATACACTAAGTTAGACTGATTCAACAGGCATCGCCTTTAACCACTACTTGTGATGTCGTCAACAAAGCCTTTCAATGTGTAGTATCAAGATAAGCATGTGTTTATAAAGTCACCACCTTGGTTTGTTTTTCTTTTCAAGAAGAGGAGATTAAAAGAAATGTGGTTATTGCTTTATTTTAATTTTATTTGCGTTGTCAGTTTGATCAATAAATAATCAAGATCAATCGCGCGTAATTATGATGAAACTTCATAAAGAATATTTCACTGGATAGCCTTATATGCAGTGCTTAGAAGAAGTGTCCGTAGCATTAGCCCATTTTCTAGTGCATGTAGTATTGGCCTACTTTTGCACACAGGAGTCACCGAAAGCGACCATTTTGAATTTCACAAGCTCTTTTCAGCCGGGCCCTATTCTTTGAACTGTAAAAGTTTCTCAGAACCATACTATTGTCAATACTCTGCTGGTATATATCCATTGCTTGTTCAACGCTTGTTGCTGTCTTTATATCTAATTTTGCAAGATTATTTTCTATGTCTTGCACTGTTTTGTCTTAGGGTGACTTCTTTGCTTTTTCTAACCTTCTTCAGGCATTGTAGTGTCCAGAGCCAATATCAATATCGCCTGCCTTTATTGCCATAGAGAGTGGAACCTGCGGAAATGATTTAGCTCCGGATTCTTTCCTGTTATACTTGCTCAAAGTTTTCTGTGCTTCTTCTTTACACTCACTGATATTCACCAATGCTTTGTACTTGTTGTGAAGCTCTAGATAATATTTGAACCGTTTCATTGTGAGGGGAGCAGTGGATGTCATCGTTTTCGAAAAAAATAGAAAATATAAGTAGCTGGAATGCGTCTTTTTGTAACCCTTTTGTTAACAAAAAAAAGAAAAAAAAATTATGGAAGTTGATCTTTATATGTAAAAATAAATGATGTCGATCAATTACATCCTATGGATCATATTAATTAATGCATCATCAACTACTAAAGACTACCGATGCCATGAATAAGGGTTATGGGCTTAATGATGATATCTTGGCTTGTATACGAAATATATATTGATTATATTACGTCAAAGAGCGTAATCTTTTTCAATATAAACGAAGAAATACGGCATCTGTTTCATCGTTACCCTTTGAGATGTAGTAGTTATCTTTTCAGTTTCAGGTCATCTCGTGCTGCTTATACAGACAAAAACGGCTGATTTCGTTCATCTTTAAATTGCTTTTATCATCGTATAAGTAACTCCTTTCTTCGAGACTGCTACTCCTCCATTTCAACTTTAAGCTATTCGTTTCCTTAGAGATGTTTCTTCTATTTTCATTCTTCAAAGCATCTTTCAGCTGCTACTCTATTCCAGTAACTTCAGCTTGCAAGCCTTGTATTTCTTGCTGGAGGGTTTCTTTCGACTTTTTAGATTCTCCCCTCACAGATAGATGATCTATCAAGTCATACGAGGCCGGGCCATTTTTCTTGCTTGAATCATCCACAGCAGCATTTGTTCCAAGCAAGTGGACAGCCTTGACTCTAGGCAATAGCGTTATACTTTGAGCGAATTTTGAGCCACTGGATTTGCACACCTTTGCTATAACGCTCATATCAAACAATGAATTGAAATGCGCCAGGAAAGCGCATATCAAAGGAGATGTAGGTCTTCAGTATTAGCTTTAGGACCACTCTTAAAGGTGTATATTCATATCGTATTTTATATTTAGATCAAAGTAAACAATTCAACCCAAAAAACAAAGCAAAAACAAGACAGTGTACGCTCTCATTTGAACCAAACGATGTATGCTAAAGATGAATCCGCTCTTGCACTGGCTCTTGGTCTGTTTGAACAAATGTTTGCTAGTTTCGAAAAGCTGGTTACATATTTCAAGTTTTGCAACTGTCCACACAATGGAGGCTATACAGTCATATCTTTCTCTCGTGTGTCACTTCTTTGCCTCTGTCTCTTACTGCCTCTCCTACCAACAACCTCTTCTACCAACAACCTCTTCTTCTGCTTCTCTTGACCCTAACCCAGAAGATATCTATCAATTTATTAATGCAAGAAGCACTTGCTGTTATGGTCTTTTTTTTTTTTAGTGCAAGGTCTCAGAACTGACGACAGAAACAGAGTAGCTGTGAATTCTGAAGGAGACTTACTGCTGTTTGCTGTGTTTAAAATTACGAATCAATGGTGACTTACACTGACCTATATCAGTGTAAAGTCAATTCTTTTTATTTGCAACACCTATTAAAAAGATTGCGCTATACCATCTTTTTTATATACACCAATTATAAACATTTTATACTTAATGTAAGCATGGGCAACACAATCATGGAACAAGGAACTAATGTGAACCACATTTACTAAATTATCAATCCTCTTTTTTTCTTTTGCTTGCTTGCTTTGAACCATAGCGTGAACCATGGTAAATATTTCAAACAAGGAGTTTATATATAAAAAAGAGAGATAAAAGAAAAATAGAGAGAGGAGGGGAGAAAAGGTGTAGCGTGTTTAGAGCTTTGGCGGCATAAATAACATGTATTTTTCAATTTATATAGGATTTGCCAGAGAACTGGGTAGTGCGCCATTCCCGTACGTATAATAAAGATTATTATTACAACACTGTTACAAAAGAATCACGATGGGATGCACCTGTATTACAAGGGGATCTGGAAAGAGTACGCGCTAGTCATTTATTGATCAAAAGCAGAGAGTCAAGAAGACCAAGCTCATGGAGAGAAGTGAGTAAATATTGTATGAATGTAGATTATATTAAATGATTATGTGATAGGAGCGTATTACAAGAACAAAGGAAGAAGCTTTGCAGATATTAACAGAGTTTCAACGTAAAATTGAATCAGGAGAAGAAACTCTATCGGCATTAGCTACGAATTTTTCAGACTGTTCCAGTGCCAAACGTGGCGGTGATTTAGGCTATTTTGAACGCAACCAAATGCAAAAACCATTTGAGGAAGCGGCATTTTCACTTCAAGTAGGAGAGTTAAGTAAGCCTGTTTGGACTGACAGTGGCGTACATCTCATACTGAGAACAGCATAAGTAACAATACTTCTTTTGTACATATACTTATGAATAAATGAGCGTCTTCTTGATGCATTTCCCTCTTTTTTGTTGTCTTGTTTGATTGTCATCTGTCTTGGTTATTTTAAAGTCTTTTTTTTTTAAACATGGAAGAGTTTAGAAAAGGCACATCGCTTATTTCGGAGAAATCATTCCTTTGTAATACATGGATCAACAGCATTTCTTGCTTAGCAGTGCATACGGAATAAAACACCATGATAACGCCGTTCCGTTTGTTCGGATAATAAATGTTGCCTAGCAGGTGTAAACTGTAGTCTGGAGAAAAAAAGTTGACTTTATAGTTGCTTATCAATTGCATTGATTTATTTCTATTCATTTCAGAAACATAAAGGAGATACTACATCTTTGTCAAGAGGCATACCTTAGTTTCCATACTTTATGCCTAACATTAATGTACAAACTATACGATAGATACATTATCACTCAAGCTATGACGGCTTCTTGCTCTTTAACAATGAATATCGAGTAGAGTAGAGATGAGTATAGAGTTGATTCAGAAAAAGCATTGAGAATAAAATTACCCTTTTGTGCCGTTTCCCCCTTAATCGTTTGACTCATCTTTTGACTTTTGTATTTTTTTTTATAATCAGCCAATTAGTCATCGCATAAATGTAGACATTTGACTATTATGCATTCTTTAATGCAATCCAGATGAAAAGAGAGCATAATAAAAATAATCAATTCATCATTTTATATATTCTCTTTATTTTTGATATTCGATTCCCAACAGATGAGCTGCAGATCAATCAAACTTTGACGTATTATGAACCAAAATAAAAGGAACGAGTCAAAAGTTAAAGATTGTGAATGATACAATACATTATTCTTGTAAAGAAGTAATGACAAAGCTTCGCGTGCGTAAAAAGATTCCCAGTTGGACCATCGGACAATCGTAAATAATATTACCCGACATATCACTCGAAAAAAAAAAGATCAAATTCTACCAAATCAAGTATAATTAAGTCGGGAAAATTATAATCCATGCAATATGATGAAGTATTCTATAAAAGTGACATCGTTTCTTTTCTCTTTGATTTCATAGTTCATTGACAGCTTATAATTAAACATATGCAGCCAGATCAAGCGAGTGCTATAGGGACAGAAGAAGGAGTAATGCCTACTATTCATAGTAGTTTGACAAACAGTACCTTGGAAAGCGAGAAAGAGATTGACAAGGAACAAAATGAGCCATATTCTATATTTTCGATACCACAACAAGTCGTTCTTTTGGGCATCACAGCATTCACTGCCATGATATCCCCTTTGACAGCCAATATTTATTTACCCGCGTTAAATCAGATTGAACAAGTAGGTCTACATGTAAAATTTTTGATAAACATGGCCTAATGATTTCAAAGAGCTTTAATATAAGCACAGAGCAAGTAAACCTGACAATTACTGTTTACATGATCTTCCAGGCAATATCACCTACCTTTTGGGGAACATTAGCAGATAGCATAGGCAGACGTCCTATTCTCATGAGTACCATGACTGTATATTGTGGTGCCTGTATTGGATTAGCATTGGCACCCAACTATGCCTCTCTTATGATATTTAGAATGCTCCAAGCTTTTGGATCAAGCTCCGTCATTGCTGTTGGCGCTGGTGTTCTCGGAGATATCGCTGATAGTAAAAAGTAAGTCATTATTACATGACAGAATCAATTACTCATTTTTCGTTCTATTTTAGACGTGGATCTTATTTTGGTGTATATTCCATTGGTCAATTATCAGGACCAGTATATGGCCCGGTTGTGGGAGGCGCTATTGCTCAAAACCTAGGCTGGCGGTGGATCTTTTGGATCCTACTGATCATCAGCGCGACTTCCTTGGTAGCTGTTGGTCTTTTTGTGCCCGAAACGCTACGTAGCTTGGTTGGAAATGGATCTGGGTATGCCAATCCTACACCCTGGCAATGGATTGCTCGTAGACGAGGAAACCTCGATGAGAGGCGCATACAGGAAATCAAAGAAAGAAATCCAAAAAGGACTAGAATGAATTTCTTGAAACCCTTCATGTACTTGCTAGAACCCGATGTACTTGTCACTCTTTTATACAATGGTCTTCATTACACTGGCATTTATTGCTCCTTGGCTTCGATGACAAAGCAGTTCAGTATTCACTTTCCATTTTTATCCGAAACGAATATTGGTCTTTGTTACCTCAGTCAAGGCTGTGGTTCAATCCTTGGATCATATACACGAGGCAAAATCTTGGATTACGACTACAAAAAAGTTAGAAACGCGTTCAGAGAGAAACATCCAGACAGGCCGGAATGGGACATGCCTATCTTCAAGGCACGTTTTAGAACAATTTATGTGAACGTTGTCATGTGTGAGGTCATTACGATATTTTATGGCTGGTGCTTCGAGTGGAACGCACATCTTGCTGTTATATTAGTGCTTCAATTCTTTGGTAAGGCGCTTTTCTTTCTTACCTTTCTTCATAATGCTCATAAATCGCTTAATAGTTGGTTTTGGCACAGGTGGCATTATGGCTACTACTCAGACGTTATTGATTGACTTGTTTCCTGGCAAAGGTGCATCAATTACTGCCACAAATAACTTGGTTCGTTGTATATTGGGGTAACTACATAAATAGACTATATATAAGCATTGGCTCATTTTATCTTTAGAGCTATTGCAACGGTTTGTATTGATCCAGGTATTAGTGGCATCGGAATGGGTTGGATGTTTACTATTGTGGGCTTGATACTAGTTATATCCAATATTTGTATACTCGTCTTATTTATATATGGACCAGCTTGGAGAAGAAATCGTATTGACAGACAGCTGATGAAGGAAAAAGAGAAAATGCAAGCATAAGAAGGCAATATATTCCCGAGATTAATCTAATGTAAATATATCATGTATTATCACTTAATATATAGATGTTCATTGTTATAAAATAAAAATGTCTTACAGTTAAAGTCAATCAGCATTTAAACTTGCACTAATGCTGAAGAACGATCTCTTTGCTGCATGAATACTGTGACTTGGTATTTTGGTGTCCGTGTCGTGTTTCCGCCCTTGAAAAACCAGCTGCAGACAATCTTTTTAAAAAAAGGGCCTTCATAAAAATATGACAAGCACGTACCAAAGTGACAACAATGTACAATCATTGCTTCTTTTTCATGAACGAGACTTTAATTGTTTATAGGTGCTAGAAAAGGACATGTTTGCTGGAATAATGACCAGTTTATGCTTTCATAATGACCACATTCTGTTAGCAGGACATGGTCCTTATTTAAAAATATACAACATACAAACTGGAAAGATACTGTGCAGTGATTATGTTATGCAAGCTAATCGCATTCATCGCATTGTTCCATGTAGGTCTGACATTGACATGCTTAATTACAAAGACAATATTAACCAAGTAACGTGCAGATCCAAAAGTAATTCTGTCAGACTCGAAAACAGAGACAAGAAAATTGGCCATATTTGGGTCAAAATACTTATCCATTCTTACGATCGAGGTGTCGGATGATAGTGCAAGGTAAACCCGAATATATTGGTCCAAAAATGCTTCTATTGACATATCATCTAGATGTACAGTTGAACAATCATTTGGACCTTTTAAAGACTGGATCATGGATGCACAATGGATAATTGAAGATGATGATTCTTCGATACAAATGTCAATAGTCTATGCCCATAATTTCATGGAAGTTGTAAGATTGAATGGATCTGGATCAATAGATGTGTTATATTCTGTTCAATGTCAAGTTCGATGTATTCTATATTCAGCTCGTATTTTTGGTACTACCAGAGACACCTTGACGGTTGCTTCAGGCACAGTATTTAATGAAGTTCATCTATGGAAGCCATTGATAAAAGACGAACATGATGACGCTATTGTGTATAAAAAGTTGATTGGCCATGAAGGCGTTATCTTTTGTGTACGGTTTAATCATGATGCAAGCCAAATAGCAAGTGTCTCTGATGATAGAACCATTCGTATATGGTCACTTGAAGATGAAAGGTATACACCACACGAAAAAGCATAAAAAATGTTATTCAATGCTTTGCAGTAAACAACCTCTCATATTGTTTGGCCATACCGCTCGTGTATGGGATTGTCAATTTGTTGACCAGTATCTAGTCAGTATATCCGAAGACTCGACCTGCAGAGTTTGGAAGAACACACTGCTGCAAGAGGGTGTTGAAGATGAAGATAATGAGAATGGCAGTGATTGCATTGCCTGTTGGGAAGGACATGCTAGTAAAAATGTATGGAGCTGTGCCATTAATCCGAAACATAATGTTGTGGCAACCGGAGGACAGGATTCAGGTATCCGTTTATGGTCTTTTGCCTCCATCAAAAACAGTAGAATCGACTCAGAGGAGGACCTCAACAGCTTTCCCTTGCCTGCAGAAAGGGGCAAGGATTACGTACGCAATTTTGCTATGATTAAAGATCAGATGTTAATAGGAGCAACTACAGAAGGTTATCTGTTAAAATGTGATAAAAGCAAGAATGTCTGGGAAGAGATTCAACATGATCCTTCGTACAAGAATTACGCCATCATGAAAAGTTCAAAGTGTGGTAGAATCGTGATTATAGGCAACATTTATGGTGATTTGATTGTGATCAGTCCTGAAAATAAGTTTGAAGTGAGTATGCTATATACTGTCTAAATGACATTCTTATGAATTTATGCAGCCAGTGAAAGTGCCAGCACACAAACAAAAGCTCTTTGAAATCTTTATTGAATCATCTTCAAGTAAGAAAAGAACAAAGATGACAAGAATAATCATATTGATTGAATACTATAGATGAAAATATCTTGTACATAGTCTCAAACGGATACAACGAAAGAGTTCTTTTCCATGTATTGGACCTTTCTGGTTCAAAAGTAAGTCAATTATCTAATCATCAAGTTTGTATAATAACTAGTGTAGCCTTCTCTTGAAACATTGTACAATATTGAAATGCCTGTCGAAAAGACAACCGTCTTATCAATTGGAATTGTCGAAGAACACAACATTCTTATTTGTGGGTCTCGAGAATCTGCCTTGTTGATATATCGTATACCAAGTTATAGAGCCTCTTTAGATCATGCTGTTCAAAGCCTGAAAGCTTCTTTACAGCTCCGTCGATCACACGGCCGTCAAGCTATCACAAGTGTACTGGTCCGACCAAGGTCCCATACAGACGATGATGAAGAGCAAGAGACAAACGGAGATGTCGATTTTTGGACAACAGGCCGTGACGGCTGTTATATCCAGTACCGTCTTTGTTTATTAAAGGAAGCTTCAAAAAAGATGCCTTCTGATGCAGGCTGTACTGAAGTAGATGAACAAGAAACACAGCTAGGTGTAGCTAGCAGAGGTGATACTCTTGTCCATAGCCGAGATATGACGCTTGAAAAAATATATCGAAACAAGGTTACCAAGGGCACGTTGGAAGGCTCTTTATTCATAGACAACGAGGTTTTATTACTTGGTTTCTTTAGAAAACACTTTTTTGTGTATAATGAAAAGAAAAACTTTGTTATGGCCTCTATCAACTGTGGCGGTGGACACAGAAGGTGGAATTTCTTTGCAGGCGATGCCAAACTAAACAAATCAGCATTTGCCTTTATCAGAAAAGAAGTACTTTTTGCGCATTTCAGGGATATTTCAGGTATGGATGAAGGATTTAACGATAGTATACTTCAGCACAATTACCATGGTCGTGAAGTACGTGCTCTTCGATTTCTTAAGCTGCCATGTAAAGGTATGAAAGAGCCAAGACCACTCTTATTTGCCACGGGTGGTGAAGACACGATCCTTAGGATTCAGCAGTGTATGCCAAACAGTACTTCTGGATTTCATACTCTTGTCAATATTCGTAAGCATACGACGGTTATCAAAACAATTGACTATAGCCAAGGTTCATCTACTCTCTTGTTTACCAGTGGCGGTCTAGAAGAACTCCGATGTTGGAAGGTTGAGGTGATTTCGCCTAGGGCTGAACAAGAACCTGTACATCTGAATTGTCTTGAAATGGCCAGCTGTCCTGCTTTAACAAAAGATATAGAAGTTAGAATTATGGATATAACAGCTTTTGCTATTTCTCCCGAATATCATATCATTGGAGCAGTCTACTCTGACTCTATGATTAGGGTTTGGCTGTTCAATGAAGATAGTAGAAAGTTTTCTCTTGTGGCAGATGGTACTTGGCATGCAAAGTGTATACTTCAGATATGCCATGTTCAAGTCGACGGACATGTCTATTTCTTTACTTCAGCTACTGAAGGAGGTATTGCCATGTGGGATATTCATGACGAGTTACAGAGTGCTCTAGAAAAAGTTGATGAACTGGAAGCTGAACCTACTCTTGCGGCGTTCAGACTATCGGAGCCATTATATTATTACAGAACACACATGTCAGGTGTAAATGGATTAGAAGCGATTCCATACAAAGGTATTTTGTTCAAGTTGAAAAGGAGATGAAGCTAATACATGTTGTTATTAGATAAGAATCATTTACTGATTGCCACTGGAGGCGAAGATAATGCTGTTTCTGCAACTGTTTTGCATATTCAGGATGATAACACTATAAAACCTATTGGTGATTCTTTTATAATTCCCGATGCCCATGCATCCTCAGTTACAGGTATAAACATGAAAAACACACAATAGTTTCAACTTATTTATCTCAATTAGGCATCAAATGCGTTGGTGATGTCATCTTTACTTGTTCTACTGATCAACGGTTGAACATTTGGAAAGTAAATAATAATCTTGAGGATGGCAGCGTTTCTCTAACACTATCTGTTGCTACCTTTCTCGATGTCCCTGATCCTTCTGCTCTCGATGCTGTGTCTTTAAAGTAAGTCTGTGGTCCTAATACATTCTCCCTTGATTAAATATTTTTGTTTAGTGGATGCATTCATGTAGCAGCTACTGGCATTGGTTTACAAAGTATTAAATACGGTCAATTGAAACAATAAGAATAGAATGATAGAATTTTTATTATTTTTATATATATTGCTAATATCTCTTTCTCTACTTATATCGTTGCTGTTGTTGTTGTTTTATGCAAATGTTGAAAAAGCATTTTAACCTTGACGCTGCTTATGCTTTTTATTTTTTGAACATGTAACAAAAAGCTTTCCTCTTCTTCTGACAGTTGTGCAGCCATCACATAACTTCTTGACTGAAGATCGAACCTTCATTGTGCGAACAACATTGTACATAATAGAGTTATTAGTCTGTTGCCATAGTGCCAAGGTAGGCTGTTGTTGTCTAGTGAATTGTTGAAATGCAGTCTTTGTGAAATTTGTCAGAAATGACATTGTGTATTGGCCTAGTATAAAAATCAAATTATGACAAGGCTAAGCAACCACTATGTTATATATATTTTTTTTTCGTCCTGAAAATTTAGACTCAGTCATGTCAAAAAAAAAAGTTTTGTTTGGAAGGACTTGAGCTTCTTTTTCCCGTCAACAAAACATGGCTGATCCCAAAGAGCAACCACAGGACACACCTGCCACTGACAACAAGCCCGAGCTTGATGCTGCTGCTGCTGCAAAGAAGGCAGCAAAGGAAGCCAAGCAGAAAGAAAAACAGGCCGCCAAGTTGGCTAAATTCCAAGCAAAACAAGCCAAGGTAAATAATAACAACGGTATAGGGTAGCAAATCTTTTGAACAATTGTGTCATCCCAATAGCTTAATGAGGCCAAGAAGGCTGCCGGAGACAGTAACAATGCCGAGAAAAAAAAGAAGAAGGAGTCAAAGACCTCTACACCTGTCTTTGTTAACAAGACACCCAAGGGCGAAAAGAAAGGTAAAAAAAGCGAGGCATGATAAAATGATACACAATGACTCACATAGAATCATAGACATGTCTGATCCTATGGCTAATGCTTATGATCCTCGTGCTGTCGAAAGTGCTTGGTACGACTGGTGGGTTAAGGAAGGTCTCTTCAAGCCTGAATTTGGTCCTGATGGAAAGCCAAAGCCTGAGGGTACATTCGTTATTCCTGCCCCTCCACCAAATATTACTGGTTCCTTGCATATTGGTCACGCTTTAACTGTGGCTATTCAAGATGCATTGATCCGCTGGTATGTTAATTGTTTTCATATAACTTTGGATCCTCATTTTCTTTATTTCATAGGCAGCGTATGTTGGGCAAGACCGTCCTTTTCAATCCTGGTACAGATCACGCTGGTATTTCATGTCAATCTGTTGTTGAAAAGATGTTGTGGAAACAATCAAAAATTACTCGCCATGATCTCGGACGTGAAAAGTTTGTTGAAAAGGTGTGGGAATGGAAGGAACTCTACGGTAACAAGATTCATACCCAATTTGAGCGTCTTGGTGCCTCATTTGACTGGGACCGTGCTGTGTTCACGATGGATCCTGTAGGTATTAGTCAATTGTTTCTTTCAGAGTAACTTATTGTCTTTTAGAAACGTTACCATGCTGTAGAAGAAAACTTTATCCGTCTCCACCGTGATGGCATCATTTACCGTGCTAACCGTCTTGTCAACTGGTGTGTTGCCCTTAATACCACCTTATCCAATTTAGAAGTCGAAAATAAGGAATTGACGGGTCGTACTTTATTGAACGTTGCTGGATACGATGAAAAGGAAAAGTTTGAATTTGGTGTTCTCAATGAATTTGCTTATCAAGTCGAGGGATCAGACGAACGCGTTGTTGTTGCCACCACCCGTATCGAAACCATGTTGGGTGACACAGCCATTGCCGTCCACCCCAATGATGAACGCTATAAGCATCTTCACGGTAAATACGTCGTTCATCCATTCATTGATCGTCGTATTCCTATTGTCACCGATGATATTGCCGTCGATATGGCCTTTGGTACTGGTGCTGTCAAGATCACACCTGCCCATGACTTCAACGATTACGAAGTAGGAAAGCGCCACAATTTGGAATTTATCAACATTCTCAATGATGATGGTACCTTCAACGAACATGCTGGTCCTTATAAAGGCATGAAGCGCTTCCATGTTCGTAGACAAATCGTTGAAGACCTTAAGGCCAAGGGCTTATTTGTTGGTGTAAAGGAAAACCCTATGAGTGTTCCTGTCTGTAGCAAGTCTGGTGATATTATTGAACCTTTGATGAAGCCTCAATGGTGGGTCAAGTGTCAAGGTATGGCTGATAAGGCTATGAAGGCTGTCACTGATGGTGAGCTTAAGATTTCACCCAAGGTTTCCGAAGGTGACTGGTTCCGTTGGTTAAGCAATATCAATGACTGGTGTATCTCTCGTCAACTCTGGTGGGGCCATCGTGTTCCTGCTTACTTTGTCAAGATTGAAGGTGAAAACAACGACCAGATGAATGACGAATTGTGGGTCACGGGTCACAACGAAGATGAGGCTCGTACCGCTGCCGAAGCCAAGTTCCCTGGCAAAAAGTTCACCCTTGAACAAGATCCTGACGTTTTGGACACATGGTTCTCTTCTGGTTTATGGCCATTCTCTATCCAAGGCTGGCCCGAGCAAACATTTGATATGGAACACTTTTATCCTGCTAGCATGCTCGAAACAGGTTGGGATATTCTCTTCTTCTGGGTTGCTCGTATGGTTATGCTTGGTATCCAATTAACTGGCAAGGTTCCATTCAAGGAAGTTCTCTGCCACGCTATGATCCGTGATGCCCATGGACGAAAGATGTCCAAGTCGCTTGGTAACGTCATTGATCCCGTTGATGTCATCGAAGGTATTACTCTTCAAGGTCTTCATGATAAATTAAGCCAGGGTAACCTTGACACTAAGGAAATCAAGAAGGCAATGGCTGGTCAAAAGGCAGATTTCCCCAGAGGTATTCCCCAATGTGGTACTGACGCTCTTCGTTTTGCTCTGTGTGCCTATACCACTGGTGGCCGTGATATCAACCTTGACATCTTGCGTGTTGAAGGTTATCGTAAATTCTGTAACAAGTTGTGGAACGCCACTCGTTTTGCCTTGATGAAGCTTGGTGATGACTTCAAGCCTAATGCTTCTTCCGAGCCCAGTGGAAATGAGTCCTTGGTTGACAAATGGATTCTCACAAAGCTTAACAAATGTGCTATTGATACCAACAAGGCATTAGAAGAACGCAACTTTAAGGCTGCCACAGATGCTGTCTATCAATTCTGGCTTTATGAACTTTGCGATGTCTACATCGAAGCGATCAAGCCTGTTTGTGATATTGATACTAGCAAGGATGAAGCTGCCCACGCACGTAAAGTTACAGCTCAAAATACTTTATACACCTGTCTTGAGGCCGGCCTTAAGCTTATGCATCCATTCATGCCTTTTGTTACTGAAGAACTGTTCCAACGTCTTGTCCGTCGCCCTGGAGACAACATTATGAGTATTGTAAAGGCCAAGTATCCTACTGAAAATAAGGCATTTGACTTTACTGAAGCTGAAAAGGACTTTGACACTCTTTTTGAAGGCGTCAAGGTCATTCGTTCAATTGCTACTCAGCTCATGTTAAAGAAGAACATTGTTGCTGCTGTACAAACCAGCGATGCTACTCTCTTCAAACTTTATGAAAGCCAAAAGCATACTATTGTTGCCTTGGCTAAAGGTGTTACTGAATTATCTATTTTGGATGCAAGTGCAGAATCCCCTGTAGAAAGTGAATCTGGGTCTGTCGGTGATAATGTTACTGTGTTTATTCGTAAACAATCAAGTGATAACTAATAAATTGATATGCTTCATTATTGTTCTTGTCGTTAACGGTGTTGTCTTAAAAGCTAATATATTGTTTATGGGCGGAGAAAGAGCTGTGACAAGCTTTGTGACTGAGACACTTTAAAAAAAATTTTTGAATGAACCTTTAAGTAGAGCAAATTTACCTGTTAGCTCTTTTTTTTTTTAACTTTTTCCTTTCTCTTTAACTAGAAGAAAGAGGGAAAGATATTCATAAGTGGTAAGTTATTATTTTGGAGGGTTTCTTTATTTTTTTGCTTTGATGATAAATTTGATCATGCACCACGCAGAATGGTTATTGATGATACAATCCATTTTTACCTGAGCGAAAAAACAAAGAAACAATATATTGTCAATTGATATATTAACCATATATACTTATTATAGAAGATCACTTGGGTCGATTCACTTTTATTATGTCTTATCTTTCTACTTTGTTTTTGAACCTGACTCAAGCAGGTTTTTAACCAAAGGGTTCATTTGTTTATTTAATAAAAATTCAAATGTTCAAGTCACACATTCGTCTTTCTTTTTATTATTATTATTTCAACCATGTCTGAAAGTGTTTGGTTTTCTGGTCCAGTGAAGGATGCAGTCTCTATAGTTAACCAGAAGGATTGCGTATTTCTTGTCTATATTTATGGTTTATACATTTCCAGTCTTTGGTTTTACTATTTATAATAACAATCATAATAATAATAGACGACTCTGATAAAACCAAGACATTAGACAACACACTCAATGATGAAGAAATAGCAAACCACATTAAACAACATGCTGTTGCTTTAAAAATGGAAAAGGATTCAGAGAATGCTTCTCTATTTAGCCAATTATGTATGCTTATACTCGTAAAGTTCGCTAAGTTTAACCTTTTTCTCTATATTGCAGATCCAATACAGACTGTACCCATCTTGTACTTCATCAAGCAAGGTGTAATCAGAGAGTTTGGAACTGAAGCTATTACCAAACAAGAACTCTTGGAAAAGATAACAAATGCAAATAACCAAACCACTGTTGGTCAGCAAAACGCGTCTTTAAATACGAGTACACCTTCCGAGGCAAGTGGCAGTCGTACGACAGTTGATACACCTTTTGAAGACCAAAATAATGCGTCTACAAATAACAATGCAAATGCAGAGGCAACAGCTGCAGCAAAGAAAGCGGAGTAAGCCTACATCACAGGATATAACGGATGATTTAATTTAAAAATAAATAGATTGCAAAAACGGTTAGAAGAAGCTCGAAAACAACGCGCTGAGCAAGAAAGACAAGTAAGTACATACATTTATTAGCAACACAGACCGCGATCGACCGATAATCTTGTAGGAAGAACGAGCGAGAGAGATAAAGCGTAGAAATGAGGCAAAGGCTATACAAGAGGCTCAGCAGATGCAAAAGGATAAGGAAAACCAATTGTACCTTGAAAAGATAAAAAAAGAACGCAAGGAGGCAGAAGAGCATAAACGTAGAGTGCGCGAGCAAATAGCCAGAGATCGCGCAGAGAGATTAGCTGAGAGAAAGGCAGAAAAAGGACGTCAGGAAGCCGCTGGTTCATCCAGTCAGCAGATAGACAATACGAGGTACATTGAATGTTTTCATTCCCCTTTTTATTTGGGCTAATCTCCTCCTCCAAGTAAGAAGAGACAGAACCACGAATATAGCAATCTGAATATCCGTTTGCTTGACGGGACAAATATGCGTCATCAGTTTGAAGGTAAAAAGGATAGATGTATCATTATGGGTATTTAATACTTTACTTGTAGCATCTGATACTTTGGCTATAGTAAAACACTGGATTGAACAAGTAGGTAGCTCTAACATGAGCACAAAGAGAAAGAGAAGGGATATTGAACACAGACTTTTATAGAACAGAACAGATGAAAAGAAAGACTATAAGCTCTCTTCTCTGTTTCCTACTCGTTTATTTACCGAAGCAGATAATAATACCTCTCTCCGAGACCTGGATCTCTGCCCAAGCGCTACTATCATCTTGAAGCGAAGCAAAAACACAGCACCCAGTTTAAACCAGAATAATAGCTCTCAGCTCGGTTTTTTCCAAGCTGGGCTAGGTCATGCTTACGCTTTCTTTGTAGGTTTGCTGAGCTTTTTCGCCGGATTGTTTGGCACGTTATTTCCAAGAAATGGATACAATCCCATTCAACCATCTGCAACATCTGAGCAACAACGACAGCAACAACAACAACAACAACAACAACAGCAGCAGCAGCAGCAGCAGCAGTCATCTGCTCACAGTTTGAAGGGCGGTCATCGTTTAGGAGGCATACCTAACTCAAGCGAAGATAGCATCTCTACGTCAGTAGCAGATAGAGGACAAAGGTAAAATAACCCTTGACAGATATCTCTTTGAAGCTTACTATTCTACCCTTAGGCGAACACCTTTTACTGCTCGCTTCAATACCTTATACGAGGGGAATGATAATGCTGAAAATGAAAAGAGACCGACATACAATGGCAACTCTGTTAACCATGAATAATCAATAAATGGGTACTTTTTTATATACATTTGTTGCTTAATTGTTGAATGCCGTCTACGTCGAAAATACCATGTTCTTCTAACTCAATAGAGGCTATGATGGCTCTTGCTACCTGCTCTGTGTTTAGAGGGGCTGTTGTGATTGATTTACCCCCAGGTAAACTTCCAATTTCTTTTTTGAAAGGGCTTGTGATGGCGTTGGCGAGCTTTAATGCGCCTACAAGAGGAGCAACACTGGGTCTATTTGAATTGTACATCAAGCCTATTTAATATATATACATCAGACTCTTCATTTCAAAAAAATTGATCTCTCTATCTCTCTTTTCTTATCCTTCTTACCTGGACGCAAAGCAACTGTTTTAAACTTGTCTATTTTAAATAAATAGCTTTCAACCTCTCTCTTTGTTGTATAGTATCGAGGATCAATAAATGGCATGACTTGAGATGCAGAGATAAACACAAACGATTTTATCGAAGGCAGTTTTTCAACTTGGTTGGCAACAGTGATGGCTATATATAAGAGGGACATGAGCATACAGACATATGACTATATTATATAGATGAGTTACCTGTATCTCTGTTCATCATCTCATAAGTTGGACGAACTTTATGCTCCAACTTGGGATCAAGAGGATTTCCCTTGTCATTCAACAATAGTCCTGATAACTTTCCCGCAACTTCGCACAAAGACTTTGCCTGTGCAATTCCCTTATAGTCATTTTCTAAAAGAATACCCACACTATGAACTACATCAGTCACTCCCGATAGCACTTCCTTATAGCTCTCGGGCTCAAGTGAGTTACCAGAAGCCCATTGAACCTGTATTATCATTAGACAACTTGGATACGCGTTTGAAATATATATATATCTTTACCTTTTCAGCCCAAGCGGGTTTACCTCTCTGTTGAAAAACAGCAGGTTCTCCCTTTCGACTATATACAAGAAACACTAAGCTTATGACAAGAAAAACCAAAACAAGTTCTTTATTACCTTAGACTGACTGTTTCCCAACCCTTTTGAACAGCAAGTTTACAAACATCAAGCCCTATTGATATGCGCGTTAATAAAAGTAATGGTCTGCAATTCATGCGACATTACCAAGGAAACCAGTGCCACCTACAACGAGTACTTTTCTCGCAATTGACATTTTGAATGTGGTAAGCAAACCTGCAAAAAGTCAGCTTGAAACAGCAGGCCATAAAAGCGTTTTAAACTCCAGATATATGATAGTCACGCTGTACAAAAAGCAGGTCAGCCATCTATCAGAATAGCAGCAAACAGCATATCTGTCGTATTTACCCTATAAATACTTTATGTTATCATTATGGATAGTGCGTTTTACCATAAACTTCCTATGAATATTGTATCTAGTTCTGCAAATAAAAAAGATATAAGTGTAAAATGGCTAGCTACGAAAAAGTACTTGGAGATGAGGAGGGCAAGCTTAGCTCTCAATTGACAAAAGAAGCACTTTTGAATACCGTTGAAAGTAAATACTTAACATTTTTTTATGTAATCTTTGGCATCTCCAGAAAGTACAACCATATGCTTATATTCACGCCTCCATATCATTGTGAACTACAGCACATTGAAGTAGCTTGGTCGATGGTAAAGGGCCTTGTTGTATACAATCCCGATCTCCATGAGGTTGCCAGAAGTTTGAAAGAAAAACTTGATACTGCATTAAAAAAACATTGATAAAGGGTCTCTTATTTCGGTTGGAAGAAGTGATATGCAAGCAGGAGTATTTATGGCTAGTAAGAGTTGATCATGACGCGTTATATGATTTATAGTCAGTCTTTTCGTGATGTTCATTTTTAGAGTGATCTCATATTGTGTAAATACGATAGAAAGCCTTACTCAACAGCCATACAAGCAACATATAATAAATAAAGGACACTGCCTACTTCTTTTTAATTGGAATGTATATTGTCTTGTCAACTAAAATTAGCTCACAAAGTGTAAGGATACAACTTACACTGTAGTAATTATTCATTTTAAACATTAAGCAATATGTATTCAAAAAGTTTCATTTTTCAGAGTGATCCCAAATGGCCACTTACAGATTATGTACCATCAGAATGTTCACTCAATGTTCTCTTTGCTAGCTGTTGCAGGTCAGTGATGCTATAGGAACAGAGTTCTCATTTCAACGGTTTTTGTAAAGTAGCTTTGAGAGCATCTTGCCTCATTCAAATTTCACAATAGGGCAGTTGGTATGGTCATCCAATGATGGTTTGAATTGCCGCGTAGAGACAAATGTGAAAAACTAATTACAAAGAGGTACATTTCTGGTGAACACTACGCGTACGAGGAAATCCACGAGAAGGCTAATGCTACGAGCGCTTCTTCTAGGCACTATGTGTGACATCACTTTACAGCTGCATACTACCTAAAGCGTCTGCCTAACCAAAGGCTGTCCAGTGGAATATTCTTTGATATAAAATACGAATTTATCATAATTACACGTGATTGATCTTCGCTCTTTGTTGATTAACTGACAACATAAAATAAAAATACAAAAATAAAAAACAACATCTCTTTTTTTTTATCTCTTTCTTCTTAAAAGATGAATTCATATTCTACATCAAGGAGCATGGAAAGATGTTTGTTCCTGAGCAAGCTTAACGTGGTGCTATACATTGAAACGTTTCGTTGACGATATCACAGATGGTGTTTGTATCATTAACCCTCTTGTGGATTTCCTCGTGTGCGTAGTATACATCCCATTTCTAATATCGTATTTTATTTATTTATTGTCATTTAATTAATCATAAAAAAAGCTAGAATCTTCGTTCACCAATGCCATTCAGCATAGCTTGGATCCATCCCCCACAGGACGAAAACCTGTTCTAGCGTCATGGAGGAAAAAAAACTCGAATAGACCCTTGATCCAATAGAGTCAATAACCCTAGACCAACGTAGTCTCGCCAAGCATAGAACGCGATTGCTGTACTGCCTATGGTGAGGCCATACTCTATACCTATAACGGTCGTTGAGGTCGGCTTACCAGCCTCACATGGAGAGTCTACCACATAATGAATAGCAGAGGCGCAACCAGGTCTCTTGGAGGTACTCTATTCGACGCTAGGGGTATTGTTCACGATAAGCTCGATGGAAACACCCCCATAAAAACCCCACTTTTTGTCCGTGCGACAGTACTGAAAAGTATCTCACACGTTACGAGAAGTTCGTTTCACACTGAATTAGATCATTATCAAAGGCATTTGCGTGAATGAAATACCAGCTATTCAAAATGTGAGAGTTGAAGAGAAAGAAAAAGAAGAAAGAAGAAAAAAGGTCCCTGAATATACTTTTTTATATCTGTGGAAATTTAAAATAAGTCACACAAAACTTTTTAAGCCAATCATAACTCGGTTTGATTTAAACATAGTCTTTTATTCGCATGAGTAAAGGACTCTGTTGGTATGTGTCAAATGACTTGCCTATGTTTAATTTGATTACAGATAAAGAGGATAATAAGAATTCTAAGCTTATCTGACTTTAAACACGTAAAGTGGGAGTGTTGAAGGTAAAAAAAAAGCGGAAATTGTAAGAGGACTGTAAACCATTTACTATAAATAAAACGCCTTGTTCATATTTTTTCGTAGTCTCTCAGAAGAATTGTGTGTACTATAAGAAAGCCTCAAATCATTTTAATTCTATTCAACGCAATAAGCAGTTTTATTTGAGGTGACTGTCCATACTAGCTTTAAAAATCATAAACAAATTCCATATAAGCGTATCAAATGTCTATTCTAGAATCACTTTCAGTGAAATTAAACAAACACTCTTTTCAGCTTGAGCAATCGTTGATTCTTTTAGCTTTTCTCAAGCATTCTTTACCTTGAGCAATAAATAAAAAGAGAGGACTATTACTAATGAGAACCATTGCTTGTGTGTATGACAAGAAAAAATATTTTACAGAGTTCATCCCTCGTGCTAATTGCTCATTTTTGTCCTTCATTCTGCATAGAAAGATGGGACTTTTATTCAAAGCTTATAAAAGGGTCTTAAAGAGCATAAATGAAGATAGTGACACAAGCACAGGTGCAAACATATTTAAGAGGGGCGCATCAGAACTTTCGAGTGAAGAAACAATAAATATGGAAAGGGACTTTCATAACGAGGAATCTTCAACTTATTGGTTACCGAAAGATCCTGCAGAACAACTTAGATTAACAGGTGTAAGATCAGAGTGATTAAGACATATAAAAGTGGAATGAGCTGATGAGTTGTAAATAATATTTATAGCAACATTTCGCAATTAAGGAACTTTATCAAGGGTATAGAAAAACAAAAAACAAAAAAAAAAAAGAGTTCATTATTATTTTTGTATCTTAGCAATATCCTGAAGAATGTCCGTAAAAAGCTCGATTTTAAGAAAGGAATACGCGTGTTGGATGTTGGGTGCGGATCTGGTGCATGGATTATGGTAAGAATTATAAAGTGTATTTTTATGAAAATTAATTGTATCAAAAGGACATGGCAACAGAATATCCAAACTGTGTATACGAAGGATGTGATATAGTGGAAGTGACCAATAAGCGAGTATCATTGCAACAAGTTACATTTCGATATGGTAATGTATTGGATCGACTCCCTTTTGAAGACAATTCGTTTGATTTTGTTCATATGAGACTATTCGTATTGGCACTCAAGGTGAATGAATGGCCCATTGCTATCAATGAGATTTTACGTGTAACAAAACCAAGAGGTATGATTCAACTGGTAGAATTTGATCTCAAGGTAAGAGAAATGGTATATTTAATAAAGAGAATAGATTCAAATAGACATACTCTTTTTTCTCTTTGTAGATGACGGGAAATGAAGTAGTTCAGCAGGTTCTAACTGGAAGTAAGTCTCGTATGTTATCATGGGACTGCATTTTAATTGTATCATAACAGTCCATAGTGCATGCGAAGCTAGAGGGCAGGATCCTCGCATTGCTTTACAGCTGGAAAAATTAGTCTCTGAAAACAAGCAAGCCACGTCAGTTCAATCGGATTATCGATCTGTTGACATGGGTAAATAAGTAGAAAATTGTAACATATTTGTATAATAATGGTATATTAGCATCCAATACAAAAGCAGCAAAGATGTTTGTTTGGGATTGGATAGAAACTACTAAAAGTATGCTTCCTGTCATTTCATCAAAGATGGGTCTTGAAACTGAAGAGGAACAGAAAACCTATCTTGAGGAACTAAAATATGGCTTAACTCATTCAAATTCTTTCACTTACATGAATGTTGTTACCGCAGAAAAAATCAATAAAATTCAGGACTAAACTCCGCTAAGAGTGACTGATTTTATCAAAAGTAACATTTGAAGGGCTTCCCCCTCTCCTTGTCTCTCTCTCTTTACCTTTTAGAGAAATCAGCCATGGCAAAGAAGGCAAAAGCTAGAGTCATTCTTGTAAAGTTATTATCTACAGCTGGTACAGGATACAACTACATTAAAAGTCGTCCAAGAATTGCACCCAAGTTGTCCTTGATGAAATATGATCCTATGGGTATAATCTAAAACAGAAAAATAGAATTAAAAACTAATACATCGTTGATCTTAGTAAAACAACATGTTCTGTTCACAGAGACTAAAATGAAGAAATAATATTGAATTGTACATACATAAATCACATTAAATGTCACTTTTACCAAGTTTATAACGTGCGCCCTTGAATATGCCTTTGGTGCATCCTTTGTTATTTACAGCTTCAAATAGCTCACTATAGTTATCTCAATACATGTTCCTGAAATACATAAAGTAAACCCAGGGATAGAAATGTCAGAATATAGAATATATGTATGTATGTGTTGACATATGTTGAATTGAAATTGTAAGAAGAAAGCGTCTTGTTTGCGAGTTTTCCTCCACAGACAAGCTGTGATATTGAACGATGCTGGAATACTATCCATCGCACGTTTATCATTTCCTTTCTCTCATTGTATTCAGCAGGCTCATGAGTAAGCATACCGACCATGTTAGTAGCTGTTGCTTCTTCAAGATGTTTAATTATTTGTTGTGAACCTTCAATATGCTTTTGAAGAACAGGATATAAAAAAGTATGCCTTTAATGTCTTTTTATTCATTGCTGGACAAAAAAAAAAATATGGTTTACTGAGGAAGCTTTTAGAGTTTATACCACGCTTCCCAGCGTTGCCAACTCAAGTCATAAACCCATGAGGTTTGCTTTCTAATCCTATCGTTTAAGAACTCAATTACTTCTTTATTGAGTTGCATTTGTTGTTTTCCTTGTTCCATAGTCTCTAGGGAGCGAAAAACCACTTGTTGCCAATTCACATCACAATTGGTGCCAAGGGAGTCGCCTGTAAGATCATAGTATACCATTATGCTGTCACCAGCACTGTTTCTTGAATTTTTTGAATCGGCTTCCAGGGCGAGTAGAGGCACAATCCTTTCTTTACCCAGACTTGAGTGAAGATATTGTGGCAGCTGGTCCTGGATCCAGTAAACAGCCCCAAAAGGCTTTTACCTTGCAGGTCTTGCGGGTAGCAAAAGCACCGGTTATACATCTTCCTCAAAGTTTTTCTATTGTCTTGAACCATCTTTCTTGGGAGTTTCCATCCGTGTAGAAGGATCTTTATGTGTCTGAGTTTACCCGCCTTGATGTGCTAAACCGTCAACTTGCATTCGTTTGTAATTTCCTGAATTTGAAGCGCTAATGTGTGTAGAATGTACGACGTTGTTGTGCCTGCCGTCGCCACGTATTTGAGGGCAGCTCAGTTGTCTGAGGATGGCTGAACAGTTAAGTTTCTGACGTATTGTGGACAATCGACGTAATAAGTAGTCATTAAGAGAGTTGAACCAGTAAAATATCTTATTGTAAGCCCTAGTAAAGAAGAAGGGGTATAACTAAACACAACGCATACACATGATGTATTGAATGATAGCTCTAAATATAGACAAATCCGTGTCAGATATGTCTTCATTCAGGATTGCCCTTCCTTCGTTTCTTAGTTATCGTTGTCAATGACTCTTTGGATTGGTTCATTGAAGAAGTACCCCTTTTAGTGCTGTGTAAGATCATAGCAATAGATTTCGCTCAGCAGATTCTGCACCAGTAGTTAAAGGAGAAATGTGCTATGTTCATGGTGTAGGTCCATCTCATTGTTTCATTGTTACTAATTTTGGATATGTGGCACGTTGAAATTGGCTGTCGTCCAGAACATACGCAGACTGTAGACTTCACTCAGTGCATTGAGCGGTCACTATGACGTGTATAATGAAGTTTTGTTACGCAGTAAAAATGAGGCACTATTGCTTAATTTTTCAGGGGAAGAATAGAAAAAAAGAGTCAATTGAATCCTATTGAAGATATAGCAACTTTTCTATTTTTCTATATCAAAGAACCAATAATAAAGAAATGGTGGTTCTCGATTTTAGAATCACACTGTTCTATAAGCTTAGCAAAAGGATTCGGAAGTGCAATTATGAAGTTTTCATTAAGACGTCAGCTGCCACGTTATTATCCAAGGGACGGTTGACGTCAGATGATCATGCTATTAGCGTATACATTTTAATGGCTTATGAAGTAGACAAAGGGACAGCTAAAAATAATAACTAATTTACAAATGGCTGTGCCACGCGATAGCTGTCTTGAGTGATGAATCATCTGGCCTTTATTCGATCCCAAATCTCATGTATTACAATGGCGCAGTTGCTGCATACGTGTTCCTGATTGGCTGTCTCCAGTCTATCAGTCCATTGTTTCTCAGATTGGTTGCTACGCGACCGATTCCGATTACCAGTGAAGATGAGCATTTCGTCACTATAGGTCTGTGGCGCGCACGGATCAATCCAGTGGATCACGACTAAGGGCTTCCTCGATCTATAAATACATGCCCTTCTTTCTCTCTTTTCCCGTTCCTTACAACACTTACACATACACAATTCGCAACATGACTGCTCAATGGGTTTACGCTGCCGGATCCGCTTGGGTCACCTTTGATTCAGCAACACAAAAAATGATTGAATCACTTTGGGAAAGAGACGGTGCCACTTGGATCAATTGCCAATGCTTCCATGGCCCTATTTACGTAGATACCTCTGAAATGGTTGTCCATTTCAATAATTACTCTTATACAATTGCCAGAAGAAAATGTTAATCAAATCAAATAATTACCAACCATATACACTCCTTTCAACCTTCATTCAAGCCAGTACATTATAGATAACACATATGCCCAAATTACGCGTCTTTCAATATTTATGGAAGAAATATGTCTATGCTCACTATTGCACTTTCCTCTCATTCGCTGTATATTATTTATTATTCATTCATTCTCTTCTTTTGCATCAACACACACACACACAAATACCCCCTCACAACCTTTTCTTGTTTATTAGAATCTGTATATTATATACCTGTGCGTTTCTTTTCTATATACATTTTGAGACTTTAATTATGTAAATAAAATGTACATGTTTTTATATCATTATTCGAGAGCCTCTTTTTTTTTTTTTTTTTTTTTTTTTTTTTTTTTTGATAGCTCAAAGATCGTCATTAACGTGTGTGCCAAGCCAGAAAAAGCGGTGGTGCCTACAACCTCTGACATAATTCGGTAAGCCAAGAAATGAATGAATCATATTTTCGGGTAATATGCGGAATAGGGTGTGTAGGGTAATTTATGACCCATAAAGGTGGGTTTTCATTTTCTCTGCACAAGGAATTATATTTCTTAATAAATGTGTAATGACACACATGATACAAAGTAGAGACAAAGTTTTTTTTCTTTCAGGCTAAATATATACAATGTAATACAATACTTCAAAAATAATGTACAAGTTCAAGATGCGTCTAGTGAGATTATATCTTCGATATTTTCTAGTTGAATATCTTCTATCATTGGAATAGATATATCATTAAGGTCTTCTTCTTCTTCTAGATGATTGTTCTTTAATAATTGTTCATATGCTTTCTTGGCTTTTTCTAATGACTGATCAACATCCTCCTCATCTTCCTTTTCATCTTCATTTCCAAATGCTGTTCTGCGTCGCTTATTGCTACTAATAAAAAGTGGTTGTTCTTCGTCTTCGCTTTCTGAGAATACAATATATTTTCTCTTTCCTTCATCGTTTGGTGAACTCACTTGCTGTCTTTCTTCTACATCAGATGAATGTGTTTCCTGTCTGTCTTCTTCCTCTTCAGATAAATTCACCTCTCGTCTTTCATTTTCATCATTATTTGATGAACGCATATTCTGTCTTTCTTCTTCGTTGTCTGATCGTTGTATTTCCTTTTCCTTTTCCTTTTGTAACTCTTGCCAATCTGCAACTCTCTCTTCTTCACTTTCACTATCTGAACGATGCATTTCTGCTTCAACTTCCATCCTTATCCTCGTCTTTTCTCTGTATTCTTCTTGCCATTCTGCAATCGTCTGTTTTACTTTCTTGGATGAGGCCGCCTTGGTTACTTTTCTTGCAAAGTCTGTAAATCTGAACTTGGGGTATAAATTATTTGCCCATATCTGATAATAGCGCAACAATTTCTTCAAATCTTGATCTTCAAATCCTTTTCCTTTAAAACGTAAAAATGGAGTTTCATTTTTAAGTCTTGGTATGCCTTCGCTTGACAGTAGTCTATGAAATATGAGAAAAAGGTTTATATGATATGTGTTTATAATTTACAGGTTGTCATCAAGCTTCTTTTTTACTATCTTCTCTTTTTGTGTTGAATCATTTGTGGTAGTGTCTTCTTTTGTTTCCGTTACAGGCTCTGATGGAGATTCAAAGTTGTAGTCATCAAGAACAACATCATCGAAATCCATCGCGCGCGTTAATCACTTGAAAAAAAAAAAAAAAGGAAAAAGGAAAAAAGAGGACACGCGCGTTTTCAAAAAAAAAGGTTCGTGTGTCGGAAATTGAATTTATCGATTTTTTAGTAGGGTATTACTCCCTTACTGCAGATTTCCCCTTCTCTTATTTTCCTTATTCAACCATGGTAAATAACATCCATCAATCCATCCATCCATCCATCTCTAACTTTATGATTTGTATGTAGGCTAAGCGTACTAAGAAAGGTAACAACACAACAATTATAACAACAACGAGGAGATGTTAATCAACCATTTGTTTAATATAGTCGGAATCACTGGTAAATACGGTACTCGTTATGGTGCCTCTCTCAGAAAGACCGTAAAGAAGATGGAAATCACTCAACATTCCAAGTACACTTGTACCTTCTGTGGTAAGGACGCTGTCAAGCGTACTGCCGTTGGTATCTGGAAGTGCAAGGGCTGCAAGAAGGTCTTGGCTGGTGGTGCTTACACCGTCTCGTAAGTATAATGTTATGTTGTTGACAATGGGTATCTAATGAATTTATAGTACAACCGCTGCTGCCACTGTTCGTTCTACTGTCCGTCGTCTCCGTGAATTAGCCGAAATCTAAACACAATAAAAAAGTGATTACGACAATTTGCTGTTTGCAGTAGAAAAAAAAAAATACAACTGTAGGCTTTTTTTATTGTTGCTTTTGATATTCTACAAACTTACAAAAATGTTACCATCGACACATTGGAACAAAAAATAGGAGAAAACGGGGAGTTATTACCTCATCAATCAGTATGGGCCATGCTTCTTCAGGATTATAGTTTTGTAAATCCGTATTGATTTGACTGATGAAATCCAAAAACTACAAAAAGATATAAGTGTGTGTGTATGCTGGGGTATTTTTCAACAACACATACGAGATTCCATGTATCGCGTGAGATAGCCTTGTTATACTTTTGTTGTAAAAATAGTATCCATTGTTCTAGTAAGCTATACCTATCAGATAATAGTAATCTCCATAATTCAATGGCTGCTTCCAGTGCTAGACACATGATGAATTAGAACGAAGAAAAGAAAAGAAATCTAGCATACCCAAGCTCTTTTGTCCAGTTTGTCTTCCAAATAAAAATGCATAATGATACACTTTTCTAAATCCTTCATCAGTATGATAGTTATTTACAACTGTTGTCTCAAGCTCTTTTTTCAGCTTATCTATGTTATCAGCCTCTAAGTCAACACAACCCTTGACAAAGCCTTCTTTGGTGAATTCGCCCATTCGTTCAGAATTTAGTTGATGGGAAAGTAATAAGAACTCAAGCTGAGTTGGTTCAATACCAAGGTCCTCACACAAGGTCATTGTCCCATCTACAGATATAGCATCTGGTCTTTGTGAATCTATAAAAGGATATAATAGTCAGTTTATATGCACACAAGCGCATTCGTTATTTATATTTGCCTTTATATTTGTTAAACATGGCCTTGATTTTTTGAACATCTACATTTCTTTTTTGTTCAAACACTGAGTTAATGGCTAGTTGTAAACTCCAGTTTGCCATCTTTAATGCCTGAGTGCTCTCTCTCTCACTTTATATGTATACATTTTAATTAGCTATAATTTAATTTCGTTCTCTTTCAAACCTCAATTGAGTGATTTCCATGAGTTGCTTAATCTTTTCTATTTGATGCTGACGCTATTACAATAAATATTATGATAACAGCCTTATAGCTCTTTGTTGGTACTTACATAGGACATGTTTAGTGGATATAAATCGACAGAAATGCGGTGTTTAATAAATTTATCTTTTTCGGGGGGCTGCCACTCTTTTTTATTGTAAACATGTATAGACGTGTTATTGCACGTAACTATGTTGGTCTTGCTTTCAACCAACAACAAAAGACAGAAACAGTTGATCGCTCCTTAAAATCATTTCAACATACTGTCAATGGAGCTACTGCGACCATATCCGAAGTTGGAAAAGGTACCTTTTTTTGTGTAAAGGGCAACATTACTCATGTAAACTACAGACGTCACTACTGCTAACCAAACAGAAGCTATATTCGAAGTTGTATCTTCTGGACCTGGTAAGGGATAGTAATAATAATAATAATCGTACTAAAATACTAATCAATCAACAGGTTCTGCTTTGTTAGTCAAGGTTCGATATTTATGACATTTTATTAAATGTAATTAACATGGGGTTAATCCTATAGCTTCCTCCTGAATCTGAAATCACAGCTGTCACTGGTTCAACATTAGCATGCTCAACAAAAGTATTTTCCAAATTATCTCTTGATACAAGCACTGTACGAGCTGTTGGTAGAAAACTGGTGGGCGATAACATGTTTTATCAAAAAGTAAGACGCACTTGTGAATAACCTTATAGTGTTAACGCCAACATCAAATAGTATTATACCAAGAGCGCAGCTGGTGATATCTTATTAGCACCACAGCGTCTTGGCGAAATATCAATCATTCAGTTAAAGAGTAGTGCCAAGTATATGTTACGTCGAGATGCCTTTTTAGCCAAGACAGAAAAGGTCACATTGGATTTAGGCATCAATCATGATCAATCGGTATGTTATAGATAGTCAAATTTTCAGTCATATGTCTTATATGTTATATGCAGGGACTTGTGAACAAGTTGGTTCATTCTGTGAGTGGGCCTGGTACATTAGCCATTAGTCATTATGGTGGTATCTATCGCATTTCGCTTGCAGCGGGAGAAGAGTATAAGGCAAATCCTCTTAATTTGATCATGTGGGATAAGCGTACAAGTCCCACACAACCTCAGGCTCACAGTAGATTAATTCCTTCTCCTCGATCTACTCTTCGAAAGTATGAAGTCATTCGAAATATTGTCGACAGTCCCTCACTTCAGCCCAAGCTGCAGTATGCAAATCATGTACTTTTGACACTTCGAAACTTTATCCTTGGTACACCCGTATGTGTGTCTTTTATCAACCATATATTTTTTTTTTAACCTCTGCAAGTAGGAATTTGTAAAGCTAAAAGGACCTGGTGACTTTTATTTAGCTTCTCGAGTTGAACCTCGATTGGAGAAATCAAGATTGTAAGCGAAAGAAAAAAGCCACCCTTCTTTTACTAATAGTGTATAATAGAATGAATGCATTGGCTGCTGTTAATGATTCTACAAACCAATTATTTGAACAATCCAGCATATTTCCTGCAGAAGAACCTGAACGAGTCCTTCCAACAGCTTTTAAAAGAAAGCATCCGGGATATGCACAAAAATCAGAAGGTGGCTTTCCATCTTATTATGCCGAAGTTGGACCCAAAGGTGTTGTATCATTTAATAAAGCGTAGACCCACAAAAGATTTTTTTATTTTGTTTGAACAAATGAATGGAGATGAATATATATTTATGTTATTTACAAAGGAATGTCGGGGGGGGGGGTTATTTACACTTGAATGTTCCAGCATTAAATGGTATCTTGATAGATGGATGAAGCCAGTTCATAGACACGAGAATAAAGTTGAGATTGAAGGTCGGATATTAACCTTGCCTTGTATGAATCTAATAAACTCTTGGTTTCTTTCTTTTCAACAGCTGTAGACCATAAAGTGGATATAGCTGTATTAGAAAACGTAGATTGGCAGTTCAGCAAGGACCGCTTGATATTACCAATCATATCAAAGTCCCGAAGAGTGTCAATAATATCATCCGTTATATCCATATTCAGGAGTTCTAAGGAGTCAGACAGATCTTCCACTACTTCATCCGAAACGGACTGTGATATCATTTGATGATAGTCATTATCCGCCGTAAGCCAGCGACGTTTCAAGATGGGGTAGATTTGGTTGTAGATAAAAGTACTCTGTTCATGTATTTGATTAGCAATCATTCCAGGCATTTGTGCAACACAGACTATAAAAGGAATTAGACAATTAACACCACAAAAAAGATTCGGATTACCTTGCATAGGCTCTGACCCTAACAAGAGTTCAGCTTCAGGCTTTAGAGCCTCATAAAGATGATGAGGGTCTTTGATAATTTGAGATAGTTCAAGTAATAGCTTTTCATTGTGTTGACCAAGGACAGTGTCGACAATGGATTCATAATGAACTTGTGCAGTGTCACGCAGTAATTCGGTCTTTATGTAGAATGCTTGAGCAAATAAGCAAAAATAAAGGAATAACAAAAAGGTGAGCATTGAGCAATTGACCAGCAATTGGGATAAAAAGAGATAGAAGTGAAGAAGAAAAAGAAAAGGTGATTTGACAGCTTAAATGAAAAGGAGAAAGAGTCTAGGTTTTTATACTTGGTTCTCCCCTTTCATATCCCGTGATGTGATACAAACTACGGATGGTTTGAACCAACTCTTTGTATAAAAACATACAATATATACTGTTTATGCAAGGAAGGAAACTCCGGTATCGTTTGTTTCTCCTTCCTCCCTTTTCAAACAAATTTCACATAATCGCCATACCCTTCCCCTTATTTTTTCTGTACTTTCCCTTTTGTACAAGGTAATTAAGAATATGCCATAATTGGCGACGTTACCGCGAATGGTAATACTCTAATTTACTGATGGTACCAACCTCGGCTTTATTACAAGCGGGTCCCTAGAAAGTCTATGAACTCTCAAGGCTGTCAGGGTTTGAAATGATTACGCCTTGACTCATCAATCGATTCTACTCATATTACAACCAATTCCTTTGTGCATTATATACTTTACAAAAAAAAAAAAGGATAAATGGCAAAAACACGGCTGACTTCTATTGGTTAATAGCTACACGTAATAGGAAACTTATTTAAACAAAGAGACGGTAGTACTCGTACGCTTTCAACTTTATATTTTCTGGGTTTCCTTGGTAACAATTACCATGACGTTGATCTTTATTTAAATAATAATTTATGTGCGTATTGAAATATCTACAAGTGAAGTGGGGAGAGAAATGCATATTGTTTAATATCTAGAACGAATAGCCCAAACTCTTGATGCCAGCTTAGGCCTTGATTCCGCAACAGAGTTTAATTCTTTATCAAATGATTTCAAGTGCTGTGCTCCATCAGGATCATTTGATAACAAGTCTAATAAATGACATACAACCAAAGCAACACCTTGAGCCTCATTTGAATCAACATGATCCATTGTCTCAACAGATGATGACGACGATGGTGTAGACGGCGACGAACTGAGTTCAGGGCTAGTGCATTGACTATAGTCATTGGTAAAGAAATGGGATTGCAGATGAGATATAAATGCCTCTCTAGTCAATGCATATCCTTGACATGATGCCCACTGACAGTAATACTCCTTTTCTTCTTCCGTGGAAACCATATGGTGACACAACACATGGGTCTGGAGTGTGAATGTATCCGTAAATAATCGTAAGCAGCCATTCCATTGACATGCAACTTGAGGACCTAAATATGTATTAGTAATTATCCTTTTTTAAATAAATAAATAAACTTACGATCCTGCAGAATGCTAGTCTTCATTTGTATACCACAAACGTCCAATCCTTCGATCGTAGGACTCGGATAGGGTGTTTGCTGCACAGACTGTGGTGACAGGGCAGGTGTAAATGCAATCTTGATCACTGTATAGAAATCCTTCATCTTTAATGCTTTTTCTAATCCGAACCGTGCTTCGTAAAGCAAATAAATATCATCAAGCGAAACGACGCTTGTTCTTTCAGCTACTTCAAATTTGTCTTTTAGCCTATTAAACAAACATTATTAAACCATTCTTTATATAGGCGATAATACTTGCCATCCTAAACATCGATAGGGTTCATCCAAATTGTGGTATATTGTTAGATCTGGTACCCGTGGTATCACTTTAGACTGTCCTTGGTTGCTGGCAGATTTTGTCGCGTTGGGTAACAGTGTATTACTTTCTTGCTGAACAAATCGCGCAGAAAAGTACTTTGACTTGGTAAGGAGTAAGGCTATCAACATTGCATATACACCGTGGTTACATATCTTTAACACTTCCGACCGGGATTCTGAGGACATTTTCGCGTACTGAAGCGTGTACTCTACCACAGTACCCACCAATTCCTCGTCGTCTGCCAACAGTAGCTGTACGATTGGCTCTAGGACAGGACTATTGACCAAACAAGTATGATTTGTAGGCTGTACAGAGAGCCAGCTAAGCGTACGGATAGATCCTATAACCAAATACCGATCATGTGATGATACAAGTTTGTATAGTGACACTAAAAAGGGGTCTTCTTTTGACGCGAGATGAATGTTGGGGGCAATGTTTTCTAGGATATCAATGGAATGTCTTCCGATTTCTACGTGGCCCATCATGATAGCAATCTCCAAGCTCTGCAAGATAACATTGTTGACAGATCGGTTATGAGCGAGTATCTGGGTGTATTCTTTCACAGATGATAAGTTACGTAAAATGTGTAAAACCTTAAGAACGGTTCCTAATTCCCCATTGTTACTGTGGTGGCTGTGGTCGTTACTCATAATATCAAGGATATTGCTATTTAGCCTTTCAGCGTGGTATGCTGTCGCAAGCTGCATTAATCCTGTCTCGGCCATTGATATGAGTATGTCCAACAATAAGGGTGTCTGGTTCAATTCGATCTTTTCAGGACATTCAAACGACCTTTGGACAATCATGTTTAGAGCCCACTCGACATCTGATTCTCTTCCAAATTGTAAAGCAAACAATATTCTGTCTTTTTCAGTGACATGGTTATTCACAATGGTATTGATGATTGCTGAAGTATCCGTGTTCGTCGTGGGCTTCTTTATCTTTGGACGCGTTTTTCTTTCCGTTTGTCGATATGCTTTGCCTGCCAATGTCGAAGCTCTATGTGCGTGTGGTCCAAGTAACTCTGCAGGTGGATTCCATGTCTTGTTCCAAACTTTTTCTTCTTCGTAACCAAGCTATTGTAACAAGGAATTTAGAAAATAATTCTCAACACCACATAACAAAAGCATACCAAATTACGAATATAAACGCCTTTTAATATATAGGCACTGTTGGTACACGTTGAACGAAGATCAAACATGTTGCCTACTTGTTTCCATCCTCTGTTCTTTGTCACTTCGTCAAATCCACCTGCAGCCACAACGACTCGAAATATCTTGTATAGATCTAATCTACAGCCACCTAACACTGGCTCAGCTACCAATCGTGTTCTATATGAAACGTTGGTATGTCTTTTTAAATCTATAACATCTATTCTAATTACCCTTTGGAGTCGTGAAATTGTTTAAGGTCTTTGATAAACTTGACATATTCGGGTGTGCGGTCTATTGTATCAGGTAAATTGACCATGCTGCTGCTTCAAGAGAGAAAAAAGGTTAAAGTCCCTTTCTTTTCTTTCAGAGGTTTGCTTTATAATAATGTCTCTGCCAAATTGTCAATGGAAAAAAAGAATGGCAGGCTTATTTAAGCAAAGAAAAAAAAAAGAGACAAAATTTTGTGGCTTAAAAAAGATACAGAAAAATGCGTTCCTGAAATCATGTTTTTATTAATGTTATTTTTACCATGCTTTTAAGCTTTGCTGTACTCTTTCTAAAAAGACATCTGTAAATTCATTTGATTCCTTGAGCTTTTTTTGAACCCAAGGCATACGTGATCCAAGACTCTTGATCATCTTGTCTAGTTTACTTTCAGTGGTATCCTGTCTCCATGCTTCATTCAAGATGGTCTTTTCAGGCGAATTTTTATATACTTCCAACAATTTAAACTATTAAATATATAAGTAAAGCTTCGCCGTATAACTCATCTCATTACCAGTCTCTCGGATTCCTCATCAGACAGATTGTCATTCTCCTGCAATTCATAAATCAGTCGTTTTGGTATCGGCCTTTCGCTGTTGGTGTTGCTCACATGGAACCAATTGATGACACTAGCTGATCCTGGCAAGTTAGGATCATATGGTCCAACAATGGCCCCAACAAAGGGTTCAGAAGATGCTTGCTCATCTCGGCACAGCACCTGATAATTACGTTGATTCTCTATATCCACCAAACTGGGATCAGGAACAAAAGTAGGATGAGAATGATACCAGCCGACGACCTTTAGATTACGCTCCTCAATCAGCTGCCTTGTCTCAATAGCACTAGTAGGATCCATCTCTACATTAACATCATTTCTCCCAGTTTCAATCGAACGGCAAGGATACGCCTCGCGTACGATGATACCTAAAGCAAATGTATCAGTTCTCTAGTTCATCCCCATCTATTCTTCCTTACGCATTGTTTCTTTATCCCAATCACCAGCCAAGAATCCAATGATTTCTGTCGTCATCAAATGAGCATGAAAGTCCATTGCTAACAACACGTTCGATTGAACAGTGATATGGAAAGGCTGACATCCAGCTGTGTTTGATCCAGGTTTTCCAATAAATGGTTCGCATTTAATCATTGTTAGCGGGTCTCTGTGCAATTCTTGTCAGTAACATCTTTTAAATCACCCATTCTTACTCGTCTTTAGTAATCTGTCCATAGTTGATTGACTCTCGCTGCTTCCTTAGCTTAGATGAAGAATAACTTGTTCTACCTGTCGCATCATAGGGTGTGCTATCAGAAATATTCTTTGTTCTATCGCACCATTATTGTTTACTTTTCCATTTTGATAGCAACTAGACGGACACTTACGAGGAGGATGTAGAAGGTGAAGGTGTGTTTGACTTGACCTTTTTTTCAGGCGTTGGCTTTCTATCTTTCTTTTCTTCTTTATCACTAATAGTCAATTCCTTTGTCTGTTTTTCTACGCCAGTCTCTGTCTTTTCCTCATCCGTTTTAGCTACGGTCATTGATTTTAAATAGGGTCGTGCTGCAGCAGAATTTGGATCCAAAGGCCTTCCTGAGAGTGTATATCCTTCACCGGTTTCTCTTACTTTTTCAGGCAAAGGTATATTATCTCTAAACATTTTAATGAAGTGCTTTTGAGCATGACTTCGGATAGAGTTAGAGTCTCTTGTACCAACGTGTGCTTGAAGCTAAGATAACAAAGATGAATAAATTGTAAAGAAATCAAATATTTTCTGTTACTTTTGTCCAGTCTCTTCCAAACAACTCCAGACCCTCTATAAAATTCTTTTCTTCCAACTCTGTGTATACACCTGTGTTATAACCTTCTGGTACAGGCTTCCTAGGCTTCTTGCTCATTGGCTTTTCTTCTGTATCGTCCTTTATATCATTTGTTGATTCATTTGTATTTTCTACATTTGGTGATTCTGATACTGTGTTTGTTGTTGTAGTAGCAGTAGAAGAAGAAGGTATCTTTCTCTTACGTCCTCTTTTAACTAATATCATTTTAATATGGAATATTTAATTTTATTATTTATACCATCTTTTCTATTGTTCACGCGTCCCTTCTTTCTTGGGTCAAAATCATCTTCTGAGTTATCTTCATAACTATCATCCATATCTTCATACTGGTTATCATTACTGTATTCAGCATAGTAGTCCAAGTGTCCTTGAGATAGTGCGTCCTCTGCTAATAACTGAGCAATTAAAGCAGAGCTCATTTCTTCTTCTTGAGCTTTTGATAGAGGCTCTTTCATTTTTTGGGCTATTTTTATTGTTGAACACGATTAAAATTTTTGACGTTCCTGTTCCTCTCTTTCACTTGGGTTACCCAATTTTTTTTGTCTGTTTTTATTTAAAAAGAAAACGTGTCCAGCCGGGAAATCAATGAGAGAGTGAGAGAGGGCCCATTTTTTCTGGTGTGCACGTCACAATATTTTTTCCTTTTCAGTTACAATGACTTCAAGGTTCTTTAAACATTGAAACAAGTGCTTGCAACGCAACAGAATGGAACGAAGGAGGAAAAAGAAGGTTTAAAAGTAATATGAAGGCGTTCAGCCTGTAACCGTAACCACAAAGGACAGCGTCGAGGAAAATGCGTTGATACACGAAAATTATTTGCAACTATGTCCAACAAACTGCTAATGTATCAGTTGTATTACCCGTGAAGGGAGACACAAGCATGAAAATACAGAAACAACTGCAGTCATGTCAGTATCTCTTTACAGTGCCCCAAAGGCTAGTCCATATGCGTAACGGTTTCTATAACCATCAATATACGAAGATCTTTGCGATCTTAATCAAGTTTGGCTCGGAGTATCCTGAAATGAGGTATACCATGCAGTTAACTACTTGCAGACTTGATCATGCTTGATCAAACCTCAGGAAAAGATACTATGATCAACAGCGTTGAAATTTATGGGCAATGGCGCATTGTTGATTCTCTTACTGGGACAGTTTTCGAACAAGGCGGTAGACCAAACTAATTCTTAAATTACACAATATAGCAATAGTACTGTTGCTTTATCAATTTTAACCCTTATTCACAAATTATTCGCATACTGATAAAGAAAATGATAATTTCAGACAACAAAAAATAAAATAATGATAAAAGAAAGCCCATCAGAAGCAAAAGAATGAGTTATAAAAGTGCTTTTTAGTAAATCAGTTATTTACATCGATGTTAAATACTTACATTATAAAAAGATTTATAAGAGAAAAACAGAGAAACAAGAAAAGCGAGTAAACTTATAAAAGAGATTATTAATATCTTACCCGAAGCGCATTAAATAGGACTAGCGATAACCAGCCCGGAGAAAGAAGAGAAAAGAGAAGAGCAAGGAAGAGAGCGGGCAAAGGGGCGGATGGGACCAAGATTTGGTAAGAACCAAACAACCCCTAGCTAGAACCGGTACTGTTTTCGATTTTATGATCTATAGTACTACATATCTTACAAGAGTAAATATGTAACATACCTTAGAGCTAGCTGGGGAATAGCTGGTCTTACTTTTTAGTCCAAAGAAGAAAAGAAAAGAAAAAGAAGTCAACTTTTTCAGTTACATGTTATTTATAAGCGTTGACCACATTTAGCTTTTATCTCTCAAAATATCAAGCCCATTTTATGTATTATTACTGTTGTCTTTTTAAACAATAAAGAATACATAGAAAATTAATTAAAGTGTTGATTGATATTGATCTTGTAATGTGTGCAAATAATTTCGGAAAAAAGTGTATATTAATTTAATAAAGTGCTAGTTTAACTAAAGAAATCATATTCTATACCTAAATTCATTTCAAGAGACATATTACCAAATTACAAAATACCCTCATGTATGGCCAACAAGTACCAGTGAAATTGATGGGACGAAGAATTATTGAAGCTAGTGAAGTATTCTGTAAACCAGTTTGGCAATTGCTTAAATAAATAACCTGTTTAGAAACGTCCATGACCAAAGGTATATGAATAAAGAAGCAATGAAAATACTTTACAAGATATGCTTTATTTATAAATATTGATAAAAAGAAGAAGGAAAAAAAAAATGAAAATTAAGCAAAGGCATCTTCAATATCTGCTTCTGCAGCAGTCTCTGTTTCACTACTAAAGTTCATAAAATGAGCGGAACGATGTGATTCATGATAGAACTCCTTGGGTACATCCAATACAAGTTTGTAATTCATGTTGGCACTAAATTGAGCACCCATAAAGTTATAGTTCCAGACATCAGAAGGTACCAAGAAATAACCAAGGAATCGATCAGATAACAAGATCTGTACCTTTTCACCATGAGTAGGCAAGTAGCCTTGAGGCTGACTTCCAGGATCAACATTGGTCTTGCCCCATTCAAAACCAGCTGGTGATAACTTATAGGCAGTCAATGAACATGAACCAGGAGTGAATGAGCATGTTAGCGTGATTGTCTTTTCGCCATCCCAGGTCTTATTGTTGGCTAATAATTTGGCGTGTGTGGTAACGTCTTGTGGAGAGATATTCATCAGTTCTTGAGGTTGTGTATGGATCCAACCCAAAGGCTCGAGGTCATCCAATTGTTCATGCTCAGGAAGTGTATTTGGAAGATGAACTGTTTGATGAGTGCCCCATTGTGGTGGAATGACTACACAGCGAATTTCCTTCACATTAGGAGCATCAGGAGGACTGACACCGTACATGAAACCAGCAATCTGGGTACGTAAATCAGAAATGGTGATAAAGCGCTTCAAGATATTCTTGGGCATGACATAGGTGTAAGTATTCTCCTTGATGTCGTCAGAGTTGACATAGATATGATTAGTTCTCAAGTGCAAATTGGTAGCTGAAATAGCACGAATACGCCATTCTGTCTTGCTAGAGAATGTTGCTTGTTCATAATTACTTGTAGTAGTCACAATCATTTCATCACCGTGGATATTACGAGTCTTAGTTGTAACAGCTGTCAATTGAGATTGTTCCTTGGTCTGTTTTTCGATCTCGGCAATCTGTTGACGTTGAAGGGAAGGTGCTTGGATTTCCATACCAAGAATGATATCACGGATTTCGGATTGTGTAAGAGAAGCAACATTGACGTTATTCTTTTTACCATAATCAGCCAAGATCAAGTCCTTCAACTGTACTTCAACCTTTGCCCATTCTTCATCAGTTAATGTAGGCCAGATGTGATGAGGTTCGGTAATTGTGCTTCGGTCAGGTCTCAAGATCATCTTGGTCTTATCATTGTTCACATGAAGGGCACGTAAGATCAATACTAAACGAGAGAATGCAGTGTAGGAAGAGAAGGTCTTTAGCCAATCGTCATACAGGTTGAACAGGACCATCTGAGGTTCAGTCGCCTTGAGAATCAAGTCACCAAACTTCTCTACCTTCAGACATGCTTGGAAGGGTAATTGAAGTTCACTGCCCTTGATAACAATATTGGGGAAGTCAAGCAAGTGAACTTCCAAAGGATCCAACATACCCTTTCTTGTAACAATAATCTGCTTGGGTTGTTCTTCAACAGGCAATGAACGAATCAAAGCAGCAACTTCTTCTGCTGTCTTCCATTTGGCCAATTGACCCAAACGCTTTTGGCCTGCCCATACGGATGTATGGATAATCTTCAAGAACAATTGACCAGTACGAGGGTTAAAAATGAAGATGGCACCGTTGATTGGTTTTGTAGTCAAGTTGCCTTCAAATGTCTTGTGAATAGTAACACGGTATACGTTTGTGTCATCAACAAACCAAATAATCTGGTTGCTGAATAATTCACCATAGTTGGTAGAGGACAAGTAGGGTTCAGTAGGTTCAGATGAGTACAGTTGAAGAGCCTTACGAATACGTTCACGGAGAACATAGAGAGCAGGATTGGCTTTCATAATCTTGGCCATCGCTTGCTGTACAAGAGGCTTCATACCAGGAATCCAGTTACCATATGCAGAGTACATATTGTAAGCCAAATCAATACCAACCATGAGACCAGTAGGAGAAGGATAGATGCTCATGTTATCAGTAGTATAGTCCAAGAATTTGGCACGAGTGTATCTTTCAATGTCGTGAGAGTCATAATCACCCCATCTTAATTGAATATCAAGCCAGTACTTTGTGGTAGTTGGGCCTTCCATGACATCTCTAGGATCATTCAACAAGGAAGGTCGAGAAACTGGCCACTTGTAGGCAGCAAACAACAAGATGTCAGAAGCAGATGAATTCATCTTGTATGACTTTCTAGGGTGAATAGTTTCCTTTTGAACTGTTTCAATTTGAAGAGCTTCCAATTCACGATCAAACACTTGAGCAAAGTCCATAGTAAGAGCTTCATGAATCTTTTGCCACAAGTGAGCACGGAAGATTTGGATGAGAGAAATCTTCAATGTGGGGATTTTACCATGCATGAATATACCAGTAAGATCAAGTTGGACTTGGAAACCGACATAGACATTAGCACGGTTAATAGTAGGTGACCACCAAAGGGTGAAACGACGGTTAGGAATCTGGTTCAAACCTGAACGCTGAGCATTGGTCAATTTCTTGTACTTCATACTTTCTTCAAAGCCTGAATTGTGCAAAACCATAAAGTCTTCACGCAAGAAACGCTGGTTGCCGTCAACCTTGAAACCATAGTATTTCTTTGGAGCAGTAATAGCAACATTCTCCAAAATGATGGATGAGGCCATAGGATCAGCCTTTGTAACACATTCACTAGCTTGCTCTCGAGGAATCAAACAAGGGATTTCGTCAATATATCCACTGATGTAAGCTTGCAAGTACTCTCCAGTATAGTATTCGCCGTTAGGAAGCTTGTGAGTCTGTACGGTTGATGAACATGTAGTATAGAAGCCTAAACTTCTTGAAAGCCAGACAAAATCATTGAAGAGCTGTTCATGCCAGCGTTTAGATTGCGTAAAGCAGAACTCATGAGAGCCGCTGTGATAAGTTCCATCAGAGTCGAGTAAACCTGCAAGGATTTGAAGACGAACTTGTCTTGAGTTGAGTAAATATTCCTTTGGAATACGCTTTGAATAGTTGTCGCATCCTGAAAGGCTTGCAGGAACACCTAATTTTCTGAGGGCATCAAGCAACAAGTCAGATCCCTTGTCAGATACAATGGACTCTTGCAAGGCACATTCCAAGGTTTCTTGATCCTTAAACAACTCTCTCAAGCTGTTATATTGTTGCTTTTCGGCTTCAGTCATGTCCGTGTAGAATACTGATAAGTCAGCAGTGGTATCCTCCAGTTTGCCTTCCTTGACCTTTCTGTTGGAGATAGAGCCGTCTTTACCAACTAGTTTCATCGACAATTTATCAGCATAACAAGACAAGAATTCAACAGTTTCCTTTTCATGATCATTTGTAGCGATCGCATTTCGACGCTCGCCATCAGCAAGCCAGAGACCAAGATAATAAGGATCAACATGGACTTCTCTCTTAGGGAAATCCAAACCAGTACGATAAAGGAACCACATAGCCTTGGCTGATTGGGGCAAGTCCAAAAACTCTCTAACAGTCATTTCAATGATTGTTCCCTTTGGAAGGCAGGACTCGTCATTCTCAAGTGATGCCATAAAATCATTGGCAGCTATTTCGGCGGCCTCTGGTGTCTTGTAGTAACTATCAGTGTTTTCCTTGTACACGAATTGCTTAGAGCAACTTGAATGATCTTTATCAAACCAGTACACAGTCCAACACTGTTCATCAGCAGACCAAGCACTACAAGCATGAGCAGAAGACTTGAGACACAAAATGTGGTTTCCTGTGACAACCAAAGTTTCACCATTGTTGTTGGGAAGCTCATATAATGGTGCGATGCCTTCTACAGTTTCAACAATCTGACGGGGCATGCCATCATCACCCATAAGAGTATCCATTGTAGTGATATCTTTAGCCAACTTAATACTACCATCACTAAGCATGAGAGGAGTCTCTCCATCGAAACAAGCCTTTTCCCAGAAGAGACCCAACCATGAAGAGAAGTAGGTACCCTTGAATAAGGTGTGTTCCAAGATACCTTCAACACCACCAAGTGCTTGAATCATATCTGTTCGGTAATTGTTCAAATTCCATAGTTTACCATCGTGACGTTGATGCGTCCACCAGAATGGATTGTTCTTTAATACTTGATACTGCTTAAAGTCCGTACGTACACGCCAGCCCTTATCATAAGCAAGTGTATGACGGTCCTTCTGGAAGAGAGTATTGATACGAGGAATACCACGGTCCCAAGAATCTTCGAGATCTTCCAATGTCAAACGTCTGTTTTGAGCATTGGCTTCCTGACGCTTCAAGGCGTATTCGGCCCATACACGCTGAGAGTCAATGAATTCAGATTCCCAGGACTGGATATAACGATATAAGTTTGGAATCAATTGATCTTCATCATGGCTCATACCCGCACGGAAATGAGTGATACCAGTTTCGGTTTGCTTGGACCAACGTAAGTCAGATTGAGGAATCAAGATATGACCCATAGAAAGCATACCAAGACCACCTAATTCCTTGGGTGTCATAAACACAACGGGAGGGAAACGAGAAGGCATCTTGGAGTTAAGACCAATCTTGACACGGGTTTGAATCTTGTTTTCACATTTGACTAACAAATCAAGTAATTCACGGGTGTGAACAACAGCTTCACGGAAGTAGGTCATCAAGCCAATCAAGGCAGTATTCCATTTGTTGGCAATCTTACTAAATGTAGTGCTACCTGATGCCATCAAGATTTGACGGATACGGTTGTGGAATCTATCCATAGACTCTTGATCGACTCTTAAGTAAGCTTGGGCTGTTCTTTCCTTCGTTTGTTCGTTAATTAAGTTCCAGACGCCATCCTTAAGGGTGAACTCTTCAGTCATGCTTCTGACCTTGGGTAAGATACGAACTTCAAATCCACACATGGAGAATAAGAGATTTGGATTATCCTTTGAGTAAACACTCACAAAGCTGGTCTCCCATTCGATGGTGGTCAATGAACGAGGAAGACGGTTCTTGATGTCCCAAAAGACGGCACGACCCAAATTCACATCATGCTTCATCAAACGCATACGACAATCACGAGGCCAGCATTTCTTGTTGTTATAGCCTACAATATTTTCAAAGTTTGGATCTGGATGCTCAGTCAAATAACGCTGAATGAGGTCCCGAGCTTCATCAGCAGTGAATCGGAAGAAGATATGGATACGGTCAATATATCTAGAGTAAAGACGGATGGGATGGCGTGTTTCCGTTTCGACATCACGATACTGCAAGAAATCATTAGGTAATTGAGGAGGACCAGCCATTTCACTTGCTCGATGAAGACCCAAAATCAAAAGATCCAAAACAAGACCATAGTATTGGAAAATAAATGAAGCAAATTGAAGACCACGAATCAAACCATAAGCATTGACATGGTTCATATCCTTGTAGTTGAGCACAACATTGTTCTTGGCTGTGGCGTAGTCAGCAAGATTGTGATCGAGGATAAGACGTAAGAGACGACCAAGTAAGGTAAGATCAATTTTTTCATACACACGACTGAAGCTAGTTTCCATCATGACATTACATTGTCCTTCAGAAGTATCCCAAACTTCAGTCAAGTTGTTGATACCTTGACACCACTTGTAGACCAACAATGGGGGCGGTTCAGAATCAGAAGGCTTAATCCAAGCAGGGAAGAGATGACGTTTATCGGCTTCGTACCAGAGATATTGATCAAGATAGGCATCAGTGATCTTTTCAAGAGGCTCAATATCATACACAGGAATCAAATGAGAATAAAGATCCATAAATTCAATGCCTACTTCCTTGAAAGCACGTTGAGTTAAAAGAAGTCGCTTGATACGAGACAATGCTTCATGAGGGTTATCATACGCTTGTTCGATCAGTCCCAATTCTTCTCTTTGACTCTGATTCAAACGACCCTGGACACTGTAAGCCTCACGGAGTCGTTCTAAGGCAAGAATCAACAGCTTTGTATCATGCTTGTAAGAAAGAGGTGGAAAAGGAATAGGGGAGAATTTTCTGCTTTCCAACCAGTGAACAGTAGATGTATAAATGGCAACAGCTTCTTCAGCAGTAATATATGGACCATCCTTGAGATAGTTATGTTGACGTTCTTGTTCAGCCTTGAGCCAAAGACGAGTTAAACGACCCAAGTTCTTACGACAAATGGTCTTGTCAACTGTAGCGCCTCGACGGATACGTTCACGGTTATAGTGAGCGACACTGGTCCACCAATCAGCCTTGGCCTTAATATAACGAAGAATCATGTTTTCAATAGGAGCAGGCATACCAGGCACCTTCCATGGAATATTGGCTTTCCATGCTCTCCAAGCTTCAGAAAGATGCTGAAGAATGGTACGAGACTTATTACCCTTGATACCTTCAGGCATAGCGTCCATGATATCGTGCAAGACAGCAGCTCTCAATTCCAAATCGTAATGAGAGTCAACACGTTGTTTGGTCACAGTCTTTGCGATACCCTTCGAGTGACGACCTTCAAATTGACGAGCGAGCAAGTTACCCAACCAACGTTCAAGAAGAGGTACAATACCACGCATGAAGAAAAGCCATACTCTCCAACCGGGAGCCCAGAAACCGACACCAGGACCCTTACCGACAGGACCAGTGTTGAAACGGTAATAGATCAAGTGCTTCAAATCTTTACACATACGAATTTGTCTCATCAAACGGTACTTGTAACGATACATACCAGTAAGTTGACCAACGTGAGCAAATATATACTGAAGACCATCGGCTAATTGGAAGGCATCGACATTACCAAGACGATATTGAACATGAGCATCAACAACAAGTTTTGTCAGACGCAGAATTTCTCTACACAGATGGAAGGCGTTACCAAAACGGGACTTCTTTCTTTCCTTGGTTGTCAGTGTCTTAACAGGCTTCAAATTGAAATTGTAATCCAGATGGAGGTAATTCAAGTTTTTACGGTGAATCAGCAAGTTCAGCATATTGTAGCCTTGACGACAGACTTGCAAACCAGCTTCAACCCAATCAATTTGTGTAGTTTGGAAGAATTTAGTAGACTTCAAGCTGCGGAAGAGATACTTTTTGTTGAGCGCCTTGGGAGGTCGATGTCTGAGAGCATTTAATACATAACATTTGAGTAATTTTTGATAAGACACACGGACTTTCACCGGTTGATTTGGTGGACAGTGTTCAAGATACCAGTTCTTGACCAAAGGAACATCTTGAGCACGACGCGTTCTACCTGATCTTTTATCAAATGGGTGTGGTGCCCAGTAAAGAGCGATGGCACTTGCAGTGTTGTCAGTATAAAGATCGGTATCAGCCAAGAAGGGAACAACAGTTTCAGGCAACTTAAACTCGGTGTCCTCTTCTTCATCACCGAATATTTCGTCTTCGTGTTTAGTACCTGCACCATGAAGGGTACGAGAGGATATAGGGTTGATGATGGGGTCAAAATAGAACGCTGGAAGATCAGGATCTTCACTGCGAATGTACACAACCGCAGGATAGTGATACCAAGAGACGTGAACACTGCGAGGAAGAGAGTTATACAAGAAAGGGAAAGCAATTTTATATTCGGTACGAATGGGTTGACGAATAATAATCTTGTTGATATCGTTAAATTCGTTCCAGTCGTCATCCGCAGTATCCAAATCACGATAGAGAGGCTCAAACTTGGGACCACCGGGAATTGCCATATTTAAAGCTTTGGCTGTGAAGAATGACTTCAAGTCAAAGAGATAAAAGTAGTTTTTGTCGGTCAGGTCAGATAAAAGTTGATGTGCCATACGATACAAGGCTGACATGATGGGCAAGTCCAAACGCCATTTACGGTAAGTTGAACCGTTGACATACTTTGTATCTAACAAAGGCTTATTATCATAAAACCATTCATAGATTGCACTATCTTCTTCTTCGTCTAATTCCAATTGAATGGCTTCAAGTGGTTCGACATCCATAATGTTATCACCATAATCAAGAGGAGGTTCTTCATCATCAAATGGTGGAAAACGCATACGCTTGAAGTGCCTTCTGTCACGCTTTTCTCGACGCATCATAATCCACATAGCACCCCATTGTGCGATATAGACAGGTTCGATAACCCAAGGGATTTCATTTACAAAAGTGATTGCGCCTGTGATATGGTATAATACGCTCACTTCTCGAACTTGTTCCCAAGGCATAGGCATATTTTCCAGCAATTTTAATACGGCATGAGGAACATATTTAAGAGCACCAAGATAAATACGTTTGTCATGTCTGAATTTCTTTGCTGTCATATCACCGTGATCTTTGATGATCTTTCTCAAATGCTCGGGTGGCATATCTGACTTTTCGTGTTCAATAAAGCCTAGTTTACTGGGGGTTAGTATAGATACATAATGATTGCCATGATATTTTACCAAACTTTCTCTTTTCACCATAACGTTTATTCTGTAATTGTTGCCATTTTCTTGCCTTTTCTTTTAGTTTATCTTGTTCACTTTTTTCAGAATATTGATTTGCTTCGTATGCGTATTGATCATAATGTTGAGAGTATGGCGAAGGAACTCCACCAATGGAAACTGGAAAATTTGGATCGTTACTCATTCTGAAGATCCTAATCAAGTAAACACATCAATGTTAGTTTAATCTTTAATTCGTTTTAAAAAGAAATGACAACAAAAGATTACCAAAAAGTAAAACTAGTAAAATAGTATTTACTCGAATGAAGAAAACAAAAACGAAAGAAGCTAAAAAAGAAAAGGCGCTGCGTAACAAATATTTTTATAAATCTGTCAAATTCAAAAGCAGAAGGCTGCTGGTAAAAATTTAAGGCGTGACGTTGAAGTCAAGTTCATAGTAAGTCACGATAACTTTCATGCAGCCTACAGTGTTTAAACATTAATGGTTCAGCATTTTCTTCGAGATGATTGAAATGCTAAGGGTCATGGTTGCTTTTATATGTTCAATGTGTATATACTAGCTTCATTATCTTGTATATTTTAAAGTCTTGTTTTATTAAGTAGAATAAAGAGGTGTTATTACCTTTGAGATATATATATACATCAAACAAGGAACATCCCCCTTTTTAGATAAAGATATGGTTTATGCGCAGCACAAGTTACATTTAGGCGAGTATTGTCATACACAGATGAAGATGGCAGGTAATTTTATGTTGTATCTATTTTCTTTTTTCAGGAACAAATATTCCATTCCTTTATGAAGCGATAGAATGATTATTTGACCGAGCAATTGTATACGAGCGTCCATTATGAACAAGGATCATCTGAAAGGTGTCTACAAACACAGGATCAGGAAATGAATTACAAATGATCCAATTAGCTTGATCGCAGTTCCATAGTTTTTCAATTTGGCATTGTGCTATTTCATCAAGAGATAACCACGTCTTGCCACAGGAATACAGCCATCGAAACGAACTCATGTTTGTATAAAATAAAAAAAGAAAAAGAAAGAAAAGACGCAGTAGTGCTGACCTGAATATTATCATCTCTCTAGATGTTGCACAGCTTCATCGCCCCAATAAATGCTTCTGTGGCGTTCTGGACGTCAGTTGAAATCTTTATAGATTTGGGTGAAATGACACATGTTGCTAAGCAACTAGTTGAGTAACCTTGGATGATGACAGTGGTACACAGAGAAAGTAAGAAACAAACACGTCATGATAAGAGCCATACCAACTGGTTGATATATTGTAAAACCCTCTTCAGGACTTTTCGAACCCTCCTTTTCGATTTTCCCATTACGGACATATTTTTATTTTGGTAGTATGTAACTAAAACAGTTACCCCTACATTAACAAATACATTACATCATGTCTTGATACAAACATTATAGTTATATAGAAGCCCATAATTTGCCTATCCTAACCAACGTTACAGTAGAAAAGTATAAATAAGGACTACTTTTGACACAATTTTTATATTTTATCCTGTAATTATTAAAACTATATAGTCTATTATGGTCATTCCCAGTATAAAACATTTACCTTCAAGATGAACAAGAGTAGTAAAGAATGGCAAACCGTTCTTAGTTTGCATTGAAAGATATTCTGATAATAGAAGGTTCCACTTGGTTGGTAACGAAGGTAAAGACTACGGTTATTTTGATCCTAACAAGGCAGGGCATCCAGCTGTATTTGCTTTTTATAATCCTAATGTTGCATACGGAAACCCATTCACACCAAAAACCTGGGATGCAGCACATATATGTGAATACCGTGATAACTATTTTGTCACAGCATCTCAACGATTAGGAAAAAAGCTCTATTAGGCAAGAACTGGCGACGATGCAATTACGGTATAAAAAGAATAGATTATAATGAAATCGATAGAGGTTACAGAATGAGACTCGATATAAGCAATAGAGGCGATTCTTGGAAATCAGAAGAAGAAGTAACAGGTAGCATTAGGCTTATGAACAGCGAAAAAGACAGAGCAATAATGTATTTTGTCACATTCTCTGACAATGAAGATGACCCTAGGGTTTTGAACAGAAATTATAGAGTCATGACAAAAAATGAATTAAGCAGAGTCTAATAGTGCGATGATTCTTTAAATAAAAGTACAAATAAAGGAGAGATTATAATATGATAGACGATGTCAATGTACTTTTGCGTGAATTTGTATATTAATTGATCATTGTAACAGTTTTTGACCCAAGGTAGTGTTATTCAACTCTGCATGGATTCTTCAATATAGCTTATAGTTTCTTTCTTGTTTGTATGCCATGATTGGTCGAGTAGCTAAAAAAGTTATCATAACATTGAAAGAGCATCAAAAAAAGCAACCAAACCATATAAAGATGATAATGACTGTCTCGATCTGTGACCTCAGACAGGTAGAAGCATAATTATACTCTTTCCTAAAATAGTAATCTATGGAAATAGAGAGTAAAATTCAAGTTTATTATTTTATGTGTTTGAAAAAAGTATGTAAATGTGCAAGATATATATTGATTTTGAATGTATTGGAATAAATTATTAAAAGAACAAGTCAATGATTTGAAGAATGGCTATTTAGAGATTAGCTTAAAGTGACACATGATGAATCTAATCTTACCTCCACCAAACATGGCAAAGCAAAGAAGAGCAATGACCCAAACAGAGTAGTTTACTTTGGATACAGCTTTTGTTTTCTGAGTAAATAATGAGTTTTATGTATGCACACATATAAATGTAGTGTTTACCTCTGCTGCTTTTGCAGCTACTTTATGATTAACTGCTCTATTTTTATACAGCATGTTCTTTTGACGAATAGTAGGTGCTGTAGCCTTTTTTACATATAAAATATATTAGATATATTCATTTAATCCTTGATTCTTTACTTACCATTTTATATTACGCTTAAAAAAAAAAAGAAGAAAAAGAAGAATACAAAACAATAAGAATTTATGTTTAGGAACGAGGCAAATTCTCATTGGCTCTATGAATATTTTACATAACTCAGAATTTATTCTTCCTCTTTTTTTCATTGTGACAAAGACAGTGGTACATTTCCCAGCTGTGGGTCGTGCCTACCACAATTGTCGTTGCCTCCACTCCGACCTCGGATGTGGTTATGTTCTTGGTAACTTCTCCAAACACAACGTTGACTATATTGGACCCACGTCTGTGCTGATTCCTTGGTCGGTAGTAATAGTCTTCGAAGGTGTTGCTTGTCAAACTCCAGTTCGCGTGCAGCTTTGCTGCCTTCGTGCTTGCTGCGGATCGCAAAGAATGTATCTTGAACTTATTTGTGCTGATCCCCGAATCTTGCATTATGCCTTCCAGCCACCTGCTGACTGTCTTAGGTTGAATCTATTTTGCGGGCGTACGGCCATTACCTAAGTAAACTAGGAACGATATGTGTTCCTTCTCCAACGAAGTTTTAAAGTCCTTGGTACGCTGGACAAATGACTTCAATGCTTTAATGGAACATAAGTTTTGATATTCGCCTAGACCCAATTTGCTAGCTTTAGGCTTGATCTCTTTCGGCGTCCGTACAATTAATGTTACTCCAAGAAGCTGATCATTCGACTCAATAAACGACACATCGCGATGTCGTAAGCAACCCAGGTCGGAAGTGGGTGCCACATTGTAGCCATTGCCAAGAGTACCAGAGTCTTTCTTTATAGTTGATCCAGCGATAGATTCTTTGTATTCTTCCAATTGTTGACCATCTGTAGCAGCGGATTGATTTGAGTACTTCTTCACAGATATTCGATAGTTTATTCCTTGTTCTTTTTCTCGCTTGAAAGGATTATTGAGTCAAACTCTGCTCAGCAATATCAGGCTTGCTGCTATGAATAATTTGGAAAACTAAGGCTAGTGCTGATTTCACCACGTTGAGACGCTGTGATGAGTAGTTCTGAATTGATACCAAGTATTTTAATACCAGGCTGGGATCATACTCCGTTGAGTCTCTCCTGGGATTCTCTGAAAAACACCAATTTGCTTAATTTTTCCAGTGGCGATTGTAGGCGTCGTTGGTTGACTTGTAAATGGCTTGAGCTAAAAACTTTGATATAGCTTTGTCCACCCATTCTTTCTCCTGATGCATCTGGATAACTGCCATGCGGTTACTGAGAAATTCTTCTTCAAGGTGGAGACTAGGGGTTCTGTCTTGTTGTGCTTCAACATTACCGGCCACCAATGTTGTGTTGGCCATGTCGGGGCCACTATCATACAATCTTGTGCTCGATCTTGATTGATTTTCTTCGACACCTGCGGTATCAGTTTCCAAGGCGGGTGTAGCAAGAGGCCCTTCCTGAGCCATGCTTGCTGGAAAGCATCTGTTCTCTCTGCTACAGATTCGAATTCCATTTGAAGCTTTACAACCATGGTAAGTATTTAAATTTTAGCTTTTATATTCATTAAAGATTATTCAAACACGAATGTCTAAATAGAATCTCAAACAATACTCAATGAAAATCAGTTTTTTAATCTGGATAAGCCTTTCAAAGTAAGTTCAGGCGATATGCATTATCATGTGGAGTAAGAAAAATGATGGAAAAGCTGCAACGAGTCAAAAAGAATGGTGGCAGAAAAATATTACAGATAGAATCAGAAATCGCTGAAAAAAGCAAAATGAAATGTATTTCTGCTGACGACTTGGAAATATAGAATAACGAAACCAAGCAACATTGTGATGAACTCGGAAAGTTTTACTATTCAATCGCCTGAGTACGATGTCAGAGAACATACGAGCTGCAGAAAAGAAAGTTTATTGACCGCCTTTGTTCAAATGAGAGAAGATCCATGTGCAAGCAATCATAAAATGCTTCAAAAAGCCCCTTCTGGCCATGCTTGTTGATGACAGAGGTCCGTGCATTGGCTCCAAGATTAAATATTTCCTAAGGTATGGTGGCAATTGGAAGTCAAACAAGAAGGGTCTGTATACGACTGTATGCATAACAAACGAGCATAATACATCACAAACCTGCTTGTTTTGCTCCAAAAAGCTACTCAACCCCTATCGTCTGGTACAAGGAAAAGACAATACAGCTAAGCTTAAACAAGTAAAAGGTAGCTTTGTTTGCATGAACCCAAAATTCCAATCAGTCTGTGCTGGGAACAAAGAACCAAGGTCAATCACTTGCAATTATGATATATAAGTATTATATATTAAAGGATATCCCACAAGGCTGACTTAGGTTAGGTAGACATTTTGGTAGTGTACATTTGTATAGTATAGGAGAAAAAACGCCCTTAGATATAAAATGATTCAACTTAACGGCAACTTCCATAAGGAAAGAGAAAATGATTACCAATTATGGATTTCAAACGAAGGGTGTCGATCATAAAGCTTTTATTGTTGAGATCAGCAGCATTAATAATAAGAGTCACTTTGAACGTATTCCTGCTCGCTATAATCATGTTCATGAGATATATAGGGATCACTAGTATAAGGATCATCCAATTCTAGATCATTATATCCATCATAGCTTCCAATTTCACTCCCTACCACATCATCATCATCATAATAATAAGCTGGCTCACTTTCATATTCCTCATTAGAGCCAACAGAGGCACTGTCATCTGGACTCACATAGATTGATGATTCATAACTTATGCTATGAGCGTGTTGGGAGAATCCTTCACTGTCATATATATCGCTGTCGTGGTTATCATTGTCTATTGACTCGTTAGCTTGATCAAGTTCATATTCACTAATATCTTCATCATATTCCTCTTCCTGACTGTCATAATCTGAATATTTGTGTATAGACTGCTCATCTGGCACTGATGGTGCGTCTTGTTCACTGCTATACCAACTTCTCTCATCACCTTCGTCATCATACACTTCTTCTTCTTCAGTTTGAGGGTTACTGCTGTGGGTATAATGGTATGATCCGCAATTATAACAGTAGTTACTACCATGGCTGTATTCAGCTTCCTGTTCTTCCTCATATTCTTCTTCTTCTTCTTCTTCTTCCTCCTCCTCCTCCTCTTCTTCTTCTTCTCCTTCTTCGTAATACGGTCCTGGAGCGGTTCGCTCTTGATCGGAAGTATATCTGTCATAATCATCAAATGGTGAGCGATACCCGCTACTGTCACTGTTCATCAGGTCGTTATCATCATCACTCATATCCTGAGGTGTGTCATAGTCAGCTTCATGACATACCAATTCGACAAGGATCTTCAAATGGCTTATTTCAGGTGATGCTTTAATCAAGCGAGGAAAGTCGACACCTCCGATAGGAAAGAGATGATACCTCACGCGAACGATTTGTAACTGAGAGAAATCTTTGAGAAAATCAAAAATCAGCTCCTTGATATATGGACTTATTTCATAGTTATCTGGTAGTGTAATTTCGTATAGTTGACGATATCGAAGTAAGCAGAGAGTATAGGGAATATATCCAGTTCTGCCATAAGGTCGTGGTAAGTGGGTCAATCGACCTCCCCATCGACGGACTACCTGAGAGCCAGCTAGTGTGAGCCAAAGGGCTTCGTCAGGCTTGGCTACATCCAATCGAGTAAGACGAGGACAGAGTACGGATAATTGAATGAGTTGCTGGTCCTTTAGACTATCATTGATCTGTAGTGAGTTAACAGTATATCCAGAAGGTTCTGGTCGTTGACAAGACAGGTCAAGACATTGAATGAGACGGTCGACATGTTGGAATGATTCAAGCACGATATTCTTATAAAGTAGCTGATGTGCGATTGAATACCATAGACGACAAACAGATAAAGTATAGGCAAGATCACGAGGACAAGTGATATAACCTAGTATGTTTTCCCATATTTCAGTTGGTAAACTCATTAGTTGTCAACAAGGGAAAAAAAAGAAAAAGAAAAAGACTTGCTTATCCTGCGTCGTAGTAGTAGTACTGCATAAACTAACAAATAAAACCCAAAAGAAACATAAATTGAGTTTTAATAAAGACGGAAAAAGAAAAAGAGGCATAGAAAGAAAGAGGGAAAAAAGAGACTATAGACAACTATTATACAATAACACTAATATGTTCAATTAATATATGCATTATGCACAACTATACTTATGCCACTTTCTTTTTTTTTGTAATTATATGACTATCATTCAATAAAAGTATCCGATCTTTACTTCCTCTTTAAATGCAATAACCTTTCTACATCTCATTTAGCATTTGCCCTTACTCATCACAAAGGACGAAATCCTTAAGTCTGCGGCAGCACGACAACGTACAAAAACGAGCATAGTGAATTGGAAATGGCTAGCACTCTATATATATATATATTGGAATTAGACCATAAAATACGAGGATACACAAGATGAGATCAAAAAGTACCTTCACTCCAGGTATATTGGGTCCTCTGAGGCTGTATGGAATCTTTTCCAGTTCAAGACATACGAAGAAGGTCCTACAGTAATAAGTCTGCAAGTACATTTATCGGGCCAGCAAACTGTTTATTTCCCTTCTGAGGCATTAACAGCAGAGATTGCAAGAACCTTGGAAAGAGACATGACAAACTTGATGGCTTTTTTTTAAATATAATGCAAGAAATGAAGATGGGAGGTCATACCTTTACCAAGAATTTCCCCAGCATTTTATCTTTAATGAAAGATTAAAGCAATGAAAACTTCGCCAGCAAGGCTTTGCCGTTGGCAGAATGTACCACTGTAGCCCCATTGCCGGAGAGAGGCATTACCTTCGCCTTGTATTGACCAGCGTCCGTGGCTCCAAGTCTTTTGAGGGCATTAGGGCAGTCAATGGGATTCTGCGCCCAACCTTCAGAGAGGTCTGAGTAGCTCTTCACTTAGTCCAGGATGATCGTGAATGGGACTGGTGCTTTGCAGAGGCAATACTTTTTGCTACAGGTGCAAACCTACGAAGATTATTTGTCACTGCACTGCTTCAGAGTCAGTTAAACAGCCCTTCGGTACTCTGGGAGCGTTACTGCAGCGACATGTGCGATGGCCTTGCGAACAGGCAGTTAAATCCTTTAGCGGATAATTTTACATTTCATATCCTTAACCAAGGCAAAGCTAACATGGCTGCTTTCCCTTTTTTTCTTTACTTCAGCATGAAGCGAAAAAAAGACGATGATCCTCCGCTTCCAAAGGCAAAGCGAAATAAAGGGAAAGATATGTAAGCTATAAAGTCGGTATGGCACTTATTAAGTGCCCATTAGCCGTCGATTGCAGGTTCCCTTCTTTGTTTGCACAAACACAAACATGTTTATTCAAAAATACAGCTTTTGAAGCAAATGATGATGACTTTCAAGAGACTCCATTACTTAGAAAAGGTAAAGATAACATCTATTAGCCCCATCTGTTTTATAACTGAATGTTGTAATAGACAAGAACATCCGTACTATTTTGAAAGCTGCTAAAGAAGACACATCTGCTCCTTGCCTTTCAAATGTTGTTATCGGTGACAAGGTATCTATGCCTACAGACAATAAAGATACGAGTGCTCAAGAGCATTACCTGCTCCTACTCCTTCCACTTGTTGTACTTCTGCCCCTATCAAGGCCTCCAAGAAATATCAAGACAAGGTTGATAAGGCTGAAACACTTAAAAAGGAGAAAGAAAAGAACAAGATGACAACCAATGGACAAAAACAAGTACAATGTCCTTCTTGTAGTAGAACTGATCACTCTTGCTCCTCAAGCAGGTTGTATCCTATGAATAAGTCAAAAAAGAAGCTTCCAAAGCCTAAAGATACCGTCGAGAAAACTTCTGCAATCAAGACATCCTTGGCTAATATCTGTAGATATCCCAAGTTCGTTACTTTGATTCAAGAAGTAGTTGACTGCATTACTCAACTTGGTATATTCTGGAACTATTTTTGCTAATTACTACTTCTTGGAACTTCTCGAGAATGGTGAAGGACTACCTGTTGTCACTCAAAATCTGTTCTATAACATATTTTCCGTTTTTTCTGGCCAAAGAAAACATACCTCTGATAGTATCAAGAAGAGCTTCAAGGCCTTTTGTGAATCTACTTTCCTTACTCAATCTGACTTGGATAAGTATACAAGTAAAGGATATATGACCATTGTATCTTCTATGGCTAAGCAATATGAAACACTGGTCCGCAACTACGTATGCTCTACTTACGAAGATCGAACTCTCAGACATATTCTTAATGTCCTGTCCAAAAAGATCTCTCCTTATTTGTGTGGTGATAGCTTAACAGTCAAACAGCGCAAGTCTTTAGCAAAGCATATGCTTCAACAAAAGACCAGCTCCAGGTCTGCCTGGCCATCCACTGTTGATCAAATTGAACGACATGAAACCATTGTCAATAACTTTCTTACTCTTTAGTCAACGTACGATGCTTCCAATGACGCTGACATACCAAGCGAAGCTAATCTGTATGCTTAGCCTCAATACTACATAAAAAGTCCATTCAAGAACTGAACTCTCAAGACAAAGCATCAAGTAGTTATGTTCATAGAAAGTTACAAGAATTTCTTTTTGTCGAGAAGCTAAATACAAGCAAGTACAGATCATTAAAGGAAAAGACACTGACTGCTGTCAATTTCAATAAGTTCCTGGAAATAACAAACAAGCTTAGAAATATTGATAAAAAGGATATTGATGCTGTCCAACACTTTATCAAAACAGTACAAACGAGAATTCAAGACAAGACCTTCATGCCTCTCAAATACACTGACCTTTGAGGATCAAGATACTTTTCTTTACTTTTCCTGTACAAGATTGATTCCAAGAATATACAGATTGATGTTCAAGCTTTTTAGAGACTTGCCAAACAATGAGACAACAAAACCAAACCATGTCAAAAGAATGATAATGATTAGCTTTATGATATTTTAATGTATTTGATTTTTCAAAAATAAGCTACAAGACACTTGAAAGCTTAGCCCCACGTTCCAAAAAGTTTGCGTACGTGTGCTTACATGTCTTTTCTGTTGGGCTAAGCAAATGTTGTCATTGTAGAGATGTGATGACCACTGATGGTTATGCTGTATCCTTCATGTTTAAGATAACTGTCTCAATTCAAGGAGAACCTAGAAGAGAACCAAAGACACCCAAGGATTTTGCTGATATAGTTGACGACGCAGAGATTTGGGCTGTTGATCCTGGTATATCAGTTATCTTTACTGCAGTTGACTCGACAGGACAGAAGCGTATCCAAACTACAAGCTTGGAAGAATACTATAATTTATGTGGTTACAGACTTGCTACAAGAAGATGAAAAGAACACCAAGAGTGTCATTTAGACGAATTTAAATATATTAGTGAATTACCTACTTTAAAAACTGCAAACTTGACCTCATTTTTACTAACTGCCCCTACACGTCTACAAAACTATCGAAGAATTCATAACTATTACTGTCAAGATAAATGATATATCGTTCTCTTACATGATGTGTATTTTAATAACGCTGCATATGGCATAGACCTCAAAAGCTAAAGTTCAAGACGTATATCAACAAGCAAAAAGGAACTCAAGAAATTGTTAAAAGACTCTTTGACAACAGCAAAAAGCATGGCATATCAAGCACAGTTGGCGCTAAAAACCAAAGTCCAAACAAAAGCAAATATGTCCTCTACCTCTTGCTGACTTTCCTTCTTCCTCTCATCGGAAGTGAATCATTGCGTTCGGAAATGGTTCTTTTGGTTCAAGTATGAAAGGAAAGTGAGCTGCACCTACTGGACATATTACTGAAGAAATCAAGCGGAAATTCAAGCAATCTAATGGAGGGCCGAATTTGTCTATGTTGACGAGTATTTAGCGAATCAGATCTGTAACAAGTGCAAATTCAAACAATTAAACATCGCTATTACTGGATCAAAGCGAAGAGTACACTCCGTCCTCAAGTGTGAATCTTGTGGTACGGTTTGAAATCGCGATGTGAACAGTGCATTAAATATATATGGTATCTTTGTTTACAAATCAAAACACGACAATGAAAATTCTCCCTCCTTCAAAAGACTAACGGTGCTCCCTGGATTTAATGCGCTGTCTATAACGGCAGTGCATTCCTTAACGCCTCGGTAAGTATAAAATGAATAATACGTTATTTTTTACTCATTAATTTTCCACTTATACAATAAAGTATTCTATTCAATAAAATGAGACATTGTACACATAAACAATATAGAAAAGAGAGTGCGCCCATGAACAAAATATATGTGAACCGGGGATTCAATATAAATAAAAAATAGAAAAAAAAACTTTTATTCTTTTTATTCTTTTATTTCTTTTACAGTAATAACAATGAATTATTGTAATAGAACTGGTCGTAGTGGTATTGGCAGTAGTAGTAATAATAGTAGTAGTCTGATAATCGATTCTGATTGCTCAGATGACTTGATAATAAATGAAGAAGATGAAGAATTAAGAGCAAGAAACAGTGAAGATGAGGATTATTATAAGCCAATAGCACCTCCACCTTCACCACAACAAGAACCTATTACACTACAAGATGATATCCATGAGAAAAGAGATACTAAACTACATGCTCAGACACTAGACCAGCTATTACGTAAAACATTAGACCGTCAGCAAAGCAGAATATGTAAAAGACAAAAGAGAAGATCTTCAATATTTAATAATAACCAGCACAAGCTGAAGGAACTGCTATCTTCTATTGTGGATGAAGACATGATTCATGAATTAAGAGATATGGTCTTGTAATGACAACTTTTTATTTTATTATTATTATTGTACATAGATTGACACACAAACACACATATATACACACATACATACATATATATTTCACAAGTACACACACACATAACCTACATATACATTTATATAATATATTTATATTCACACACCAATGATGCCCTTTTTCCCCTCTCTTTTCTACGATTAAAAAATAAAAATAAAAAAGCAATATTTGCGCCATTGAATAAAATTTGCCTCTCGTTTTTTTATTATTTTTATTAAACCATGACCTCTATACAACTAGATGTTTCAGCCCATGCGATTCCTTTGCTTCATGCAGCCAAATACCCTGCATACAATGTATGTGGTGTATTGCTTGGAAAAGTAAATGGTTCAAATCTACACATCACTAAGGCTATACCTTTCTTTCATCATTGGACTACCTTATCACCCATGCTTGAAGTTGCATTACGCCAGGTTAGAACATACAAAGTCTTTCTAACTTATGCTAATATATATAATAATAGACAGAGATTTATGCACATGATAATAAACTAACTATCATTGGTTGGTATCATGCTAATGAAGACAAGGATGACACTAGATTATCTGATGGAACTAAACATGTTGCTGAAACAATACGAAAACAATGTGGACATTGTGCTGTGTTTTTGGTAATAAAGAGATAGATGTAATATAGAACCTATAATAATAGTAATGGACATAGATCAACAACAAGACCTTCTCTCAACCAGACGAAACAGCATTTATAGTAAGTCAGCTATATATATATATATATATCCACATGAATAAATGACTTATCTTGCTATAATAGCCATATGTATATACAGATAATCAATGGAAAGTGACAAATCAACTGACAATTCCAGAGGAAGCCTCTGTCAAAAGTCAAGAACTGATTGCATCATCAAAATACAAAGATCTGCATGATTTTGATGAAGCTTTAGAAGACGCGTCATTAGATTGGTTGAATGGATTTATTTAAACAAACTTTTTATCGTGGTGATTTACACGTAATTTTGAATAAAGCGATCCAGCAAAGACGATGACAATCTGTACGAGGAAGATGTAAAAGATGTATTTGAAGAATGTAAACATGGCACCTCTGGTTTCACTTGAATGAAGATTAACTTCTTTCATTTGGTTTTGTATCATGTCTGATTGAGATAGAATACGCGTCTAGTGATGGTTTTTTGTTAGTTTTGTACCCATTTAAACAAAAAAGAGAAACCTACATCTAAACCAGATAAAGTTTGTTCTAATTTGCGAATAGAATTCTGAAGTTCCTTTATCTGACGTCCTTGATCACTGGCAAGTCTTTCAAATTGAGCAGAGCTTTTTTTTGTTTCTTCACGTATTTCATCTACCCTACGACTTAATTCGATACTAACTCTTTATTTCATTTTTAGTTTCTATTTATACTTGAAAGAATGTGTGATACTTACCCACTGTCGCCTTGATTATTTCTCTTTACATTTTCATAATTACCAGCAACAATTGATTCAGGAGTAGGTGCACCCAAAGCTTCGATCTGAAGCTGTAATACTTCAAGTCTTTCAATAGTTCTTACTTGGGTATCATAAATAGCAGACTAAAAGGACATTAGCTTTTTACATTTGATTTCGCTGTTATCTTACCATGGTAACGGCTACTTCATGACCCATGTCATTACCAGACTCTCGTAATTTTCTCATTTGATATTCGGCTTCTTGAATCCTCTAAATGATGCATAAGATTGCATCACTCAAATAATGGCTCATGCTTTCTCTTACCTGTTTTTGTTCATCATCAATCCCGCTGAACTCTTCGCCTTTCTTCTTCTTCTCTTCTTCCAATGGACGTTTTGGACGCTGTTCCAATTAAATGAGAATATGTATACTTAAACACAAAAGACTTACAGATGTCTTCTTGGGTGGGTTTAGTTGTCTTGTCTCAAAGGAGATGACATCGTGATCATCTACAAAACATGGGGTTAATCGCTATACTCTCAATTCATCTCTCTTATTTTACCTGCAGGTGTATGGGAATACGCCTAACAAAGAGTGTGAGTAAACAAACAATAATAAAAAGAGAAACACTTACAGAAATACCAAAAAAGTAACCAGTGGGTAACTTGATGCCTGATCTTTGTAAACAGATGCGATAATCCTTTCCTTCACCGCTGTTATCCAAATAGACCTACATTGGATGAATGAGCTGAAGAATAAGAAAAGCAAATTATACACACATACTGTTAATGTATTATCTTTTAGAGTGACTTTAAGATATGCAGGAGTAGGCGAGTTTCGATAAGTAATAGAACATGTTCCAAGCGCATATTTACGAGGATCGACGCCGGATGCAAACGATAATGTGCCGTCATTTAATATAGCCATTGTAGAAGCTTTATGGTTCTGATAGGTGTCAGCTTTTTTTTTCCCTTTAAATGCATTTATCTTACCACAGGATTAGCCGAGTCTAACCAAATGCTCAAACCGTCCCATTTGTCCTTTGAACCAAAAATGGGGCCTGATTGTTTACTATCTTTTGTATACCAAAAGGCTAAACCACGACCACCGTGCATACTTGTTCCAGATACCTTGAAAGCAACCACTGCTTCCCATTCTTCATATGGATTGGGTCTATCAGACCAGATCCATCCTTTTGTATTTGGGATAGAAGGTGAAAGTCGAATAAAGTCCTCCCCCTGAAACACATCTAAACGTATTAGCTAAAGCAGACGCGTCATTTTCTTTACCTCCGCCCGTGGACCAAAAAGGGACTGAATTGTTATAGTAATAAGGCTTCTTGAACGATAACTTGTAATCATATTTTGATGTTGGAGTATCAGGCAAGTCTTTTTCTGCCTGTTGGGGATCTACTTGATGAACCTCAGATGAACCCCAGATGCCAGCTGAACAAGTTTCTAATAATAAAGCCGTAACTATAAATAAACTATAGGCTTTCATTATAAAGAAGCTTAAAAAAAGAAAAAGAAAGAAAAAAAAAAAGAGAGAAAGACACCTTAATAAGGAGAGAAGAATGACTTTGTATTTTTAATGTTACAGCTTTACCAATTTTAGAGTCAACAAAGATGACAGTTGACTATATGCTTCTTTCTTACTCTCTCTCTCTCTCTTTATTTCTTTCTTAAAAGAACATAAGATTATATATAAACTTTATCAAGAAAACCATTTTGTTGTTCTTTTTCTCATAAAATGACTGATTGCATAAAGTGACTTACACAGCATTTTTTATAAATATAAAAAAAGGCTGTTTAACCTATCCATTTTGGTCATTGTGCCACGTATTTTTATATTATTACGCCCACGTATCATTTTAATTGCTTTATATTTAGTAATGAACAGAATAAAGAATGTCTTTCATCGTTCACAGAAACCAATGGAAGAGAGACGACCACATCAATTCATAAAAAGACACTCTTCAACTCGCACTTACAATAGTAGTAATAATGATAATGCATTTGAGACAACACAAGTCAATGAACCACCTGCTATCAATCTATCAGATTTATCAGAGATGGAGAGACCAGCTTATCAGTCATGGTGGAAGGACCTTGACCCCTTTAATATTGGTAGAATAAACAATCAAACCATCTTGAAATTTCTCAAGGGTTGTACTTTGGAAGATGATAAACTTGAGCAAGTAATGACACACACAGATTGACACTTTATTTTTTCTTTGGACTGAATAAAAATAATATAGATCTTGGCTTTATTCGAAACAGCAGGCGATGGACTTGATCAATTACAGTTCTTTGCAATGCTTAGATTAATAGCTCATGCACAAAATGGTCGAAAGATTAGCAAAGCATTAGTGTACTTGGGAGGTATAATAATAATAATTATAAATTATGAAAACAGACTAATTGTATTTATGCAGCGCCTATACCCCACTTTCATACCAACGCCATTGATGCCTTGATCAAATCCGATGTTACTGCGACACCTAGGGCGAACAATGATAAACAGGTTGGACGAAGAACTTGGTGGGGGCCAGAGACACGGTCATCAGTGGACGACAATAACAGACGCTCTTATATCGGACCATTTACAACACATCACCCTGTACCTGAATCAGAACGACAAGATACAGTCATGGATTTATATTATCCAAGTGATAATCTTTGGACTGTACCCAGTGCACCTCCACTCTTTACACAACCTTCGCCTCTACCCAAAAGCGAATATACACACTCTCGCTCAAAATCAGCAGGCAATGCAGCTGCGTACATACAACCATTTGACCTTCAAGAACAACTTCACTCATCACGATCCTCACTTTCTTTGCATGAATTGAATAGCAATAATAATAATAACCCAGGAAAATCACTATTATTAACACAAAAATTCGTATACCAATCACCTTCGATTCGAAAGCAAGAACTGCAATCAACAAACAATCCATTCCATTCGACCGAGTTACGTAGTCCCTTTGACGATGATGATAACAACAGTAATACACTCACCCATATACCAGCATATACCGCTATTAATGATAAACCAAATTCAGATAACATACCTCCTCCTCCAGTACCCAATCAAGATACGAAACCACCATTTCCCAAGTATGCCAGAAGGACGACACCCAAAGACCTTTTGAGTTAAAATAAAGTTTTGAGCTCCGTTTTTCTCCTCTTTTTTTGTTTTTATTTTGTGTGATGGTGAATATTAGTCAAGAATCAGGAGCATTCTTTCAAACAGATGCTGAAATTGCAAAACAAAAAGAAAAAGAAGCCAAATATAACTATACAGCAGGTGATGCAGTCAAACTGTCTTCAAAGGCGCTTTCTCTTTGCATAAGTCCAGATGGCAAGTACATTTATATTGCAGAATCTGGATTCCAAGTCAGAAAGATGGAAAGATCAGTAAGTTGTCCTTATTTTGAGAAAAAGATAAACAACTCATGTATACATAGACGATGAAAAGTGTCAAACTATTCAAAGGGCATAAAGGCCCTGTTACTTCAGTAGTTATCGGCAAAGACGACACGATCTGGACAGGTTCCTGGGACAAGACGATTAAAAAATGGGACGCCAAATCTGGAGAATGTCTTGCAACACTTGAAGGACATACCGATTTTGTAAAAGCACTTGTTATCTCTGGCGATTCGCTCTACTCGGGTTCATCTGATTGTTTCTTGCGTCGATGGAATCTTGACAACTTAGAATGTACAGCTTCCGAAAAGCAACATAGACGACCGATCGAGAGCTTAGCCATCTCACTGGATGGACAGTCAATTTTTTCTGCTTCATCGGATGGTATAACGCTCAGATGGGACACCAAGACGATGCAAGTGCAAAAAACATATACCGGCCATGATACCAGCATCTACTGCATTCGCGTCTGGGAGGATGATCTCTGGACTGCTTCGGCGGATAAAACAGTTCGTAGGTGGAATACGGATACTGGAGTAGTAGATATGAAAATAGAACATCCTGATCGTGTCAAGTCACTCGCTTTGGCTGGTCCTTATGTCGTCACGGGCTCTAGTGATGATGAGATTCGTGTTTGGGATATTGCTGTAAGTTTGATTATTTTGCTTTATAAAACAAACAATAACTCTACAAAAAAAAATAGTCTGGTCAACTTGTATGTGTTATTGAAGGACATTTTGATGAAGTTAGCAGCTTAGAAATGTATGGATCAACTATTTATAGCGGATCATTGGATTGCTCTATCCGACGCTGGCCTCTCAACGCAGCATCTATAAAGGAATATAACGAAACAAGAGAAAAGAAAAAGAAAAAAGAGCAAGCAAAAGATACCGGTTTGACAGAGGAAGAAGAGAGAGAACTAGCGGAACTTCTTTCTGACGATGAATAATAAAGTGTTTATTTCTGAAAGAATTTCTTCAACATACTAGAGAACGATCTAGTCTCTTTTTCTGTTGAATAAGTAGGTGCATTCTGTCTGTCTTGTACATAAGTTGATGCCAAGTCATCTAGATGGTCGTTCCATGTTGCATTTCTTGCACGCCAGCCTATGTGATTCTTATCCAGACCTCTTGTCCATTTATTGATAATGAATCCATACCAAGTCTTTTGAATGATTTAAGAAAAAGCTTCATTGGTTCAACACGCTCTTACCGTAAACATACACCCCACAAATAAGCAGGAACCAAGGCCGATCAAGCCAGCTTGAGCAGCTTGGTTACAATCAATAAAGCCAAAGGTAGATCCTAACTTTAGATCCAACAAAACAAGCAAATTATTCAAGGGCTCGTCTTGGCTTGCATTGGCAAGCTTGCATGCTCTTATTGTTTCTTGTCTATTGGTGATGAATAATACAAAGTTGATTGTTTGTCCAATATAGATGTTGACGATGGTATTAACCCAGTAAATAGAGTTAAAAAACACGATTGACCCATACGATGCCTATAGTCATGTGTTTAGAAATAAGAAATAAGGTTAAATTACTTGCATTAAATGAAAGAATGGTGCCAATGACAGGTACGAATCCAGTACAGCCTACCAGTTAGGCAAATTAGCAATGTAGTGCGTAACCAGGTAACTTACTCAAGTGAAAAATATAGATCCAGATCAGTAATGGGTGTATGACGGCAAGGTGCATTGTCATGGCTATCATTCATTAGCAGCATGATTGGGGCATTTGCGACACTTACGGTTTCTATGTGTCACAGTTGCTGTAACCAGCAAAGTTGCCATCGTCTACCATGCAAAGTTGGTTCAAACTAAACAACATAACATCAGGCGATTTATACTTTACAAATAAAGCAATATTGAATGATTGTATGATCCACTGTAAGGGGATACACCATAGCTTAATCTTTTTATCTTTCATTTTTTAAGAAAATACGAAAGAAAAGGAATGAATGAGACTGGCCTTGAGAATGTATAAGCATATTTTAACTATAACATAGCAATTCAAAAGCTCTTTAAAGGAAATGATTTACGTATATGCACCATGTATCCAAGGATACTTCGGAAGCAAGTCCCCCTTGAACTTTTTTATGTAGGTTCTAAATATCGCCAACATTATTGAAATTATAAATGGATTTCTGTAACGCATCAAAATCAGTGTCACGTGTTTTAAAGTAGGCGTCGCATGTTTAGAAGCATATGACACTATGGACGGCCCATATATTTGGTACTATACCTATATTAGTATATAATTAATAGACCAGATCAAGTAGAGTCATATAATAAGGCAAAACAATTGAATTCCAAAGCGGTTCATTCGTGGTCACTATAATGTTCTTGTGCTCTAGATACAATCAAACATCTGAGAGAGGCTTAATACAGCCGCGTAGAAGAAAGTATTATTCCAGTCTTTCTGATCCGACGTAACACCAGTAAGGGTCGTTATGCACTCTTTTCTGATCTATAAAAGCTCGAAACTATCAAAGGGACAGTGATCTGGACTAAAGACAAGAGTATCAATGATAATGGATATAGTAATTAGATCCAGATATCATTATCGTCTCATTTTTTCGATTTGGGCGATATTGGCTATTGATGTACTCGGTGAATAATAGGATATATGTATATATATATATATATATATATATTCCTAGTAGGTCACTTATGAAAGTAACAAACATTTTGTCGCTTTATTGGCATTTTGATAAAAAAAAAAGGGGAGTGCACTACATCAAACTTTTATATAAATCTCTCTTTGGATTCACAGCAAATAACATATGTATACATTGATCACTGCATTGGATTTAAGCACGTGATGTTGATTTTCATTGACAAGCCATGTTCATATCATTCATTGTGACAATAGCATTATCTTCAAACAAATAAGTGGCCGCATTGATTTTTCAGTTTATGTAAAACTGTAGCAGAGACTTGCTTTATTCAACAATAGCCTTTGATAATAATGTGCTGTGTCTACTTAATTTCTAACATGTTTGTAACCCTGTGTTAATTAACTCCTTGTGTTACGCACATTGGTATACACATTGCAGACCATTGTGCTTTGGTATTATCATTGGTGGCGACGATCAGACAAGTTCACATGACCAAGCTATACAGTATTTTACTACAAGAAAAATAGGACCTATATGGTCTCACACATGTGGAGCGTAAAGATGAGTTTACCTGATCAACAATCAAGATGTTCCATTTAGCCACTTTCTCTCTTCATTCCTCCACTACAATGACCTTCCCCATTACTATGTCGGTTGATCATCCGTACTTCCGAGTGCAGACGGACAACAGGGAAAGGGGATGACGTCCCCAAAGAAAGAATGGTTAAGTGGCCTTGTCCAACTGCACCCTTTTGGCGAACTTAATATTGCTCCTTATTCCTGATTAGACCCCTGTTACACGTCAAAAGAAGTAACCCATCTCCCCTTTTAAAAAGGATAGCAAGCAACATGATGCATACAGTCTTTTCTCTCTTTGTTTGCTGACAGGCAACCTTAAACCCTTCATTTGCATTATACTTTAATATATACATTTTTTGATGTTTTGATTAAAAGTTACTGATTTAATCTTGGTCGTTAGGATACAAAATAAATAAAGATCGTCGCGCGGTGATAATTATTCAGTGTTTAATAAAAACATCTTGTTATAAAAAAAGAATTTAGAAAAAGAGACATTGCCACAAAAGGCGCAATTTGCCATCCAGTTCCTTTTTACTTCCTGTTTTGTTCCCTTAATGGATGTCATTGAGCTTTTTTGAAAAACGTGGTTAATAAAAGGTCCCTGAGGTTAAACAATAGGCTTGTGCGTTTTTATATGAAGGGTACCCTTAGTTGTTTGCCCTCTGGTTGTGTTACTATAATTATCAATTACTTTAAGGGGCCAATAAAACGTGGCATTTTAAAGGAGTAGAAAAAGACTATCAGGTATACGTCAGTGTATGTACTCCTTTTTATCACTATGAAAGATACAAAGGCCCTACCCTCGACTTGTTCTGAACCTGAATGAATGATCCAAGAAAAAAAAAAAGACAAGTAAAATTATAAAATATAAAAAGAACAAGATAATAGATGTCGGTCCTTTTTTTAATAACTAAAATAAAGATTGAAGTTTGACCTGTTATTTCAAAAAAAGTTGATCTGATGCAATTTTATTGTTTGCCGTATAGCTATTTTTATTGTGTGGCAAATCTAATTTATAATTGGTTAAGGTTTCCTTATCGTATGTATGTATGTATATCAACCTGATGGGCCAAAATACATATATATATATAACAGAGATAGTAAGAGGCAATTTTTTTATTTCACGTTTGCCAACACGTTGTTCACTATTTCTGTTTTGGTAATGCAGGGCGAAGTTGTATCAAGGAGAAAGAAAGGGGGGCAAAGAAAGGAGGAGGTCGCGATCCACGTTTTTTTAAATCAGTGCACTTTTTGTGTATCCCTTAAAATTTACAATGATCAAGTTGAAGATATAAATATGTCCTTTTGATTTCCCTATTTCCAATTTTTTATTCCTTCTTTTCATCTTATTTATCTTTACTATGTGTAACAACGATTTAGTCTTGTCGATCAAGGATGCTTCTGGTAGACATGTTAGTCTCTTGAATGATAATACACCAACAAATTATAAAATGAATTCATTAAACTCGGCCAATACAACCATCACAGTCAGAAGAAAGTATCATTGTACTGAACCTGGATGTAATAAGAGCTTTACCACAAGGTATGGTGAATATAATTTTTGAAATTGACATCCATTAATGTTGTACTTCAGTGGCCATCTTGCACGTCATAATAGAATTCACACTGGTGAAAAGAACTTTCATTGCCTTCATCCTGGATGCCCTAGTCGTTTCTCTCGCCAAGACAATATGATGCAGCATTACCGTACCCATCTCTCTCAAAAAGCACGCCGTCAACAGCAATTAAAAAAGTCTATTCCAAAGACTCCCTATTGCCACTCTGTTCAGGAGCCAAAGTATACTCAGACCAGACCTCGAAGAGCAATCACTATGCCTAGTTTACCTTATCCTCCTTTTGATTTAAAGCAAGACAGACTGATTTCTCGCCCAAGGAGAACCCTGTCTACTTCTTCCACTTGTTCTTCTACTTCATCCTTCACTTGCTCATCCTGTCCATCTCCTCAATTCAACCATATCCTTCCACCTCCTACTTTTTATACCATTCCTCCTCCACCCCAGCCCAATCATTATCTTCATTATCGTCATCAACCAGTAGAATTAGCTAAACTTCCACACTTGCAAAAACCTGAACAACAACAACAGCAATCTCACTGGGAATCCAAAACTTCCGAGAAACCTCTTTCAAGCCTTTTACATTTAGCAAACATCGTCAGTACTTTTGGTTAAAGCAGTGTATCTATCTCACTTTCTTTCTCTCACTCACTCACTCTCTCTCTCTCTCTCTCTCTTTCATTCTTTTTTTTTTCTCGTCCTTAAGAAATTATCATGTTTATGGTGACATTCAACAATCGTTTATATACAACAACATATATATCTTCTATGCAAAAGATTCTTGTATTTTATATTATCTTTCTCTGTATTATATACTCTTTCATTGTATTTTTCTTTATGCCAACTCTTTATATATATATATACATGATTCATTTTTTTGTCATATGTTTACACAATAGTAACAGTCCGTGGTAGTGGTAGTAATATTAGATTTAGTAGTAGTACCAGCAGTAGTAGTAGTAGTAGTAGTGCATTTCTCTTCCATTATAGAAAATAAAAATATTAAATATCATCCATTGAACCTTTGTGTGAATGTTGCAAATTAGTATTCGTACTTTGCAAAAAATATAAGCTTTTTTTTTTTGGATCAATCTGCAAGCAAGATTTTACCTATTGGATCTTAACTTTTTGAAGTCAAAAGCCCTATAGAACATCCGCAATTGTTCGTTGTAACCTCTTGGTAAAGCATTTTTCATAAAGGCAGATAAAGAATTTGCACTAATGTTGATGAACCTCCAGTGTAAGGATGGGTTCGGCAATATAGAAAAAAGCTTTGGAAGAGGCAGTCGCCTAATATCGTATACATGGTGATATCTATGCTCTGATTCATACTTTGACAGTATATATGAAATGCAAGGCAAAACAGTATCGAGTGATACAGACAGCTGCTTTAACGTTACTCGAGTGGTTAAGCTACTTCAACTGTTACTTTCGTCTCTTGTGTAAAACATAGCATCATAATTATCCTCTGAATGTCTCCAGATATTATATTTCAGTAAGAACCGTTTCTGGTCATTAATAAGATACTTGTAACAATAGCTCTATATCTTGAAGAAGCATAATGACGATCAGTTAAACTATATTGCTCAACGAACTTCTTCATAAACAGCCTTATCCATTAGAAATTAACTGTCTTTTTTCTCTTCAAATTTGGATGCTCCATAATTTAAATAGTGAGTAGCATCGAAACTAAAAGAGTAATGTTAGTGCTATAGATGAATGATAGGCTAGAATAATTACAGATGTATGTTGATAAGCCTCTATATAACTTTTTTTTTTTATTAAGAACAAGAAAAAAAGAGAGCTCATTACTACAAACGTTATTTTATACAGGATTATTACGTGACCAATAAGAATAGGATAGGGCACGTTATATGATAATAAAGTTTTTTGTGGCCAGTTAAGTAGTGCGCGAGGGAGTATGCCAAGAGTCCCCCTGAAAGGAAAACACTGCACAGTGCTCCTTGAGCCAATTAACGCGGTTTTTGAAATCTCGATTCACACAGGTTTGTGATACCAGCATTCTTTGATTTACATGATCGTCAAAACTTTTGTATTCCGTTATTGAAGGGGGAGCTTCTTAAATCAGAGCTAATTTTTGTTTTATTGTTTTCTTTGTTATTAACAATAGCGTGGTTCGATTAAAGGTGGAGCGAACCAGTGCTCTATGGCAGCTGTGCTCCGAGCACAACCATATCGTTGGATTCAAAGAGGCCCTTTCGCTTCATACATGCTTATAACGATAAGGAATTTGATCTATCGATAGCAGAAGCACTGCATTCTGCTGAAAGTAACAAGACGGATATCAACGACAAAAGCAAGCTTGTTCGATAGGGAAAAATGATCTCACGCTCAGTATTCAATATAGTCAAAGGTGATCCTGGTATTACAGTCAACTTTAAAATGTACAGGGAGACTTCTTGACGTGTTTGATGAAATAAATCAATATACTATTTTTTCTATTTCCCTATTGTAATCAAATGTCAATATTTGCATATAAATAGGAGCCTTGAATTCTCTTGTATAAAGCTTTCCCTAAGTCTCTTTTTAATATTCAACTCTTTTTTTTCAGCTTTGTTTATCTGTCTTTCCCACTTGCATCTCGAATGGGACATGCGTTATAAATTTGTATTCAATAAAATTTAGTCGATGTCTTGTTGGACATTTTACATTATTTACATAATTTATTCGTTATTTTTTTAAATGGTTTGGAGCATTATGAAAGAGTGTCTTCCACATATAAGCTTCAGACAACAATAATTCTACATCCTTTTCTTGCCATCCTTGTGTCGGTAACTGTTGGAGAAAGATCATGACGCCTTGAAAATCTAGCTTTTGTAATTGGTTAGACCACTTTACCAAAAAGGCTGCGCAAACATAGACATGGAACTCAGAAAACCCTTCGGATGATCCTTCTGCTAGATATGTATCCCACATTCGTATGGTGCTACGTAATGGAAGTTCTCTCATCAGCAGGCAGTTCATCCATCGAAATGCAAATTGGATGAATTCAATGCCTTCGTTTTGTAAATGCTGTGTAAGCCGAGCTACTAAAGAGTTATTATTTGTTTATCATATCATAATTAAACCTACCGTCAATGCGAGAGACCAACTCTTTTAACGTCAATATCTGCCTTTGAATGCCTGGCTGCGCGAAAGTATAATTGTCTTGAATACCATCTAATAATTTGGATAGACACCAGAAACTATCTGCCTCGATCACAGATAATATTTCCTTGTTCAATTGACTGACATTGTAATGTTCAGGGTCTTCATCAATATAAGCCGACAAAAAGACTTCAAAAATTGGTGTTACCAAATCATTGATGCCTTGCACATACCCGCTAGCTGGATGACGAATAGCCCATTGGTAGAGAATCCTTTCTAGGCACTTTTTATAAATAGTTAAAAATAAAGATCTTGATCAGCAATTCTAAATCTTACCATCTGTGTCACTTCATTTTGATATAAAGGAATACCGGGATTCGTTCTGGGTATATCGATATGAATCTGATGCCATAAAGCTTGGTCTAGTCCTGCTGTCCCTCGTGCATAGGTTCCTGCCACACTATCCAGATATTCTTTACGTTTTCTTGCTAATGTTGCTTCTCTTCTTGCTGAATTACATGGCAAGTAACCTAGCAACAATTGCCAAGCAATCATTCTCAATTCTTCTGGTATTCCGCTCCAACTAAGTGATCGCAGTGCAGCTAAATTATATCAATAATCAGTCTTTTAATCTTCTCTTTTTTGGTACCTAAATCAACATTGGACACCGACAAGACATCTTTAAACTTTTTTGTTCTAACAGGATCTTTTGTCTCCTCTGGATTCAACCATTTTAATAAAAAGGTTGGATCTTTTCAAAGTAAATCATTAGCTGTTTTATATAGTATGCATACATTTAAAAAAGAAGTTTACCTAGCAACAGCTCTTGAACATACTCTTTTGTACCATCTGGATTTGTTGATTTCCTCTTGTTTTTTTTTGCAGCATCTGAGAAAACTGCAGTACTTATCATCTGATGATCTGGTTCGATCATTTGGTTTATGCTGAGAGGCGCAATATCATCACTCCACTCATCGTTTGTGTCCTTTAAGAAGGCGTTGAATGATTTTGATGTGTTTCTTGTATGATCTTTTTCCTTTTTCTTCTCGCTCTTTTCTTGCTTTGGTGATTGGTTCGACGGCTTACTACTTGATTGTGGTTGATAGGTCGTGTTGGGTGGTTGTCTGGCTATCAGTAGACTGTTGTATATGTATTTATTGCCTGCCATCACAGGTTTTTTCACATCTTGACTATTATTGTTACTATTGCTGCTGTTAGTCGTGTTAGGAACGATACTGACGCTGAATTCGACATTAGTTTTTTTGAGGATGGGTTTCTTCCCTAGGGTACCTTTGTTAACTCGTACCTTCCTGGCAACTTTAAGCCTCGACGTTTCCAGAACGACCTAAGGTGGTATATATAAGTAAAAGAAAAGAAGAGATTTTAAAGATTACTTTTGTATTTCTAAAAGATGATTTAGTTTTATAATTAATGGACTCGATTTATAAACTTACGTTGCTCCATGGGAATGTTATGTGATGGCTGTTTTAAGCATAAAAGCAATCTTGTCCTTTCTAATCCGGAAATCTTTGAATTCTAATTCCGCACTACAAAGAAAATATCTCTTACAAACAGCCAGGCATACATGGAGAGAGAGAGAATGTTTCCAAGTAGAGTAGACCTTCTTTTGAATCCAATCTAAGATTTTATATATATATATATATATATATCCTTTCAAAACTATTATATCAAGTGCGTTTATGCTGCAGAAAATATTTAAGGCCCTGTGACAGTACATAAAGAACAATCACCCCGTCCTTTTTTTTTTTTATTCTTTATTTGAAATGCTGTTAGGGGCCAGACAGAATCTACTCACCCATTCTATTCGTCATTTGAGTCGACATGTCAAAGTGATAGAACCTCTATCAGCCACCGTTCGCTGGACACATACAGACAACAGCAATAAGCGATACCAGGGTCTTCTTGCTCCGTTTTTCGCACCCTCAGCTGAAGAAGCCGCCGAGGACGTGGCAAGACGCCATTACCCTCGTCTCACAGCCTATGATTCAGCCAAATGCACCTCACCACCCACTCGCACACAGATGCTCGTACGCGATTTTATTGATGACTCCTTGTATAATCCCAATTACGGTTACTTTTCAAAACAAGCTGTCATTTTCTCACCTGAACACGATTTTGACTTTAATAACATGCGCGATCACTTGGAATTCATGAATAAGGTAGGCCAACTCTATAAGGACATGGAAGAAGATGCCGATGAGGTTGATGAAGTAGCCAGACAAGTATGGCATACTCCTACTGAACTCTTCAAGGTAAGTCGATCATTGTTATCAAAAAAAGGGAAACGGTGCTGATGAGTGCAATAGCCTTGGTATGGATACGCTGTTGCAAAATATCTGGTCTCAGAATACAAATTGAGCCTCTTCCCACAAAAGGATTTAATCATTTATGAAATGGGTGCTGGTAACGGTACACTAATGATGAACATTTTGGATTATATTCAGCAAAACGAGCCTGAAGTCTATCAAAGAACCCAGTACAATATTATCGAAATTTCCGGCAAGTTAGCCGAACGACAGTCTGAAAGACAAGGTATGCGAGAGCTCAAGGATCAACATACATGTGTAAAGATTATCAACAAGAGTATCTTTGACTGGAAAACACAAGTGCCAGAAGAATGCTTCTTTTTAGGCATGGAAGTCATTGTAAGTGATGTTAATAGGGATAACGACCACATTCTGATTGAACTTAGGATAACTTTGCTCATGATTTGATCCGATATGACCTTGACACTCTAAAACCCTATCAAGCGCTAGTAAGTACAGATGCAAAGGGTAACTATACAGAAGTATATGAGCCAGTGGGGAATGATCCATTAATAAGCAAATATCTCACATTAAGAAGTCAAACGGGATATCGATCACCTGTATTATCAAATCAACTCTGGCTCAAGTTTTTGCAATCCTTACCCTTGGCACCCAACATGACATCTGCTGAATTTATTCCTACCAAGCTCTTCATGCTCCTGGAGACACTAAAAGCTTATTTCCCCAAACACAGACTCGTTCTTTCTGATTTCTCTTCCTTACCTGATACAGTGGAAGGTGTGGATGCGCCTGTTGTACAGACACGATACAGAGGTACAATGGTTCCTTGTTCGACTTATATGGTTCAACCTGGCTGGTTTGATATTTTTTTCCCTACCAATTTTGAATTACTGCGGGATATGTATCTCTTGGTCTGTCGTGGATCAAGTGCTGGTAATGACAAATCAGTCAAGGTCTTGACTCATCGCGAATTCTGTGAACGATATGGTGATATTGAACGCACAACAACAAAAAGCGGAGAAAATCCCATGTTGATGTATTATGAAAATATGAAAATGATTTTAACTTAATACAGAAAGGTTGTACACACTTACACAGAAAGAGAGAGAGACACCTTATTGTTAAATATTCATTGTTTATTAAAATCAGTATTCATTGTATCTTTGGATACATAAAAAACCATTTATCATCTTTCTTAATAAACCATTCAGATATCATCTATTTCAATATCAATGTCTGATTCTTCTTTAGTGTTTGATTTTCTAAACCAATAGTTATTTTTCTTATCCAAGTTCATAAGAATAATTGCTGCTTCAAGCATTTCAACTTGCTGATGTTTTGTCAGCAAGAATTTGGATACAATCTCCCATTGATGCTTTGTGAGATAATTTCGATGCTTATATATCTTGCCACGATCATTACATTTATGTGGATCTTTTCGGTCACGATATCTATCATCTGTTCTAGAACTTGCCATAGAAACTTTAGTGTGATCGATGGTATAATTCTCTGGTAAAGAGTTCGATAATTCCTCTGCTATGCTTGGACTATAATGAGTGGGTAATGAAAATGAAGTAATAAATAACTCTTCATCTCTGCGGGTCAAGTTGGGTGGAGTTTTATCTGTAGTACTGCCCCTGGAGGCCTTTTCAATTTGGTGTTTACAAGTTAAAGAGGACATCCGGCTGTGTTAGGATATAATAAAGCAGAATACAGTAACAATTATTACTTTAATACTCACAACACACACATACACAAAACCAAAATCATAAGCATACTCACCACTCAGACTTAAACAAGACGTAGTTTAGAGAAAAAGAGAGAAAAGATCAGGGTTGTTCAATGTGGCTTATTGCAATATCACAGCTGACCGTACCTATAGATTACGTCAGACATACGAATGTTGTCAGATCATTGTAGTAAAGCTGAAAGGATGATGTATCCACCGAGATTGTTTTTGCAGATCATGTTTATCATTTCTATTTAGGTTACACATCAACTTAATGTTTAAAAAGTAACTGAAAAATAGAGACAGCAGGAATGGTTTGAGAAGGTTCTACTCTAGGTCTTCCCCTACACCTCACTGAACTGCCTTCTTGTTCTTCTTGTTAGGCTCGACATCTACGATGTGAAGACGCAGCTCTTTCTCTGCACGCTTGGCAGATTCGATAGCGCGAATCTGTTGGCAATATTGCAATACAGGAGGAGCATATGTTTGTTTTAGAAGTATTGTTTTCCATTGTTCTATTGAGCGACAAAAAGAAGAGCAATATTAGCAGGCAAGTTCGAATTACATGCCAAATTCTTTCAATAGGTTAAAGGTCAATCTGATAGTGTTATATTTTCATCTGATTATTAAAGAAAGAGAAACAGTCGGCGTTTTTGAAATCCCTCGTAGATCTCGGATAGATCTCATATCGTGCTAGAGACTTAATGCACAAGTCATCTTTACACACTGATCTAACAATTCCTTCCCTTGACCATGAACTCTTTTCATTCTTAAGATCCCCATGCAAACAATGCCAATACAAGCTTGTATTGAATCCAACAATACATTCAGTATCCTCCTTATCATGGCTTTTCATGGCTCCTTCTTTTTTTCCCCCTTGATCGTGCAAGTTTATGTCTCTTTAGACTTTACTGATCATATTCTGCAGGGATAAGCTTAAATTTAATGGTATTATTTATTGAGACAAGTCTATGCATAGAGAGTAATGCATGTTATAAAGTACATCTATAGAATAAGACATTCTAATTTCTCATGTATTTGCCCTTATAATATGTCTCTTCTTGACGCTACGAATCTTGAGTGGCCGCCATTAATCGGCAATTGAATAAGCACTATGTACCTACCTTTAGTGTTCTTTCTCTCTCTTTTTTTTTAGTATTGACAACAGGAAAAGAAGCTGATGTTTCAAGTAATTCGATAAGTATGGACAGTGAATATAAACCAGTCGAGAGCTCTAATGAGGACTATACAAATACGGAAGATCATAATCCGTTACTTTCAAATCAAGATGTTCAATTCCTTGTTTCTGACTATGAATTACAACAAGCAACTGCAAGCACTTTCGGTTGTGTGATCAATTTGGCAAATACTATCTTAGGAACAGGCATGCTTGCAATGGTAAATAAACTTTATTATTGGAAGAATAGACATTAACAATCAATAGCCATCTGCAATGGCATCTGTAGGTATCATCCCTGGTATTTTTCTTATTTTCTTATCAGCACTAGCCTCCGGTACTGGACTATACTTCTTATCAAGATGTGCAGCACGTACAGAAGGCAGACATGCATCATTCTTTGCTGTATCCAAATTAACATGGCCGAAAGTATCTGTATTATTTGATTTGGCTATTGCCATCAAATGTTTTGGAGTTGCAGTGTCTTATCTGATCATTATTGGAGACCTTATGCCACAGGTAAAGATAAAAAGAGAAAGAGATCGTACATTGATGTTTAATCTGTCAAAAGGTCATGGCATCTTTGACAAATCATGCAGATCTGGCATATTTTTTAACAGACCGACGATTCTGGATTACTTTATTTATGCTTGTGCTCGTGTTGCCACTTAGTTTTCTAAGAAAGCTCGATTCATTAAAGTACACTAGTCTAGTGGCGCTTTTTGCGGTTGTTTACCTTTGCGTCATTGTGATCTATCATTATTTCTCTCCCAACTATCCTCCACCATCATCCGATGATATCGAATACTTTAATCTGTCCTCGAGTATCTTTGGTCATTTGCCAGTATTTGTGTTTTCATTTACTTGTCATCAAAATGTAAGCCACTTATTTCATAAACAAAGTCATGTCTAATATATCTTTCTAGATATTCTCAGTTTACAATGAGCTTCGAGACAATAGTCGTGAATCGGTCACGAGGGTGATCAGTCTATCGATTGGCATCTCTGCTTGTGTGTATGAAGGCATTGCTATCCTTGGTTACCTTAGCTTTGGTAGAAATGTGCTCAGCAATATTATCATGGAATGTAGGTCGCGATTTTATACTAATATGATAGACTAAGATTATATCGTAGACCCATCAAGCTATTTTGTGGCAGGTGGACGTCTTGCAATGGTCATACTTGTCGTCTTTAGTTACCCACTTCAAGCTCATCCCTGTAGGGCTTCACTTGACAAAGTCTTTTTATTTGGTCATGACAAAAGGCGTCCTTCTGCTTTTAAATATTTTACCATGACGACAGCTATTTTGATCTTGAGCTATATTACTGCTATTACAGTAACAAAGTTGGATGTGGTAAGTGAGACTCTAAACAAACGATAGATAGAGATTTGATGCGATGTGCATGCATTTAATTAACATCATAAAGGTATTGTCCTTTGTTGGATCCACTGGCTCGACCACTATCTCATTCATCTTGCCTGGTTTATTCTATTATAAAATACATGAAAATGATCCTTGGAAACCAGGAAAGATTCTAGCAGTTGCACTAAGTATCTATGGTATCTTCATCATGGTTTTTTGTTTGACATTTAATATAATGCGTATAACATCTCATTAAAAAAAAAAAGAAAACACAACTTAGTTGTATATTTATAGAAAACAAATAAAATCAAACTAGACCTACATTGCCTTATATATATCAAACGCCTCCCCTTTATTAACTAATATGCAGTTAATAAGTTTAGCAAAAGTGATCGTCTGTCGTGGCAATAAACGTGGGATCAGACCTCGCCACAATAGATAAAATAACAAAAACGAAACTTGTTTTTAAAAAGAATAAAATGAGTGGTCTGTGTGTTGATGGTTTCAATGTTTATAAACTCATTGTTGAATGTTTACAAAATTGACATTAATTACTTCTCAAAGAAATTTGCTACATTATAAACATATAAAAACATTAAACTATTTAGAATAAATCAGCATCTCTTTATATAAAAAGACCTTTTTTTTTTTTTTCCTTCTTGACCTTTTATCTCTCTCTCTTTCCTTCTTCTCTTTCTCCTTAGACGAACTTAAAATCACCAATGGGAAGTCTAAACAATAAAACTAGAATTACTCTACCCCCTATTCGCTGCTATGACCCCCTTAGCCAACTTGGATGCAATGGTATTGACAGTAAAGACATTGAAGTTCCTGTACCCCTCGACCAGACCAGCTGGATGCGTCTACCTAGCAGTCGATGTGATGAAACCATTCAGCCGATTTCTCAACTCATTCATCCTCTGGAATCTCCTCAAGCTCATGTTGGTACCAGTAGCTATCCTAGCCCCGTTGAATTGGTCAGTCAGATGAATGTTCTGTCTACGTCAGATAGCCCTACCGATACTCAAGGAAAACGAAGAAGATCATTTCATACGTTTGAACAACGAGATCCGATGTTTTCCAAAAATCACAGAAACTCTGTATACTTAGGCTATAATGATAAAGGATACTCAGGAACTATCCCACCTCTGTTTGTGCCTGTCAATCGCTCGTTCAGCCGACGTTGTACCTATATGCGACCCAATCTGTGTTTACCTGTGAGTCCGAAGCCAATGGTAGCCAGACACTATAGATTTAGCTATGGTAAACGACCCAACTACTATCCCGAGCCGGTGGACCAGTCAGACTACTTGATTAGACCTTATCACGATCCATCTGAAACAAATTTCCAGACGGAGCAGTCAAGAGATGGCAGCAAATGTGATGAAACAAAAGAAACTGGCAAAAAGAAGCCACGATGGTCAGCAGAAGACAGGATGCAGTTGATCATGGCTATTATTGAAGACAAGAAACTAGACGATATGACAACTTTCAACTGGGAGCAGGTTGCAACTCGAGTTAACCGAGGAAGTAAAGCGTGTAAAGATCAATGGCGAAGAGAAATTTTACCAGCACTTCAGAAGCTTCCATATATGAACCAACTCTCTTCAAGGGAAATAGTCAATGACAACCCTTTGTAATTCTCTCTTTCTTTTTCTTTTGTATATGTATATGTTTTTATGCTTGATTATTTTTATGTTGGATATATAAATGGGGTTGACGCTATGGTTCATTTTATAGAATAAAAATTTACGCTCATACACAAATGATATTGTCTGTCTCTTCAATTCAATCCAGGGTACTTTATTTTCCCTTTTTACACAATAGTAATAAACATTTTTATCTTTTTGAGAGGATTATTGCAAACAAAGAGACAGAGAAAACGGATGGGGGAGGACTAGAACAGCCAAGCTCATATAATTGTAATGATGAGGATACTTTACAAACTTGTAATCTACAAACCATTCTTTTGTCAACGTATTGGTGTATATCTTTTAAATAACTGATAATAAAGACATTGCTTTTCCAAAGTAGTCGTAACTTGAATTTCTAAACCCCTTTTCACATCAATAGAATTCATTTAATTTTGTTCCTTGGCTAAAATACTTGTACGTTGACATAGTGTATTTAATAAAAAGTTTTATCAACCAAAAGACCTGCATTTAATGAAGTTCTGACTCCACCACGATTCAAAGCCAGATTAAAGCGTAGTTGAAAGAGGGAGACCCAATAATAGACAAATAAGCTTTTGTTTTTTATTTTCTACAAAATGACTGAAGGCGCTTCGAACAGTAAGGAAGAAGAGACTAATGAATACATAAGCAAACTTACTCATCTACAAAAGATGAGCTTTTACTGGCATTATGCCGAGGTGATCAAGAAGAAGAATTAGAAAAGTTACTCGAAGAGGGTAATTGTAATGTGAACTTTACAGATGGTGCAGGCAACACAGGCGCACATTATGCGTAAGTTTTAGCTGTTTGAACCATTTAGAAAACTATTACTGATAAAACTGAAGAACAGCGCCAAGACAGGTTCTATTGGTTGTCTTGAAGTACTTGTTAACCATGAAGAAATCGACTTGGATATCCAAAATACCCTCGAAGGCAATACCCCTTTACATTTGGCTGTACAATATGCCAATGAAGATCATGACATGGCTGTTGCTATGGTAGAGCTATTGTTGGCTGCTGGAGCAGACCCAAAGTAAGAGAAATATACAGTTGCTTTTTGTTCATATTGACGTTATCTTTGGTAGGATTGCCAACCGTAATAAATTGACGCCTATTCAATTGGTTCATCCAAAGCACGTTGATATCAAAAAAACATTAGAAGAAGCCAGTGCGGCATATGACTTGGTAGGTTATCAAGAAATAATGAGAAAGTTATGATTTATTTACTCACTTTTTTAAAAGGATGATGCTGATATTGCTCATGAAGATGATGACGACTATGGAGATGGTTCAGCCTCTGAAGAAGAAGAATAAAGTGTAAAAAGAACCATAGTTTATTGATAAACAATGCTTTTTATGCAACATAGCTGTACATATCCTTTTGATTTTCAACACGTTCAATGTACTCTTTTTCCAAAAGCACATCAATGCACTTTTTGATAGCTGGAACCTTGGGCTTGAATCTTGATTGTAGCTGAGTAATAACTTCATCTATAAGAGCAACGTGTTTCATGACTTTACGAGTCTTCATGATTCTGACAATTGCTGCTTGCATAACAAACATTCTGTCTTCTTCAATTGTCTTGTGTGTTTCATCTGTTTCCGCCTTTTGCTCCATCTTCATTTGCATATTAAGATTGATACGAACCTTTTTACTTTTGAAGTCTTGATTAAGAGCATAGGAGCTTCCTTTCTCGCCTACATTTTCACCATCACGAAGCAACAATACTTTAGCTTTGACCAGAATACCCAAAGCAGGGTTTAATGCTTCAGGTGACAGGGCAGTACTCTTTTGCAACTCTTCATAGGTGTAGCTATCAGCATTATTGTACTGAAGTAAGATGCCCATTTGGTAAGCAGATACCATAAAGGTATATCCCACTTTGCTTGACTTAAGATAATGCGTCTTAAGTTCTGCTTTGGATAACTGGAATAACCAGTTTAGCTTACGTCCTACGTGCTTTGTTTGGTAAAATTGTTGGAATTTATCGTACATTTCTACAACATCGTCTGGAAGATTAAATGAAGTTGAAGGAGCTGAAAGAGGCCAGGAACCAGCACTGAGTACGAGGATATTGAAATCAGCTATACAATAAAGTTAATGGATGCGAATACAAAATAGATGGTACAATTACCACTGGATGCAGCATCAGAGGACTTTTGGACGACATTTTTAAACTCTTCGTTTAGTTCCTTACTGAGTGACATGTCTGTCAACATACGCTGAAGTTTGGATGTATATTCAAATCCACAGGCTTCTTTCAATTTGGATATCATAGAGCCTTCAGAGTCATCAGAAGCAGATGTACCATTAACCAATCGCTTGGCCAACATCTTGGAGTAGAATTTTTGAAAGACGTCCTTGTCTTCCACATACTTGAACACAGTCATCACATTGTTCAGCACATCTTCTAATTCTTCCTCCTCTGGATTCTTGGCGCTCTTTTTTAACAATTGATCACAGAAGCGAGCCAGTAATTCAGGAGATTTATTAGAAGCGCCCTTGCAGACCTTGTTGCGGTTAACAAACTCACCACAAGCCTTGTCCAAAGCAGCAACAAATCCAGCTTCACCACAGAATGCAGTCTGAGTGAGATCATTGTATTTCTTGTGGACCTCCAAAAGGGTATCGACATAACTTTTGGGATCAAAGCCTTCTGATTCATTTTGGGCGATTCTTTCGATAGCAGAAAGACCTGCCTTCTTGACATGAGCTTCAAAGCTGCTTCTTAGAGGGTTCAATCCATCTGGAATACGAGCAAGAAGTGCATACATGCGATGAAGATCCTCTTGCTTATCTGCATCAAGTAAACCTTGGAAGCCTTCCCAGATGGTTTCCTCTTGATTCTTTACCAAAACAGTTTCACAAATGGGAATAAGAGTCTTGTGAGTAGAAGGATGAAGGTACATCTGTACTCTGTTTTCTTCTTCGTTCAATCTCACTTCTGCTTTCTTCATGTAGTCAGGAATACTATTTTCGGTAATGAACTTTTCAGATTCTGTCTTGTAATAAACTTCAGTTGCTTCAAGGAATTGTTTTTCGAAGTAGTTTCTATAGACATCCAAGTTTGATTTTGAAGAATCATTGTGATCGAGCCCAAGTGATACTAATAAAAAGAATGAGTTAACGTTGCCAGTACAACAAGGTTGTCCTTACCAAATGAGTCAATGACATTCTTTATTAGACCTGTTTCGATAATTTCACCGTTTCTTTGCTTTTCGATCAACTTCAATACGGCTGATATGACATTATAATGAACATATTCAAACATATACTTCTTCCAACTGTAGAGAGTTAAGCTGAACACATCATAAATATCACTTTTTCTATCTTCATCAATTTCACGCTTCACCCAATAACGGTTTAAATACATAAAGATATTGTTCACGACACGAGCAGCAGCCGTATACCTTGTCCACTGTCTGGTATAAAACTGTAATAAAGATTCATCCATATACTGTTCAGATTCTTGTCTAATCTTTTCCAAATGTTTTTGTAAGTATTCGCAAAGTTTGGTATACACTTCTCCGCCAATCAAAGGAGGTGTGGGCGCAGCTAATTAAATGGTAAGAACACACACGCGTACGTGTATACTTGTTTTATTCTTACGTCGTCTCGACAATGGAGCATTAGGAGCATTATAATGAGCAGCAGTGTGTAGATTGGTCTCGCTTCTTGCACAGTAATTATGAACAGCACTATAACAAATAATAGGAGCATTAGCACGTCATCACTCCCATCCCGATAAAATGTTACTCAATTACCTGTAAAGAATAGAATAACGAGCACGAGTCAATCCTTGTTCAAAGCGACACATGACTTGATCAAGACCCTCTTCTAAGAATGCCCATGTTGCTTCAAAGTCATTATGAGGGGGTAATTGCATAGAATTCATTGTGTTGTTTCTTTAAAATGTTTTTTTTTTAGTCAGATTGTGAAGTCTATTTGCCTTTTTTGTTTACAAGCTATAATGTATGAAATAGATCTAGTCTTTAAGAAATCAAAGATTGAAGATTAATAGAAAACAGAGAAAAGGAAAGAAAGAAAGGAGAGAGAAATATAGAAAAGAGAAAGTATGCTTACAAAAGCATCATTTCAAATTCCGAATGTCGTGTTCGCTTTACAGCAAGTAAAATCAAAATAAGCGGTCAGCACCCTTTATGAGAAAAAGAAAAAGAGAGAAATAGGCTACGATATATCCAACATAATATCATGATAAGGTATCATAGCAACAAAACAAAATATCTTGGTCAGAACGATTATTTTCAAGTACTTGTTCTAGTTGAAATAAAAGGAAAGAAAGAATACCATTTTGTATCAAACAAGTTTGCATAAAATACAAATGAAAAGAACTTTGGATCATCTTTTAAAAAAGAAAGCAATAACTGTAAGAAATATCAAAATGCTCTACACGAGGTCTTAATCCCTACAATAGATGTTGCTGTTTACTACAAAATTACTTTATAAGCTCATGTTTAATAGAGTGAGTAACACTAGATTAACTAAACTCTATAAACCGAATTCAAATTTGGAGTGCTTCATTTATTATTGTGAGAAATACTTATCCTTCATGAATCATGTCAATTAAGAGAATGGTAGCTTTGTAATTATATATTTCAATCCATGTAAATCAGATGCTCCAAAACGTCCACCGACCTAGCAACATTCAAATTTCTTTTCCGTTCTTCTTAATAAAGAATCTGAATTGCGTGCTATCGACTTAACTGACATTTTACAATCTAGAGCTAAACACAGCAGAGCCGCAGGGCTTTAGTAATGTGAAGAAAGAGCGATATTTCAGCCCCTGTTTCGTTGATTCTGGCTGTATAGACGTTTTACATTATATCACAGAAGTAATGATATCAGATATCTATTGACGGCTGAGCATTACGATATGCTTCGTAACGCGAATCGATAACACAAAGAGATAGATCACAAAAGGAGATATAATATAGAAGCAACTGAGGCTAACTGCAAAGGGTATCTCAACTTCAAACTACAAAGTACACGTTCAGTACCTTATGCGAAATACGGTTAGTTTGTTCAATCTTTACAGATCAGTAACTGCGAGAATAAAATGGAAAAATTATATGAGGTCACAGCACGCTTCGGAAAGAAGTGTCTACAATTTGATAAACGCTTCTTCGTAGTATAATAATAAAAAAAAAAAAAAAAAAAAAAAAAAAAAAAGAAAAGAAAAGAAAACTGCTGTAACAGAAAAACCCCAGGCGCGCCAAAATCGGATATTACATCGTCTTCGCATAACTTTGAAGAACGAATATAAACATGTATTCGTTTAATTCAATGCAGAAAGGCGCCTTTGGTGATATTCAGCAAGCTCTAAAAAGACAGAGATCAAGCAAAATTCTGGTGACTGGGACAATGTGTGCCTGATAAGATATATAATCAATTGAAACAAAGAGGAAGATCGAGACAAGTCCTATTCCTTGATATTAATGAGTTTAGCGCCTTTATATTAAGTAATTATTATAATACTATGCCAATTAACTAATTTTAAGCAAAACGTCTGACTCATTGATCCCTGTGTTTGATCATAGCATCAACGTAAATTACGAAACCTGGCAGCAGGCGTGGTTTATCGCTCTTGGTTGTGGTGAAGCTAAAGTTGTATGGACACCTAAAAAAGCTGAAAGCAAGCTTTCTAACCTTTGCTGCTTGTGTTGAGCAATCAGTTACGATGCTGCATGCTAAACATTCTTTATCCTTTACACTTGGTGGAAATCATCTCATATTCCGTTATATAACCTGCATATATTTTCTCGCATAGCATTTTTTGCTTTCCTTTTCTTCTTTTAATTTCTTATTGATGAGTGTAGGCATTACTTACTCAGTACACTAGCTGGACGAGCATATATGCAGACGAACGCGGGCTGCCACTGTACTGACTACCTTATACTTGTTATAAGAGAAATTCTTTGCCGGTGTGTTGAGTGCTCTGTAGTTTATCCTCGAGACTTTATGCTTCTGAATGATACTGCATTAGAACTTAATGGCGCTGGTCATCAGAAGTGGAAAACTTACCTTCAGTGTACCAACTGACATTTTGTTTACTTGTTTAAATCGTGTACTGACTTTTTTCAAGATAGGAAGAGCTTTGGATGACACCTGGGTTTTTTAGTGTTAGCTTTTATAAACAAACACTCAGTGATGCTATTTTGTATTTTTATTAATGTTTTGTCTACTTTTGAACATTTTATTCCATGCAACCGTTAGTTTATGCATATTGGCTGAGTATTTACTATAAAATCAACAAAATGGTGTGATTGGAACTTTTGGTAGCATTCCAAAAGTTGACTTTTCCTCTTTAGTAGTCACATAAGGAGCCTATGTCTCCCTTAAAAACATAAGCATATAGTATTTGATTTACCATATTATGATTATTTCCTATTTTGTAAATCATCATCTTTTATACTACTTGCGTGTTTAACTATATATCAAGTAAATGGAAGAATCATGGGCTCATGAAGATGAAGAGCCCACGAAAATAAGACATAGCTTTAGTATCTCACAATTTTTTACGATCGCGTCACGAAACAAACTATAAATAAAATATTGAAACACTGGTAAGCAAGAAGCTTTTTCTTATCAGCTCAATTTTTTGAAAAGGCCTGCAGGGAGCGAGGAGACGCAGTATAATAAGGAACTTGAATCCCCGGAAGAGTGGGCAGAGAAACTAAGTGTGCAAGAGAAGCAGATTACTTATTTCATTTGAAAGAATAAAATTAGCCACTTTAAGCTGATCGTAATTCTGATGTGTTTCATGATTTAGTCTCTGTTTATCTAATACAAACCTATATTTTTATTGTGCTTACAAGTAAAGCATCCTTGGCAATATTAACTATAGGGGTCGACAGATTAAAGGCTACACTTGATCAGCTAAATGACAACATTTGTTATTACAGTAATAAACTGATCTGTCATCACATTGTTCCCCTCTAAGGCTTATTGAGCTATTCCTCTACTATTTTATTTCCATAGAAGGCTTATTCTTATCCATTTGATACATTCACGTATTCATATTCTTTTTCATTGTTATAAGATCCTTTCTTATCGCTCAATAAACCACATATTTGATAATACCTCTCATCCATGGTACGCGAGTATCCATGACAATTAGGGGCTACATGAAGTACGTCGTGTACCTTAGTAATCCATTCTGTTTCGAGCGCCATTTGAAAAAGTTTATGCAGACCTAGAAGATCCATTGCTTTGCTATAAAAATGAACGTATAGCCATTAAATCTATCACAATCATAATCGTCACTAATACTTACCCACATTTCACAAGTAGAAGGGAAAAGGATAAGTATATAGCAGCATGGAATAGAGGGTAAACATTTTATCTTTTACCTTTTTTCATGTGCACTAAAAAAAAAACATTACACGCTCTTGTGTTTTTCTAAGCCAGCAACTCAATTGCTTACGTTTCATGCTTGATAAACAGGTTTTGATATATGAAGATTAGTGTGATTTGATTTTGGTTCTTTTTAGCAAAAAGACGTAGTGGTTAACCAAATAGATCAATTATGATTGACTGATTGACAAATAACAACTGTAATGGAATCAATTGCGTGTGTTCCACAGAATCGGCAGTCTGGTGCTCTTTGAGAAAAGCCTTATTTTTTTATTTACTATCAGCTGCATTTTTAAAGGCACCGCCTCCTCTCAACCTTTTTCCTTGTACACTTAATTCTCACCTTACTTTTATATATTCATTCTTAAAGAAAACGATCAGAAAAATAGCAAAACACATATTGGCAATAAGAAAAGTGAAGTGAGCATAATGAAAAAAATATATGTGTGTGAGAGGTCAATTTTATGTAAGCAAGTGGCTTTACAAAAGAAAAGGTGCCGTGAAAAAATGTGCGAAAAAAGGGGGATACGCTTGGATGCTCGGATGTGTTCTAATATGGAAGAGATAGAGAATGAGTTATTTATTTATACATACATTAATGGAGAAATGAGGAATGAGTCATTTGCTTTCAGCCTAAATAACATGACTCACGTAAACAAAAAAAAAAAAAGTATAAAAGAGTTCATCATGTTTGTCCTCTTTTTTTCATTCTTCATCTCTTCTAAAAATCCTCTTATGGTTCTATTATTTACTATGTTGAAAAAAGTACAATATCACTTGGAGGTGATCTCAAAGTACATATAACTAATGCCATTGTTTAGAAAATACACTTTTGCTGACTCTATTTTATGGTCTCTGATGCAACTTTATCATAATGGTCCCTCACGGGGTAAAGCCTTCAAAAAATCTTTGCTACTCGCTAATGCTCACAATGTCTATCATGCTTGCTACTTCTGATCAATACACTCAAACGCTCATATACTCAAATACTTACAAATACTTATTAAATCTCTGGAAAGACCAGTGAACGCCTACAAGTGATCATCAGTGTCTGAAAATGCTAGTGAATGCTTGTCCCATGCTTATCAACGTCGGAAAGTCCCTAAAGAATTTTGCTCACGTCTATCAATATCTGCTGCTAATGAATACTGCTCTGGAGTAACTACATACTCAATCTACTTTGCCACTATCTGACAAACTCTATCAAGCTCTGCTACAAGTCGCTGTTTCTCTACACTGGATCACTCCGAGGTGTTCCTATTGCTATGGCTCTGCCTCTACAGCTGATGAATGACCCGTAAAATATCCCTTGCTGCTAAGCTCGATGATTGCGATGCTCCAAAGGTTCAATATTCCGATGTATCCACGATCATTACCTCTTTCGAAACGCTTCGTCCTAGGTATTTAGAAGTGCACTCTTTGCACGTTGAAGCACCTCTTTCATCGAATTTACCGTGGTATGATTTTGAGATTGATTTTTAAGCCTTGAGCCTTTAGTACTTTTTATTCGTGGAGGGTTTACAGCTTGTAGTCTTCTGGCATGCAGTCTATGGTTCTAGTCATCTTGGGTTTGAAAGCTAGCGATAACGTGGCCTTCTGGGTTTATGGAAAGAAAAAAAGAAGAAATTTCTATTTGCTCTCTAAACTTGGCTATCAAAAGAAGAATCTCTACTTATTCAAAACTCTCTTTGAAACTTAAACTATTGCTTGCTTAAATAAAAACTTCATTTTTTTTACCTCCTCGCTTTGACTTTTTGTTCTTTAATATGACTACTTTCATAGTCACTTGACGTACTTTTCTTTGTCTCTAATAATCCAAAGAAACATCAGCTTAATGATTTCTTCATAGACATCATTATGAAGCGGATTGGAGACTACTTTAATTCATTAGTACAGACTGTTGATGATTATATCCTATAGGCAGCTTCCATTAGCGACATGTCCTGTATTGATATTAACATGCTACGCAATTTTACAAGAGTTCTTCTAGACTCAGATTCAATTTAATGCCATCAAATCTTTTCATTGACAAAACTTTTTTTTTTTCGCATATTCATTATAAATGAGCATGCCTCTGTATCTTCACTACCAAAAGATGGCTAGACTTTCTTCTAAATCTTTTTATATTTGACTCACCTTCGTAAGAAGTTGAAAAGTGGTCCTGAGGTCTGTCTATATGCTGTTGCGAAGAATGTATCTGCTAGGGAAGAGCTCTAATCTCGTTAGGTACAGGTTGTTGTTGGCTGTCTTCGTTATTGTGTGATACGTGTTGGAGTTTTGGCAATAAACTATTCTCTGGCTGCAGGGTCCTTTTGCGATCTAGAAATTTTCAGTTAAAGCCTGTTCTGGTCAATAAGATGGGACTGAAGCCGGGTAAAATGGAGTTGTGTAGGGGCTCTACAGTACAGTTGAGGAAACCAAGACTTTAAAGATTGGTCAGCTTTTTAAAAGTTGGCCACCAATAAAAACTATATCTGACTACATTTTCAGAAACGTATTCTCGTGAATTGACACTTGAACATAAAAAGCTAGTGTAACAATCGTGTATAATGACTCGTTAATACAACTTGTCGCGATGTAAGAGTATAAAAAGCTAAGTCCTTGGCTTTATTAATTAACTTTTTATTGGAAGAGTATAAGTGGAGTATTTAATCATGCCTAACAAAAAAATTAAAGGTTCAGGGGCAATTAACATTTAGAGTGGCATGTTCTACACCGCAACTTGACCAGAGTTTTAATGAGAAACTGTGTGTGCTTTCCATGATGGACTTTATTTTTGCCTTTGCAGAGTCTACATACACATGCATTTTGAATTACCGCTATCGAGAAACGTACTGAGATTTTTTTAATCTATGCAATAACCTGCAAGATATACATAATCCTTTACCTTTTGCCATTTGTCTGTCAACAATGGTTTAATGATAGAATAGACCATAAGCCCAGATGTAATCAAAAGAAAACTACGTACGATCATTTCGTCCTTGAATGAATCACGAGCTAAGATATTGAAATGAACAAATCGTCTATGGTCGTATTAATTATCTTACCAAAACACTCTGTCTTAAAGTCATTACTCGGACAAGTAGCATCAGCAATACCATCACAAAGACCGTCTTGCATATTGTCCAGACAATATTGTTTAGTACAAACAGAACAGGGCCTTAAGTCAGTCATTGGAAGTTCAAATATAGTTGAATTAGATCCACAAAAACATTTACAAAACATTTGTATTTCTGCTCCGTAACATGTTGTCATTAAGAGAGTCCATAAGAATGCTGTTAACAGTGACATGAGAAGAAGTGAGAGGGAAAAGAAAGAAAGACAGAGAGTTTAAATCACCGAATAAATAACTTCAAATATTGTGTTCCCCTTTTACATACTTTTTTCAGTCTTTTTTCCTTTTCTTTCTCTTTTTCTTTGTTTATTGTTTTAATGTCGTTTAATAGAGCAAGTGAGGATGCTATACAGTTTATTAAAGCTGGCGACAACTTAGTCTATATGAATACGACTACTAGTAATGATAGTAATAAAGGTTTGATATAAATTGATATAATGAACTGCCTCACTCACGTACAACCTTGATAGATTATAGGGAAAGAGAATCCTTTACGACAAGCAGTAGCTCTTCCTCAACAGATGATGCTTACTTTGAGAAACCAATACGAAGCAACCTTTCAGAAGATTCCATGATAATGACTCCACCTACACCCAGTTTCCAAAAGGAACAGGAGGAATCATCAACTCCTGTTGATCCCTTAAATAACAAAACTTTATCACATAAACATAGTCATGTCTCAATATCGGACATGAACGATATACCACTAGAAGATAACCACGAAGAATATAATCCACTTAAAATGATCACTACTGCACTCGTCAATGGCGATAGACCAGAGATACCAGCAAGCACACCTTTGCCTACACCCCTACCTGCGAGAAAAAGCGTTGATAACGAATCAACTACATCCACAACACGATCCATCTTCACCTCATTTTGGTCTCCATTTCGATCGTCATCATCTACTACTTCAACACCTGCATCATCCAGACGGCCCTCTAAACAGCACTCTGCCCCTTTACCAGCATCAAGTAGACCATCTGCTCAATTTGCTGCTCGGCATCAAAGGCTCTCAAGAGCGACCAGTGTGATTTCGCCACTACCAGGATTTCAAGAAGCTCTATTGGCTCAGATGGAACAGCTTAATTTGGAGAATCACAATGATCCAAAATTAAAAGTGATGAAGAGCTTGAAACGACAGTCGATCAGACACAGTCTGATTGCTCAAAATAAAGGACAGGATGACTATGACTGGGGTAACATTTCTTATGAATACTATATTACAATGGGTTGACGCATCATCAATAGATTTCTGGGCAGGATTGATGTGTGATTACGATAATATAAACAAAATCAGTAAAGAATTGATTCAACATGTTCGACATGGCATTCCACCTTCCATACGTGGAATGGTGTGGCAACTCATATCAAGGGCAAAAAATGAAGAACTTGTTGAAATGTACATCAATTTACTAAAGTTACAAAGCCCATATGACAAGATGATCCAGCGCGATCTCGCAAGGACATTTCCTGGTCACACTTACTTTAAAGAAAGTGATGGACAAGGTCAGGAAGGCCTTTATAACGTTGTGAGAGCCTACAGCTTGTATGATCGAGATGTGGGTTACTGCCAAGGCTTGGCCTTTATCGTAGGGCCCATGTTATTGAATGTAAGTTTTGCTCTAGGATCAAATCTGTCTCTAATTTTTTTTACTTTCTAACTAGATGCCAGATGAAGACGCCTTTTGCCTGTTGGTTAAGTTAATGAATAAGTATGGCCTCAGAGGACATTTTACACCAGAAATGGATGGATTACAGCTGCGACTCTATCAATTTGACGCACTTGTTCAAGAATACTTGCCACACGTTGCTAGACATCTGAAACAACAAGGCATTAATTCTACCATGTATGCCTCTCAGTGGTTCATGACATTATTCGCTTATAAATTTCCGCTCAATTTAGTCTTTCGTATTTACGATGTCATATTTACCGAAGGCATCAGTTCCATATTTAAATTTGCCATAGCCCTACTAAAGCGAAACCAAACACATATACTGGGGCTTGAATTTGAACATTTGCTAGATTTCTTAAAGAATGGCCTATTTCAAGAATACAAGGTAAACCTCACTTTTTCTAAATTGAAGACAGTGACTCATGTGTGTATACATGTTAGGATGATGATCGACGTTTTGTTAGCGATGCCTGTGAATTGGACATTCCATTGAAAAAACTAATCTTGTTTGAAAAAGAACACAAAGTTCAGATTCAGAAAGAGACAGCAGAGGCCAACATGATTGATGAATTACAAAAGACAAACATGGAATTGAAAAGACAGCTAGATGCACTCAAAACAAATATGGATACGTTGAAACAAGAGCATCAGGACGTTCATGGGCAGTTTAGACAATCATTAGATGAATTGAATGCACTAAAAGAGGAAGGAATGACGTTAAAGACAGTGGTTCAATCATTGGAGCAAGCGATATCAACATTACCAGAGAAAATTGAAACTAAAAGTAAAGATGAGTTTGAAACCCTTTGCACAGAAAATGCGACTTTAATAAGCAAGAATTCAACATTGGAAGATGAATTACAAAAGGCAGAAATAACTCTTATAGATTTTAAAATGAAATACGCCCAAAGTGAAAATGAAAGAGAGTCACTACATAAAAGGCTTTATGAAGTAAAAAAGATGATGAACTTTTAAGAACATTTTATGCAGCAATAGTTACACGGGTATCTTGTCTGTGCTTCTCACCAAATTGTCCCGGTGAATGACGCACTCTGAATCAACATAGCCAAGAATATTGACTATTTCGCTGCTATGACATCGTTTGATCCTTGTAATTTCTGTACTTGAATAATTGACAAGCCCTTTTCCAATAAAAAAGTCTTCCTGTTCACCTTGTTTCTCTTTTCGACAGACGATATTGACTGCTTGTTGTGCAACAAACTGTCCTTCTACTTTGACAATGCCCGCTGCAAATAAACTTGACTTTAATTTAGGCTGTAACATGGCATTTGCTGCCCCTTCGTCTACATAGATAGTGCCTGCTGTATGTAAGCCATATTGAATCCACCATTTTCTATCCAGGAGTGGATTATTCTTGGCAATGAATCGGGTATGAAGAGGGGTTTCAGTTTTATTGTCATTCTTATCCGCATCAATGATCTTCAAAACATTATGAGACTTGGAACCATTCGTAATAATCGTCGTCACTCCAGCTGCTGTAGCAAGTTCAGCTGCAACCAGCTTGGTAGCCATGCCTCCTGTACCAAGATTAGATCCCATGGAGGCTACCGAAACTTGATCTTTTAAATTCACCATATCATCACATAACAGCACTGGTTTGGCATCAGGATTTGTACGAGGATTGTCGGTGTACAAACAATCAACATCGGTTAATAAAAATAGATAATCCGCCTTGACCATGCCAGCCATCACGGCAGACAGTGTATCGTTATCACCGAATCGAATACCCTGGCATCAAGATAACTGAGTTTTTCAAGCTCTCTCTATACGAGGAAGCAATGTTGACCTACCTGTGTAGATATAGAGTCATTTTCATTGACGATAGGTACTACTGACATGCCTAGCAATTCTTCTATACAATTGACAGCGTTCAAGTATTGTGATCTCTAGAGATAAACTATCAATTGAGTGTATTATTAATACGTTTATAGGCATACGTCAGCGAGATCGTTCTTGGTCAATAAGATTTGTGCAACAGGTTGTCCAAATTGGCCAAATAGATCATCATATAACGCCATGAGTCGTCCTTGACCTACAGCAGCCACAGCCTAAACAAATTGGATTATGATGAACTGTCTCTTGAATGTATCTTACCTGTCTTGCAGCCAAACTTGAAGGTTTCTCTGGCATGTTTAATCTTCGTAAACCTGTGCCAACCGCAGCACTCGTCACGAGCACGACGCGGTGGCCTAGAGAACGTAGGCTGAGAACGGTTTCAACTATGGCAGATAGGTTTGACAGGAGTGGAAAGTGTGTCACTTCGTTACAGATAGACGAAGTACCTACTTTGATGACGATAGTGAGTTGCTTACTATTGCTTTGTTGATTTTTATGAAGCATAAAAGGATATAAAGAGAAAAAAAGGTACCAAGAAAAAGAAAAAAAAAAAGTAACCTTTGAAAAAAAATGACTCATTTCGAGCCAATATGCAGATTCACACTTGGAGAGAAATATAATTTATCCGACAGCGCAAATTTAAGCCACTCACGATGGATCATCCTGTGGACAAGGGTTTTGGTGATAAGCTGTAAAAGGTAAAAATATCATGCAAAACATATGAAACCATAAACCCTTTGTTAGGTTATAAAAGGGAGTTGAATTGAATGGAAAGCTAAGTTATCACTTTTCTTTCTCTTTTCCAAACATGAACGCCAAGTTTTTAATTGTTCTCGTCGCTCTCCTCGGTCTTGCCTATGCTCAGAGTAAGTACAAGAAACTAGCAAAAATGAATTGATGCTAATTGACCTTTTATCGTTTAGCCAGCGAAATGACCTCTGTTACTAGGTAGGCTTCATATATAGTTGAAATATATATTTTCTGACATTTGTTTAGCCTCAGCCCTTCTGTAAGCAGTAGTGCTTCAAGCAGCGCTGCAAGCAGTGCCTCTTCGCACGTTATCTCTTCTGTCGCTTCTTCAATCTCCTCTAGAGTCTCTAGTGTTCAATCATCTGCAAGCAGCGTTCTCAGCTCTTTGACCAGCAGCGCTTCTGCTACTAGCTCCAATGGAGGTTCTACAAGCGCCGGTGTTCCCTTGATTGCTGACAATGTATTTCCTCAAGCTGCTTTCTTGGCTGCCTTGTTTGCTGCTTCTTTTGTAGCTTTACTCGCTTAAAAGGCATTTACATTTGTTACGGTTCTCATTATTAATAAAGCATAATTCATTCATATAACGCTTAATACATATTTTTTTATATATCTATGTTCTCTCTTGTTTCAACAATAACAATTCCATCTTACGAGAAAAAAAAGGGCCAATGATGGCAGTGGATTATTTCATGTAATGTGGCTTTACCTAGTAAAACCAAAGTGGAAAAACCATGACGATATGATAGATTCATATGTACGAATAGAATCATTTTGCCAAGCAAGATCACAACTCCAAGAGAGCTAAATAGGGCTACCATTTTAAAACCAAGCATGGGAATAAAGAATTCTTTCACTGCTAAACAAACAAGAAAGTCTTTATTTAATAGCACTCGATATCGATTATTGACATTGTAAGATATTATTCACGGTCTCTATGGATGAATTCATGGGGGTGTGTTTCAATATTCGACAGTTATTCAAAGTGTAATTGATATCTATGACGCATCCGTACGATGAAATGTTTACAAAAGAATTCCAAAATGACCCTTGAACCTTTCTATGTGGAAACTTATTATCTTTGTTTCACATCAACAAAAGAAAGCCCGCTCTTTGCAGATCTTTTTTCTTTTTCGATTAAATATAAGCAAACTTACTCGCTCCTTGAATAGAACTTGGCCTGTATTCTCTGATGTGCCAAAACTCGACATTTTTTGATTTCCTGTGACAAGAGACTGCTGGCTTTAATTAGATCAACATCATTCAAAGGTATGATGAGGATATAAAAAAGACTGAAAAGGTTGGCTACAAAAGCGGATATTGCATTTTGATTATAGGCTTATGATTACCTATGGATATCTCATATTAGAAAAGAGTTGTAATGTGGGATGAATGGGAAAGTAAATTCAAGCAACTTGTTGCACTTTAAAAGGTGGTCAGTGTTATTAATATACAACGTCACTATAGTAACTATTGCTATAGTGACCTGTTTATTTGTTGCTTGTTTTCATCTGGTGTACCATAAATATGTCAAACATTATTAGAAGGTTTAAATAAAGACCAATGGTCTGCTTTTAGAATGAATTCACAAATCATGCTTCTGCAGGTGGATTCCCGATCTCTATACCGCTTCATTTAAGCAGAGTATACTTTACTGAAGCATTCTGGATTCATTCTTATACACAAAGAGGTTAGTATTTGGGTGTTTTTTGTTCCTCCAAACTTGTTTCTTTCTGACGAAGTAGATAGGAATATATATATTATATAGCCTGTCTTGCTCCAGTATAAAAATTTGCGATCAAGTAGTCTGTTTCTTTTGGTAGCACTAGTATCAATGACATGTATTCAAATGATTGCGTAGTTAGAGAATGAGTTAATACAATACGCTTTCATAGCATTCGAAGTAGAAGAATACAAATTGTAAATTGTATACACTTTTTTCAGAAATTATTCGCACACATTACAAGATCAATAACAATTCATTTTAGTTGATTTTCTATGTCTTCTTTATTGTTTAAAAGACAACATTTAATAATATATAAAATGAGCTTGATGCTTTTGAGTATAAAATAAATGTGGTCAGCACTGATAAATAACACGTAATTGAAAAAGTTGCTAGAGACTTCATATAAATAATCTGATCTTGACTTCTTTTCTTCTTTGAACCAAAAAGTAAGACCAGATATCCCCCAGCTAGCCCTAAGGTAGGTTATATTCTTTACTCTTGTAAGAAACTGAAAAGTAGTATTATAGATCATAAAATCGAAACCAGTACCGGTGCTAGCTGGGGGTAGTTTGGTTCTTACCAAACTTTGGTCCCATCCTCTCTCTCTCTTTTCTCGCCATTTTATCCGGGACCAGTTGCCGCTGGCCCTTTTTAATGCACTTCAGATAAGATAATAATAATCTCTTTTACAAGTTTACTCACTGTTCCTGCTCCTTTTTCTCTTACAAATCCTCTTCTTTATAATGTAAGTATTTAATGTCAGTGTACATAACTGATTTACTAAAAAGCACTTTTATATCCCATTTTTTTGCTTCTGATGGGCTCTCTTTTACCATTATTTGCTTTCTGAAATTATCATTTTTTTTATCAGTGTGCGAATAATTTGTGGATAAAGTGTAGTTCCCGTCATTGCATAGCTTATGTTTAGCGATAAACGATTGAGCTTTTCCATGTGTTTGGAAGATATTTCAAGACATTGAACTATTGAAATAACAATGAAAAATAATATGATTTAATCTTTCTTGGTAGCTTTATCAGAACGCGAGTTGTAATATCTTCTAATTCAATAGTTTGGGTAACATATTTAGAAATGGCCATCTCAGCCAATCACAATTCGCCTTGAATAACAACACAGCGATGAGCCATCAAAACACTAGATGGTCTCTAAGGAAAAAAAGGTAGAGTATAGTTTAGAATGTCTACAGTTTATGTCAAATTTTTGATCTATTCTATTTGATAAACTCGAGCCACAATAGCACAATGTAGCCGTATGTTCTACAACGTACAAAGTGATGTGTGCTCCACTTGAATTTATCAAAGCTATTAATATTTGATTTCATGGTAAAATGCGTGGATAGAAAGTATTATTTTTATCATTTTACATGATTTAATTAGTATAAAGTAAAGAAGAGCATGCTTTTTAAAGTAAAAAAGTAATAGTCTATCATGCTATCTTAAATGATAATCATTGATACTGATTTTGTCGGGATCAAGTTTGGGTGAATGTCGTACTACCGCACAAAAATAAACTTCATGAAGCATAAGGTACTGAGTAAGTAAAGTATTATGCCAAAAAAAAAAAAATCTCATAATAACCACATATGTAGTGCCTAAAGCAAACTATGTGATAGCAATAAGACCAAGGCACACATGGTGACAGGTAAAAGGTGACGTAGCAAGAAACGGACGTTTTTATTTGCCGATTGGGTGTTTCTACTTCTGCCCTCTGTTTCTCTTTCATTCACTTTTTACCCTTTTTTTTTTCTCCCTTTTTTTTTATTATCATTTCTTCTTAACAAAAGAAAAGAAGTTTTTTAAGGTTAGTTTCACTTTTTTGCTTGAATACACAAGTACCATTATTCTCTTTTTTATTTTCAAAATAAAAAAGTTTTAGAAAAAAAAAAGGAAAAAAAAAAGAACGTTTTTAACGCATCTTGTCTTGATTTGCTCTAGTTCAACTTAAATTTCGACAATCTTTTCTTTCTTCTTAAAATGGCTCAATCTCAAAACAGGAGAAACACTTGGGATGGGTAAAGATTATTAATACAAGGAGTACATCTCCACCTTAAAAAAAGTTTATTTGGAGTTAACCTTCTTTTTATTTATTTTGTAAATTGAACGAATAGGCAAAATGGGCGAATTTTAGATATCAGGTCAACGGATCTTTTGCACCTATATATTTATGATTACTTCAAAAAGCAAAAATACCATCAAGCGGCTCGAGCCTTTTCTACAGAAGTCAGTATTAATACGGATCAGCCTCCTCCTATCGATGTCTCTTTGTCTGACTGGTGGAGTGTATTTTGGGATGTCTATTATGCCAAAAATAAAGAAGCAATGGCTAGTAAAGAAGCTACTACAAATGATGAGGTAATTCCTAAAATCTGGATCTATCTCCTGTATGAAACTGACGCTTGTGTAGTACCATGATTATTTAAGAACAAAGAGAGAAGAAGCGTTGCAACAGGCTAGAGCCTTCAATTTACATCAGACTCAACGAAGGGCATCCGAGGTGCAACGATCCCCTCAACAGCAGCCAGACCATTCCCAACTATCACGGGATTCGCGTCCGTCTCCATCGAGCAGTCCCGCTTCTTTACCTAATAGCGGTGCTATGGCCCTACCTAATAATGCAAACAATATTGTAAATACACCTCAAAGCATGACCGCCAATTTACCGCAACAGCCTCAAACGAACATGCCCGTAAGACATGCTGCCTCTCCTTCATTTTCCCCACAGCAGATGCAGCGAGGTGCTGAAGTGATGACTCAGCAACAACCACCAACGCCTCATGTAGCTGAAGCCATGATGAATTCACCCATGGTGAATCAACAGCTGCAGAATCAGCAGCAAATGATGCGAAATCACCAGTATAACGCGATTCTTACTGCAGCCATAAACGCATGTGGTTTGGCTGGCCGTGATCAAAGCACATGGACTCCAGAAGAACGAGTAAGAGAATGAGATCACATTTGTTTATTTTTATTAATCTTTTGTGTAAAGAACAATGTTACCATGCACATGAGAAGACTAACGCTGCAACAACAAAATATGATGAGAAATAATCCGTAAGAAAAAAAAAAACGGTATCGTTGGAGATAAAAAAATTTACTCTGTTGTTATAGCAGCATGATGGTCGGTCAGCAGCAAGCAAGACTACACATGCAGCAGCAAGCGATAATTCAACAGCACCAACAACAGGCTATGTTTCAACAACAACAACAACTGCAACAACAGCAGCAGCAACAAGGCCAACCGCCTATGGGACAAATGACACCTCAAAGGCAAGAAGCTCAGTTACCTCAACAGCACCATCCAATGGGACAGAGTCCACAAGTAGATCCCGCTCAGCGTATGATGGGGCCTGCAGGTAATGAATTTGACAATGAAATTAAAGGAAGGGAAAAAAGAAGAGGGCCATTAACCGTTATTTTTTCATAGTGAACGGACAACCACGGCAGCATATAAACCCAGCCGGAGCCGGAATGCCTGGTGTTATTGGACCTGGAGCACAAATGGGAATGGTTGGTAACATACAAAATCCAAATCTAATAAATGGCGCTTTCAATGGTGATGGTAATCTATTTCACTATTAAATAAAATCACGCTATTTATTTCTTTCTTATGGGGTTTAGTGAACTTTATGCTTGCACAACAAATGATGTCTAAAGGTCAAATGCCTCCTGGAGGATTAACACCTCAGCAGCAGCAGCAGGTAATTAAATATGTTCATACAAACCGGGTTCACTCATGCCCTTATAGATACTGATGCAACAGCAGCGTGTCATGATGAACCGTCAGCGAATGATGCAGCAGCAACAACAACAGGCTCAGCAACAGCAGCAAGCCCAGCAGCAGCAGGCACAACAGCAGCAGGCTATGAATACAGCTAATCCACAAGGTCCTCAAACACCACCGACTGCTATAGGAAGTCCAAATCCAGGAAACGCCAATGCAAATGATTCACCTGAAGGGGATAAAAAGAAGAACATCGCTGTAGCTATATATCAACGTCGCCAGCTCTCCCATGCTTTACAGCAACAAGCACAAGCACAGGCTCAAGCCCAACAGCAACAAGCTGTTCAACAACAGCAACAGCAAACTCAACAACCATCCCAGCAGCAATTTGTGCATCAACAACCACCTCAAAAAAGACAGAGGACAGAGGACGTGAGTAATACACCTCAACAGCAAGGTTCTCCCCAGCTACCACATAACATGAGTCCACATATCATCAATCAACAAGATATGGCAATGCAACAAAGACTACAGCAACAGCAACGCTTTGAGCAGCAACAAATAAAAGCCAGTCAATCTCCTCAGATGAACCGAAATGCACTAAATCAACAAAAGACACCACAACAAACACCGCAGCAAGTGGTGCAACAGGTCAGTGCGCAGCGTATGGCGTGGAACCCTAATGACATAGGCTCACCTTCCAACTTGGACGTACAGTCACCGATGCAACCCCAACAACAGCAGCAACAGCAACAGCAACCACCACCTACTAATAACGTGCTCTCATTCGATCTGGAAAGGTTCATGATGGGTGATGCAGGTGACTTTGGTGAAATGTTTACCTCGGGTGACGAAAATGCAGAACAGAATTTACTAATGGCTGGTGATGGAGGCGAGCTTGACCCCTTTGGTGGGGGGTTTTTAGCTAGCATGGGTGGCGGCATTGATTTGGATAGCAACATGGCAGTATCTACAGGGAACAATGGCGGTGGCAATGCTGCTTCAGGCGTAGGAGTAAATTTACAGCTGTATGCTGATCTATCGGGACACACAAATAAGGTATCTACCGTATCCTTCTCAATGGACGGACAATGGCTAGCGAGCGCAGGCCATGACAGAAAAGTGATGATTTGGAGTGTTCAAGAAAAGAAAATGATGTATACACTGGATGGTCATACAGCCAATATTACCTGTGCCAGATGGAGCACAGATAATCGCAACTTAGTTGCTACCTCTTCTTATGATAAAACATTACGCATTTGGGATGTAGGTTCAGCTATCTCAAGTGGTGGAGATAGTTCACCAAAGCAAATGGTCAAGTTGGATTGTCGTGCCCAAGTGACAGCGGTTGATTTCGCCCCTGATAGACCAGATACGATTTGCTCACTGGATGCAGAAGGAGAATTAAAAGTGTGGAATTTGAATACATCAAATTGTGAAAAGTCTTTAAAGATGGTAAAAAAGAAGTATACTTCATATATATATATGTATTAATATGTTCATAGACACAATCCAAGTCAGGATTTTCACCCAATCCCATGAGATTCCATCCTAGAACGGTGACTGTACTCGCATGTGCAGTAGGTAATCAGATCTATATTATTGATATCACCAAAAATAATAATGGAGACAATGCCATTCGAACCATCACAACCGATCACGGAAAAAATATTTGCTCCTTTGACTGGTCTGCGGATGGAAACTTTTTGGTAGCATCATCCGAAGATAAGATCTGCGTGTATGAAACATCCCACTGGAAGTGTGTGATGAACCATATTCCTCAGTCAAAAATAGCAGGATGTGCATTTATGAATGGGGGTAATGAAAAGCTATGTATATTATATGGAGGATATCAAGATATCTTTATATGGCATTGTGGAGTAGCAGGCTCCCAACCGAAGAAAGCTGGATCACAGTCTGGTATGGTCGTCAGTATTGCATGTTCATCAAATGGAGGACAAACTGTGGTTGCATCAGCAAGTCATCATCAAAAGGAAAAGAATCTAATGCTGTGGTCAACTTAATACTCTCGTATATATAACATTTTACTATGATTCTATTATACATACATCAAAAACATACTCTTTTATTATTCTTACAGTTCAACAAAATATATACAAGAGAAAAAAAATAATATCAGAATCAAGTGTCTTACGATCCCCCTTTTTTCTCTCTCTCTCTTTCTCTCTTTCTTTCTCTTTCTTTCTCTTTCTTT